ATGCTTACCTCGCGATGCAGTTTTTGTGTTTTCCACAATGTATGTTCTATACACTTCTAATCTGCTTTCCTAATTTCCACTTCAGCAGGAAGCTCGTTTGTTCTCTTTCACATTAGGCTGTTTCAGATTATATCCGATCAACAGACATTGAGTATATTACGTAGACAACTGTTTGTAGATAGTTGTACGTTTTTGATGATGGTTGTGGTAATTCTCGAAGTTTTAGCTCCGTACGGCAGGACTGACTAGACGTTTGTGTTGAATATTCTAACTTTGATATTGATTGACGGAAGTTGTTTTGAGTTCTATATATTGTCCAACTGTAGGAATGCTGCCCTTACTTAGCCAATCCTTGCCTTTGCATCTGCATCAGATCCTCCTTGTTCGTCGACAGTGCTGCATAGTGAAGATGCCACGGGTATTCGGAGTTTGACAACGCTTTAACCAGCGACACCCTCTGATATGAATCGTACCTAACAAGTGAAATCAAAAGACAGAAGCGAGGAGGTTCGAAGATATATTTGATAGGCTATCAATATATTGAGGATCGTCTGATCTAATCTGGCTAGTGATTACAAGGGTTGTTGAACACGACGTTTCCACTCGTGATCTGGTGCGGATGCATAACCGAGAGCCTTCATCTAGGTGAGTCGATTAAAACTAATGTGGTCAGCGTCCAATGTCGAAGATCTACAGAGTTATTTATTTTGGGGATTTATCTACCGCTACAATGGAAAATTGAAACATTCCTCCTCTACCAGAGCTACACCATCAGGTGTGCTTGGGTTGGTGTTCGCCGTGCTGTATTTCAGGATCATGGTTTTTCCTTTATGTATGAGTTCCGTTTGATGTCGACGGTCTTCTCAGGCACACCATATTGTCGAATAAGTTTCCATAATTTTCTCCTATCCACACTGTCAAATGCTTTCTTATAGTCAAGGAAGTTGATGTATGGTGATGTGTTCCATCTAATTGGTTACTCAACGATGATCTGTAGTGTCGTAATTTGGTCTGTGCACGACCGATCTTTACGGAATCCGGTTTGTTGATCTCCAAGTTGGGTTTCTACTGAGTATTTCGTCCTGTTGAGAATCTTTCGTGGTCCCGATAGTATCTTGATGCCCATGTAGTTCTCACACTTGCTTTGAATTTCTCCAATGGCTTATTTAAGGAAACAAGTTGAAACAGAATATTCCCTGAAGATCTCTTTGGTAGACATGGTGTTATACACAGTATTAGCTATCAAATAATGTAGATTGTCCAGCGATATTTGCGGATTGTGAAACAGCAAGATACAAGCTGATTTTTATGTTGGATAAATATGTGCCTAAACAGTTGTTTGGGTTAGATTATAGAGGTTTATGACGTCAGTAAACCTAGTGTCTTTAAATGTATAAGGACTCAATGGAGTCAATCAAATAGCTTGCCGAAAATACAAGGTGACGGAAGAACTCATAAGTTCATATCTTGCTGTTGATAGTGATATTTACCATATCCAGCACAATCTCATAGGATGTATCTCAACTTCGAATGAATAAGCAAGCATATTCAAGCATTGTGACATATTGTAAAATAATTTGAATAAGTTCTTATCTAAGATAACGCTCTGTAGAATTATGGTCTACTATGATATTAGTACTGCTCTAATAATAAACCTAATCCTAAACTTGTCGATTTGTCATGATATAACTGCCTAATCTATAAGATCTTACGTGGAAGTCACACCATCGACTACACCAACTCACTGTATCGTATCAATTACCAATACATGATAAGGAACAAGGTTAGGCTAGAGAAAGAACAATATATTTAATATGAATAGAAGATATAAAGTAACACTGAGATGGACCACGTCTGCATGGACGAGCCATGCCGCTCGATCAACTCCAGTCCATTCAATTCCTTGTTCGCGCCTTCTCCATTGTTAGGTATTTCTCCGCGTTAAATATTGAATATCTATTTTCTGAGTAGTCTTGTGTTCACAGCTTTGTGGATTGTGTGGCTATTGTCCAATGCCACTACACTACTCTCCCACCAGAATCAACGTGATGTTGGTTCGATACCAAATTGGATGGGATCATCGCGCGCCGGAGGTTACCAAGGATAATAAGAATCCTCCAGGTATTGGTAAGCTGAAAGATAAATCAAAAAGAAGGCGGCAGCATCTGGTCGGGAAATACATGTAATAATTTTAAAATATCTGCCTTCATGCTTAAAACGCTTGAAATGAAAATTTGGGTGAAGATTATTTGAACTATAAAAAATGGGGTTACAATAATAATAATAATACGATGCGTGTTAATAGCCGTTGGTTAATAACTTAACGTATAGGTAGTAAGTATTTTGTGTTTAGAAATATTAAAGTGATGGATATTGTAGAAATGTTAATATTGGTATTAGTTTTGGTTTAAATTATGAAATCAAATAACGATTATGCCGGTAAGTTGTCCATAAGAGTTGAATTCCAATTGCATCTGTATTAGTAGGCTAACTGAAGGAACAAAAGTATACCGTGGGGAAGAATTCCAACTAGTGTTCCAGTTAGTTTGATACGGTTTATTTAGTTACGGGGAGATTTTCTCAACCTCATTTTTACTTGACCGTGATAGAATTTAGTAATACTACTAATACACATGAATGTTCATCAAAACAAAATTTAAATACGTGAGTGATGATTATATGAATTTTGGGCAGATAGCTAGGAACAAATCGTTAAACATGAGTGTATTCGTAAGAGACATGCTCTAGACTCAATGTTGTATTCAGCGGTTTCATTAAGAAGTATATTTCTAACTTCGGCTACTCGTAAGAAGTAACACGTCTGTCAAAGTTAGGTATAAATTATTCCTGGTTGTAACCAAACATTTAAGACTATGTAGTTTCATTTGATCTCAAGCCACCAAGCAACTTGTACGGACGTTTTGATCATTAGTTGGAAGTTCGATTTTCACAGCTCCTTCCACAAGTTTATTATCATGTGTTGAATATGGATGCATGACTCATTTGCGTTTGGCACCACACTTCGATTTCATCAGAAACTCTTCGGTGTATAGCCTTTGCCGACTGCTTACTACGTTACATGATGAATAATAAAATTACACAGTACAGATTATATGACGTAGTTCTCTCACTCACTATTTAAATAAATAGTTGTAAGTTCATAGCTATATGATATACCTTTGTGGGTCAGAGTAATTTTACATTGGTTTTCAGGAGAACCAGACACCGTCTAGACATTCTTGTGACAACCCGAACAGTACACCCCGATCCCATTTAACAGGAGAGGCAGACCACTCAGGCTTAAAATTTGTAGTCCAAATAGTACGGCTCAATCCCGTTTCCAGGAAAACCAGACACCGTATAGGCCTTAACGCTGCAATCTGAATAGTACAGCTCAATCCTGTGGCGCAATCACACAGGTACCAAGCTCCCTGGTGGACTATTCGCATCATTCATATACGCATTCACGTCACATGTATATTTATTCTGATTAATGATCGATTATGTACAACACGAATAGGTCAAAGTTGACTTATTCCGCTTACACGACAGTCAAACTCATTAATGTCACCAATGGCGACATGCCTTACAATATTCCAATCACAATAACCCTTGAGAACACTGAAAAGCATCCACCAGCATAAATGAAATCGGTTAACCAGCAAACCAATTTTGTGCATGAACAATCATCAAAACTTTCCAAAGAAATGTCAAACCATCCACAATATCGATGGCGAACCTCCAGTCTCATATGAGACCTTCAGCTCTACATAGCAATATAGCTCATACTACATACAACACATACGCTCGGTAGTAAACGAAATAACCCAGTCTGAAGCGTTAGGGCTTAAATAGCTCTTAAAACCTATTGTCTGGCTTCGGAATATTATTACCAGACTACAAAAATAATTTTTATCGTGTATGTGAAATTTTAATTTTTCCGAATTTTCAGAGCCTGAGTTAGGGCTAGTATTTTTACTATTTAAATACAGATATGGAAAATCTGGATTAAAGAAAGGTACTCATTAAGAGCTTATCGAGTGCTTAAATTTTCACCAACTCGAAGAGAGATGTGTATTATGACAGTAAAAAGGCCCACCATGTGGGTTTTTCAACAGATACTTGTCACTTAACGCCCACCTATTTATTTTTGGTTTCATGCGGCTATCTATTGGGGAACCATGCATGTGGGCTGCTCCTTAACATATTACACTTATCTTGCAAAAACATCTCGCGTTTTAACTCCCTCCTAAAACATGACGTATTATACGGTGGGCTAATCAAAAGTTGACAAATCAAATACTAACGTTGTGTCAGTTAAAAATCTCCTAATGGCAAGTATGTGATTGGTCAGAAAATAGATCCAGTTTCTAGGGATATTTATATGCACATATGGATGCCCATGTATATGAGTCCGTTTATCCCTGAGACATTCCAGTCTTACTATCGGTTCTCATACTTAGTAACCGTTTGGGGGTTGACGCTTGAGAAGCCAGTATATTACCATCAGTTTGGGGACATTGAGGGTTGCAACAGTGCAGCTACTGGATTATTATTTTTTTTACGCACGACAGCATACAATATATTAGATGCTTGACATCAGTAATGTCAAGCTTTTTTGAAGATTGTGAGGATGCCACAAGCATTCGTAGTTTGACAACGCCTTAACCTGTAACACCCTGTATAATCGAAGTGTGCCAACCCAGTCAAATCAGATGTCAGAAGTGAAGAGGTTCAAAGTTATATTTAAAAGGCTACCGATATCTTGAGAAGCGTTTAATCGAAGCTAGCTAACGGTTGTGGGAGATGTGTAGCATAGTACACCCGCTTATAATCAGGCGCGAATGCGTGATCGAGCGCTTTCAGCTAGGTGGTCAAAGCACTCCTAGGGGTATTACCAGTTCCAATCCGAGTTTACTAACTTATATTCTAAATAAGGAGTTATATTACCATATTTTGTGTAACATAATCGTTAGTCCGATTTATAAGTTTTCACAAGGCATGTACAATAATTTTTATTTAATTTATTTACATAGATAAAATGTGGTGTTTTTAACCAATTTATATTCTATTCATAGGTGATAGATAAAATGCAGTAAATACCAAGGTCTAGATAATGTAACATCAAATAGCATCTAGTTAGTTAACAATCAGTTTAAAAGTATAAAAGTATTGATATTTCACTCTCCTCGATTTTGGACCATGAATAGAAACAGAATATTTTATGACTTTAAAAAAAAATAAACTTTTGACAAACCGGAAATATTTACAGATAAGTTTCACTTTGAATAAAGATGACATTGGAAATCAGTGAATCATGAATATATATATATCAATTAGTCATTATCACAATGACACGACGAATTAACAAGATGAATAATAAGAGTTGAAATAATGGTAGTATTAGTAACGGTGAGAAAGATTAAACAATGAAGAATAAGAATAGAAAACAAGGGATAAATTCAAGGAACACTTACGGGCGATATAAAGTGAATGCATCTGTACCATTGTGAACTGTCAGCCAACGTTTTAAACTTCTCACCACGGCTATCATGACGACAAAAAACAGCTAATCTGAAGCTGCTAACAAATCTAGACATAAAAATCAATCAATTTATCGACTGATTGGATGTGTTAATTTTACCTCTAGTTTTCTTCGAACTAGAAGCCTTTAAAAATCAATGTCCAGAGCTAACTATAAAGGTATCTTTTGGTTTCTGTAATTGGTAGGCAAACTTTGACAGTGAACCTCCAATTTTATTTCTACCTTTTAATTTCGTCTGTTATTCAAATATATATATCTGTGAAGACTTATATGGTAAGAGGTTGGTCTATTAAACTTAAAAAGTTCCTGTTATTTTTCTCAACAGCGCATACTTTTGATTTCATAATATGTAAACCAACAACCTTCAAAAAGTGAATTTAGAAACAACTACTCTAATTTAGTGCAAAAGCACTATTATTTATTAATTCATTGTACGGTGATGAAATAGCTTTTTGAATATCTTATCCACCCAGGTTATAGTACTCTTAATTTAAATTCACATGTTCAGAATATATATATATATATCACATTTTAAGCCATTATAGGAGATAACCTATTGAAGAAAACTACTTCTCCAGATGGATGAAATGTCATTGGTTGGTTGCCTCTTTTAATATGCTATGTTGTGACGTTTCCCAAAGACATTTTTACACTGTGTATATACGCTTTAGTCGTATGGTTGTTGTTATTCGTGCTCCTGGCTGCCTGTGGAATATACTTTCCCTCATATGAACCTGAACTTCTCCCTCTAGTTAGCGGGGCTGGACGCATTGGAATAGTTTAGCTTTTTTGTCGTTGTTTCGCTGATCCTTCGTTCCGTTCGCCGATTTCTAGGTAATCTCGTGATCTCTTCAAGTATAGTACTGTTGAATAGATTAGTATGCAATTGATGAATTTGATTAAAAAACTACTGTATAATCACGATATGATTGATAACATACATGCTGTAAATTTCGATACTCTTTCAAAATGAACAGAAAATTTTTTGAATGAGAAGTAAAACAAAGGTATACTGATTGCGTTTTTATTATTACATATATTTCCATATGTGCATAAATGGGAAGAAATGAGACGTACAATCCCATAAACTAAAAAAATGCTTTCTTTCACATTCTAATCAACCATATATAGTGATATTCATCGAACATTCATACACATGTTAAGGTTATTGAATATTTGTATGATTTTTAGTTTAAAACGGTGGTGCATTATCTGGCCACGTTCTAGTCAATGGATTTTCACTAAGTAAGCTGACATTTCTTCGTGGTACACCAACACCGTCCACGCCTATTCGTTTAATCCATGACAATAATGAATAAAAGAATATTTGTGAAGATGTCTGCTGTCTACAATCTTCTTTATGTATAACTAACAGATTATCTGGTAGAGAAAATGAAGACTTTACCAGAAAATTAATAAGATATAATACTATACACAAGGAAATAAAATATGATAACAATTTCGTGAATATACTACTACATAAACGCTTAGATAAGTATGATGTTGTTCTATACAAAACACTTCTGTTCTGATAATGTGAATAATGAACACTAGAACCAGGCAGTGGAAGAGGTGATGATGGTGATGTTGAAGGTGAACTATAGACAGGAAATAAATGAGGTTTATTATTACGCATAAATGGTAAACTGTTTTGTAATAGTTTTTTTTGAATAAATAATTTACAGTGATCATAGTTGTTTTTAAATACAGTATTAATTGAATAACGTAATGAATTATTATGATCATCATCATCATCACCATCAAGATCAAGATCAGAAGCACCATTATTATCATGATGTTTATTGGCGCAATTGATTTCATAAATATTTCTGTTCAATATTGTAGACATTTGATTCAATGGTGAATTTATTAATAGTTCATCGTTTAAATGAACATTTCTTTTGTAAGATATTTTAAATGTACTTTTTATGTTTATTTTACTTGATTTATAAGAAGTGCTGATGATACAAATGCAGTTTGATGAATTCATGAAATTACTGATGATAGTTGTATTAATTGGCATGATCGATTTTTCCGACATATTTTGCATTGAATTCGTTAGATTAAAATGAAGTTGAATTTGTTTAATTTTATTGTTTGATAATTCTGTCAGATTATTGCTGAAATTAGACTGTTCATTACTATCATAATGAAGAACAGGGTAAGGATAAAACTGTAAACCAGTTATTTGTTTTAGATCAAATAATTTTGTCAAAGGTTTAGCATGGACATTATGTACACTTTGCATTCTACTCTCAATAGTTGATAAATTGTTATTTTTCAAAATGATATTATTATAATTTGGTTTCACCATAGCAATTAAGTATATTGATTTAGGGGTTTGATGAATACTAGAAAATTATACGAGAAACGAGAGATAAAATAAATTCACCATATAAGTGTATAAATGTGCATACACATACAAAGCAGAACATCATAAACAAAGTAATTGCTAATACAAAACTGAAAAATACAGTATGAAATAATCGAACGATTACGTAAAAAAAAAGTGACTTCGTGTTTGCATTAATCAACCACTACACATTAGTTAACAAGATTGTTTTACATCTGACTAATCAGTTATTAAGATCTTAAACAAAAAACGTAAATTGAGTTTAAGACTGTTTTAATATCTGAATGATTAAATGTTACACTGACTAGAAAACTCAACAGATCAAAAAGGGTTTTATTGATGGCTTGTTGAATGGTCTATTACATTCAATATTAAACAAACTGAGTTAAAAAAGAAAACTATGAATTTTCGTTCAAGTTATTCTAATAAAAATATATTTTTCATCAAGGATTAACTTTATCTAGAAATTTATTATAAATGAAGAAGTTTTGGGAGTTCCCTCAAAAGTCGGCACCCTACGATCTTATACATGATTGGACTTAAGATAGCCTTCAGGTTTCAAGATGATCACGTTGTATCTGCATTACTGAGTCGGAAGCCATTAGTCCACATTTTCAACTTTGATGGTCAATTCATACTGTATATTGACTGAAGTTAGAAATGTTAGGTGATTAGATTGCAAGAGATGATTGGCTCACCGTGAGACTTCAGTTTACTTAGTTTTATATGGGAACATAAATGCACCCACTTGAGAATTACTTGAAATAGAATCAAATATCTGTTTAGCAATCCTCAGTTTTTGATGGTTTTTTAACTGGCTAATATCAGTAATTCGTTACAACAACCAACTTTCATCAGTTAAATCAATCACCGTTAGTTTAGAGAAATTTTGTAAATTGTCGCTCTCTATCTTTAAATGATTGAACTTGGAAATCTGAAATATTGGATTCCAGGCTCAATGGATTAAAGCTTAGGGGGTTGCGGTAAGGTCTGAAGATACTGGATGTGATCACTGATGGGGTCATAGATGATTACTACTAGGAAGCCTCCTACTAGGACGAAACAATTATAGAATGCTGCCTAGTTTGAAACAGGTGTTTAAATAAAGTCAGTGTTTCTAAAGTAAAGCCATGAAATCTTTACAAACCATTTAACTAAATATTATTCTCATGTTTGCAGTTTCTCTCTTGATTGTTACAATTGAATTACCAAGTTAGAGAGGTAAAACCTAAATTTCGTAGCAAACCAACATTTTTTAGCATAAAAGTATGGTTTATGGTTAAAAAAAGCTTACATCATGTACGACTACCAATAAAAAGTAATCAGTTAACACGTATAACATAATTAACATAATTTATTAGTTAGAATGATCAAAATAATTCTAAGCCATTTTGTCAGTCACAACGTGGAAACTCCACGTATGTATATCGGTTTAAGTTACCATACTCCATTAGCACACCGAAATGAAGTTGTCAAGCCAAATCCCAAAATAGTAGAGGTAGTAACAGTATCAGTAGAAATAGGGAAGATTAGATATCAAAGATACGACTCGAAAGGAAAATATAAATTAGTGAAATTAAAACGTTGTGAGGAATTTAGAATCTCAGAATTCGGGGGAAAAACAATGAATGGATGCACCTGAGATATTGTAAATGATTTTAAGCCATACCATTCAAAGTCTCTAACTGTTGGTCATGATAAACACGCGGAACCCAACCAGATAGTCTATACCTATTAACATAGCTGAGTCAAATTGCCATTGAATTCATCGACTGATACCATGTTTTGGTTTGGCCAGACCATTAGTACTGATAAGGCGTTTAAGATAAGTGAAGCGGTCGATGCGTTCAACTACTTCACTCCCTATCAATAATTCGGGCAATGACGCAAGCCAATCCTGAAGTAACATTTTATATTCGGAGGTACAGAACCGCATCACAAACATGTTCCCATCGTTACTTAAAGTGGTCAGAAAAACCTGCATTTTGTCAGCGTCTTCATCAAACAAAACTAGATCATCTGTGTATTTTAAGTCAGTAAGTGGATCTCCAGGTAGAAGATGAAATCCTGAAAAGTCAAACGATGAAAGTATTATCTATAAAAGCATGTCTATGATAAAGTTAAATAAAAATGAGTAAAGCGGACAAACTTGATAAACATCAATTGAAGTAAAAATACTCAATAAAAAGATATTAATAATTTAATGTTGAACACAATAATCCAAGCAAAAATGAATTATAAAAACATGCATTGACGTTAAGCAAAAAGAATTGTGCAAATTAATAAGAAATACTATGCAGAGACAATTAATTCCTGAATTACAGTAGTATGAATTAAAAATTTTTTTACCAAAGAGTGAACAAATTTAAACGGCAATAATTAATAATAATAACACTGTTGGATGCCGGTTCAGTGGTCTAGAGGTAAAGCGTTCATGCGCGAGATCGAAAGTCCTTCGTTCAAATCCCACCAGCGGGATCATGAATGGGCACTACCTACCGAGGAGTCCCATACTAGGACAAAACGGCCATCCAATGCTCTCAGATTTTCAATGGTGGTCTAACATTGGTCGGTATAAGATCTCAATTACGACTCAACAATCTTCACACCCCCATACTGTTAATAATAATAAGCCACATGTATACAAGTATAAAATGAAAGATAAAAAATACAATTAATAAACACCAAACACGAATATATACATTATTTGTTGACATGTATGTAAAGCCACAGAAATGATATACAGAACAGAGATGGGGGAACAACAACAACGAACTGTAACAATTAAAATATATTATGTTTACTTGTTTAACTCGTCTGATGATAAATTAGAAACGATAAAGTTGTTTAATTGTGAATTGGCTAAAACCTAATTTTTGTACGTAAGAATAAGAAAATGAGCATCACAATTATGTTAATAAATAATAATAATAATAATAGTGAAGTGTTATCGGTAAATACCATTACAAGAAGAAAACTATAAATACAATAAGCAATGTCAAAAATAACATGAATTCAAGTCTTCTTTCTCTAGAAAATATCTATTTATTCAACATTTCAGGTACAATTTATTGAGCAATCTTAACCAATCAGTATGGAATACAAGTTAAAAATGAACCTATAGGAAGGTGTGGATAAAGCGGCTACTACCAATTACCTTTCATCATTCAATACATACTAGATGTATATACAATAATATTATTAAGTTATTAACCTTCACGATCACAGTGACAAATATGTTACGACTAATTTAGTTGCGTTTAAATGACTAAAAGTTAAGATTGAAATGAATATGTTTATCAATTAGTACACTTTAAAAGTATTCAGGTTTTTTCTCAGTGGGAGGGGAGGAGGAGGAAGAGGGTTATGTTCAATAGTCCAAGAGCAGAAAGTCATGAATTCAACTGAGACAAAACATTAAATGAAGAAACAAGTCATATTTTCTATTTTTAAAAAATAACATTGTATTTAAAATAGTTAAACAAATAAATGGAATTCAGTTTTGTTTAAAGGCTTACACATAACCTATACGATACGACATGAAATAAAGTCTAAAGCTTTATTTGTCAAAGTAGATTGTAAATGTAGTCAATTAAAAATTGTTGAAAAACAAATGATGAACTGTATCTTTATTCATTTCATTTTAGATTCTTGAACTGTTTCAAAGATGTTTGTTGAAACAAATGGGGTCATGTAAACAAGATCAAAAGATAATTATAATAACATTCAAAAACGATGTATTTTAGGTATTTGCAAAACAATTAAATCCAAAGCATTTCTTAATGTGAAAAAGTTTCATTAGATGTGTACATTTAGATGCCAACCTAGTGGTATAATGGTCAAGAGCTTGATGTGAAATCGGAAGGTCCTGAGTTTTATCATTAGCAGGGGTTATGAGTACATATTACTGAACAGTTCCATACATTAAATAAAAATCCATCTAATGCTCATTGGTTTTCAGTGGTATTCAACTTGAGATGAGTATGTGATAAATACTCTCTGTAAATCAAACTAATCTTTACAAAACCCCCTTCATCTTTCAGTAATAGATCAAATGTTCACAAATGGAAACTAACAAAACTTGCACACAAAAATGAATAATTTTTTCTAATTATATTTTAAATTGGAGTTCAGTCCGTTTTTCATTTCATTTCTGGACTTTTCAACCGAATGTATATACATTCTTATAGTGATGTTTACGGTAGAACTTGAATACAGTACCCACCCACCTCTTCAAATTCTAAAATATTATTCACTAAACAACTGAATTAAGATGATAACTATCAGTTGTTCAATATAGATAAGTGAGTTAATATGCTTCCCAATGTTGGTTATTGAAATTCATATGATGAGTTCCAGTTTATTATATAAACTCTATATAGATCAAGGTGTGACTTTTAAAATAATCCATAAAATGTATCTCCTGAATTCAAAAATGACCGCTATATTCTAAAATTTAATTAACTTACAAATAGAGGAGAATATGAAGACACTAGGTATTTAAAAAATTCATTAACCGGTATAGATTGATCAATTCAGAGATGAATATTAATAACAGGAAAATACAAAACTTTACATAATAAATATTTATTATGAAAGACAAATCTTTCATTTTTAATAATAATAATAATAATAAACGTAACTAAATGAAATCTTACCAAATCTATATCCAATAAATTTGAACGATTGTTTTTCTATAAGGTAAAAAAACAATAAATAAAGTTAAATAGAACAGATCATCAGTTTCAATGTTCAATGATGGATTGGAAAAAAACACAACTGAGATCATGATTTAATTCAGTATGATTTCGGCTTAATAATAATGCTTTATGAAGTTTATTCATTATAATATTCTTTTTACTAATTCATTATGAAATTTTTTTTCAGTATAATATAGAATATGTGTTTTGTAGTAATTCAGTATAATATCCATTACCATATAGTTGTTCATTCTTTTCATATCTGTCTCCGTTTCTCGGCGTAATGTGTTCTTTGGTCTTCCTTACCTCCTTTGATCTTGAGGATTCCAAGTGAGGATTTGCCTTGTGACGCAGTTGAGTGATTTCCTCAATGTATGTCCTATCCACTTCCAGAGTTTCTTCCTCCGCTGGGATCTGGTTTGTTCTCTCCCACTGTAGGTTGTTGCTGATAGTGTCTGGCCAACGGATCCGAAGTATTTTGCGTAGACAGCTGTTAATAAACACGTGTATCTTCTGAATGATGACTTTCATAGTTCTCTAGGTTTCCACCTCATACAGAAGATCTATCTTGACATTTGTATTAAAAATTCTGACTTTGGTGTTGGTTGACAGTTGTTTCGAGTCCCAGGTGTTCTTCAATTGTATTTTGGTTTAAATACGTGATATTCGTTAACTACTTATTAAACGTTAGTAAAAATCGATAAATAATTAAACATACTTGCTCAAAGTGGTTGTCATGAATTTTTGGAGGTTAAATAAAGTGCTTATCTCAAATCATTTATAGTTTTCTTCTTTGAGTCATAAAAATTAAAGTTCCCTACTATTCTGAGATCAGTTTTCCCATGGTTATAACAAGAGTAAACTGTGTTTTACGCAAGTAACATAGAAGAACTAATGAGAAAAACAAAGTTAATTATGTACTGATTAAAGAAAAAAACATAGAGAATCTTTATACAGTTTTTCCCATTGGTATATCTGAATAAAGAAAAAACAATGAACATAGTAGGTTATATGATGAATTCATTCATTTCGTGGATTCTCGTCAGCTATTTACAATTAGGAAACAATGATAATAATTATGCAACTAATGTACATACTTTATATCATTATACTGATGCGTGGGCGAGAATGATTGGTTGTCTGTTTAGTCAGACAGGTGTCAGATGAGTTATATATTCCCCAATCCTTATTATTATTATTATTATACTCACTTATTATTGATTGTTCATTGTTGTTGGATTGTGATAGGTTTCAGTGTGGAAATATACTTACGTTGTGTTCAGGCTAATCACGTGTTCTTAATCTGAGTTGTGTTGAAGTCCTGTAGAATAGACACTGGAAGGGAATCTAGTGTAGATATTCGTCTAAGTAAATTAACGTGGAAATCCAACCTTTATAACATTAGACGAAGTAAAACCGAGCGTTATAACATATACTAACGAAGATTATTAGAATAATGACATCAAATATGGAAGTATTATACAGTGGTAAAGTGAATAGATATTTGTTACTAAATGGGAAGATTTTATAAAGAAAATTTTAAAACACAAAGAGACATGTTTCTAGAATCCATGAAATAAATAAGTTCATGTTATCCTGTTATGCTCATTGTTCTCACTTTATTTTAATCTAGAGAATTATTGAAAGCTATGAAAGACTAGATAATAATAATAATAATAGTCCATTTGTACTAATCTAATACAATAAAACAGTGATAGTACTCGCTCGAGTAAATGTTACTTATATCCATTACTAAATAAGTAAATTAGTTAAAAAGAACATGACACATGATAAAATGGATATAAATAAAGGCTTATAGTTAATAGTATTAAAGAGTATATTTAAATATAAAATCATGATGATGGCAATCACTTAATTAGTTAGTTAAAATTACCATAGAATCATAGTACATTAAACACAATAGAATGAAATGATCAAGATAATAATCATTTATATTACATTGAAACATTGACTTCCAATCTAATAAAAAAAAGAACATACATATACCTTTATCAATGAAAAATGATCAGATTCAAAGCATTCTGAACTACTACTATTATCATTATCATCATATAATTGTGAATTAGATTTCATTATATAATCATCTTTAATTAATAATGATAAATCAATATATTGATTTTCCATGATAAAATGATTAGCAATATTATGTAAAGAATAATTTTTATTATTAATGAATGATAATTTATTATTATTATTATTTAAATATGTAAATAATTGATAACATTTTAAACATAAATTTTTATTTAAATTTAATAAATGAAAGAAATTTATTTGAAGTTTTATAAGATCAATTTTCAATGAATTAACATCGACATCATCATTATCATTATCATTATTATTATATTCTTCATTAGATTGTAATAATACATTATCTAATATGGAATACCAATCATTCTTCTCATTATCTTTTATTAACATTAATAATAAAGTTGTATAATTAAGCCAATCAATTAATCGTAATTTAATTGTATACAATAATTGAGCACATGATAATAATTCAGATAATGAAGAGGATGATGATGGTGATGTTGATAATGAGAATGTGGAAGAGAATAATGATGATCTTGTCGTTGATGTGATAATGGATTCTGATGATTTATTTAATTTTTTTTCATCATTGAAACTTCCTTCTTCTTTTTCTTTTTCATTATTAGTAGAGAATATAACATGAATATGTTGAAAATAATAATCTAAACGATGTTTTGTATAAGTTAAATGTTTTTCAAATTCATTAATTAAATAGTTTAAACTTTTTTCATAAATAAATTTCTAGTGATTTATAAAATAAGAAAATAAGTGTAAAGAATGATCTTGGAAATGATAATAATAATAATAATAATAATAATAATAATAATGGTGCAATCAAGGGTCAATGAACATGTGCCTAGATGGCTACAAAATTAATGTGTGTCAAATGATCCGATCAATGTGGGAGTTAGAAAACCAGGTTCATCGATAGCGAAATGTATAATTGAAACGAGGGCACAAAATTGACATTAATACAACTTTTAGAACGTTGTATAGAAATTGTCAAGGACGAATTCTTAAGTTTATTGAAGCCTTGGCTATTCGTAAATTTAAACCCCCTTATGTATACAAAAACACTTTGTCGTAACCTTGAATTTACTTAGGTAATCCTTAAGTCATTCTATGGTCTAGGATAACGCGACAATTTCTTATTCTTTCACTCCCCTTTGTTATTTTACTTGAACTTTCGTTTGATTGACCTTTATTAATTTTCATATAAAAATGCCTTGACAAGTATATGTGTGACCAGATTGTTCGAAATGTATAGCGCAAATACATCACATTTTTCAGATAAACTCAGTCTTCTCATTGTTCCATCGAAATTTATAAAAGGGACTAATTGCTTTAAATTATGGTGTGATTTGAATGTAACTTATAAGCTTTATTACTTTTTGCATGATATAATTACTAAGTTAATTAATTAAAGATAATCAGTATCATATTTTGAGTTTAACTTTTGAGATAATTGGTATATTTTAGTAGCGCATAACTATAATCTTTAGGAAAATAATACTTCTGATGCGGACTCGAACGTACACATCATTTATCCTTATATAATCTAGAATAAATGTTACTATTGAGCTATTTCATCAACAATTGAATGATATTTACTTAGAAATCATCATCTATTACTTTCATGTACTTTTATGTATGTCGATTTATAGTAACAAGTATCCGATATCCTACAGATTATATTATTTTCTGGTTAAAACACTTCTCTTGTGTTTACTCATCTCTTTTCTATGTCTCCCTCATAGGAGATAATTTTTACAATGTTGACAATTTTTAGTGTTTACATAACAGACATCTTTGCTTGTTTTTTTTTTCTCTAGAAAACAAAAAAAAGAGAATGTGGTGTTTGAATGAACTAATGATGCCTTTGTATACATTTGAATCTTTGATTTCAAATTCCAAATGCAGTACATTCGTTTGTGGTTATCTAGTACTTCTTGACCCGATTACGTTATTCATGGGATTCTTAGTTCATACTATAATTCAAATACTCCTAATTATCATATTGGCGTCATGATGGAGCCTGTGATGGAACGGTTGGACATACATTCAGATTTTGATGCTTTTGAGGATTACTTTGAAAAGTTCGAAATCTGGGCTATGACCAAGGAAGATGATGAAGATGTTAATATTGTAGCACATTTCCTCACATTCATCGGAAAAGAAGCATATAGCTTATTAAAAACTCTGGCTTTACCAGAAAAGCCCATTTCGCTTTCTTATACAACTCTCAAGGATCTACTGCTAGACTATGTTAAGTATACAAATTTCGAATGCGGTGAAGGAGGAAGATTTCGTAAAACGATCCATGAAGATATAAAAAATTCCACTACATTACGTCATCCCAACCCAGTGCATACTCAAGGTTATGTAGATAATTCATTGAGGAGTTGCGACGCAGTTCACGAAGATGGCCCAAGTTTGGTCAATGTCCGTCCTGTGGCAGGTTCCACTCTTTTAATTCATGTAAATTTCGTAATTCTAAGTGCTTTAAATGTGGTGATATTAGACATATTCAGTTAGTCTGTAATACTAATGTTCATCTTACTGCAACTAATATTAAGTCTTGTAATTCTGATTCTACTGAGTCGAGTATTCGTAATCATCATTTATCTTGATCAACGATTTCAAAGGACAGTGTATAGTTATATAGCAGTTCAGAGTTAAATGAAACTCAGAATTCTTACGAGACAACAGTTTCTAATCGATCGACTTATCAGATTTTTCATGTTATTATACCAGATATAGTTTTTCTTAATGATTCGCATATTTCTGACAAAATTCCTTGCAAACCTGAGGAAAATATGTTGAATGAACCTAGTCATGATCGAAAACCTGATATAGTTTTGGTAGATGCTGATTTTTCTAATAATCCTTTACTCTGCAATGACATTCTTAATAAATTCGAGGAAACTATTTCAGAAGAATCAAATCTTGATGTTATACCAAATATTATTTGTCCTCATAATGCATTTGTTTTTTGTGGGAAGGTTGTTCAATGCGAAGCACAAGTACTAAATGAGCTCGATTTTGATTAGAATTCGAATGATTTCATATCAACTGCTGTTTATCCTTATCACAAAAACACTTCTAATGTTTACTCTAACCAATGTGAGAAATTTGTTTTAAATGTAGCCACATCATTCATAAATTGGGGATATAATGATCCAACATTATTTCGTGGGGGAGGATAGTCTAAAAGTCTATGGTTCAAATTCTAGGTAACAGCGGTTTCAGTACACAACCGACATCTTGATTACAGAGAATTAAAATAAATAATATTGTTCCAACATAACTATATAAATGTCGATCGATTTAGTATTCTTTCTTTATTTCATTCTTATATAAAATCATAGTTTAAATCAAAATAACATAAATAAAAACCCATTTAGATAATCGATTTATTTATATGTATTTATGTGTGCATGTGCATGTGTGTGTGTGAGTGTGTACAGATATATACATGAGACATTAATCAATAAGAGATTAATGCACATTCTTCGATTATCATTTAAAATATACCAATCAGTCATTAAAAACAAAAATTGAATTTATATTTGAACGATAAATAAACTTAAATATTCAATGTTTAGTTAAAAGTGTGTGTGTGTGCTTCTTTGTCTTAAAAAATAAAAAGGTTTTGTCTAATAATAATAATAATATAGTAGACGGAATAATGTATAGAGTGACCTATTTTATAAAAATTAAAACTATGCTTTATACTTATTTGATCATCAGGATAGGAGTGTGTGTGTGTGTGTGGAGATTGTAATAATTTTAATGGTTGGATTTATGAGTCGATTTAAGCTGAACCACCATTGAAAACCTACAAACACTTGATGGGTGTTTCATCCTACTATGAGATTTCTCAGCAGTGTACATCTATAATCCCTCACGTGGGATTTGAACCCATGACCTTCAGTCTTACGTGCGAATGCTTAACCTCTCTAGACTACTGAGTCAGTATCCGATGTTGTTAATGTCTAATATCAATCAATCCAAAATATTACGCGACCGTCTACCATTATCTTCAGTGAGTTACTTCCTCACAAGAGACACAGTTGAATTCTACTGGTCAAAGCTTTTCAATAGAACTCCAGGAAATTCATTTTGAAATCAGTCACTAGTGAGCACATGATTATTACCAGAATGGGGAGGGGGTTATTAATTTTAATGCTTGAATTTATGAGTTCATTTACACTAGCCCGCTAATTGATTAGACTGCAAGAATTTAAAAAGTTTTTCTTAGATCATCCAAATATTAATTAATTAAAATTTATTCAGTTGTTAATTGATGTAGTTGATCTAATTGAAATTCAACCATATTGAGTTACAAATTCTAATTAGATTCTCTTTAATTATAAGATCCTGAAAGTTGGATAACATAATCAAATTTATGCAAAATATTCTGTCTCAAAGCCAAGTATTTGAAACCTTTTTTACCAAGCGAATCAATAATATTTTAAATTTTATTAAGGTTATCAGTTGACAATAAGTTTATGAATCAAAATCTGTTTTATCAAGTAGAAATTATTGTAGTATTTCAGTCAATCAGTCAGCTACAACGTAGGACCAGGCACATAAATGCGTTGGTCCAAGTTGACATACCTCATTAACACAACAAGATGAACACCGGATTCATAAAAGTAGTTAATTCAGTGGTGGTAATATATGAAAGAAAGATTGGAATAAGGATATAGTACAGGAAGAAAGAATTAGTTCATAGAAAGAAAGATATGAAGCGATTTTAATCTCTTAGTTTAAGGGAAGATAGAGAGTGTATACACCTACGCCATTGTGATCGATTCTGAGCCATGTCACACACAGTCTCCAACCATTGTTTACGATTGTCACGCGAACCCCAAACAAGTAGTCCGCATCTCCCAACATGGCTCAGACTAGAAGTTAGTGACTTCAAGCACTGATGCCACGTTTTGGTTTGGCCGCCCCTAACTTTCTTCCAACCATCTCCAACACCGGTTAGCATTGCACGTCGTGGTAATCGGTGTTCAGGTATACGTAACACGTGGGATTGTAGTATTTAATCTAGTTTGCACTATATAGTAGAGATCTATTAAAACGTTTACACTCTATAAAGATAATCTTGAAAGATTATTTACTTCAAATGGTTACCATGTTTAGGAGACTAGATTCAACTAAGCCAGTTTTCTTTTTACCAGTAATTATGTAATAGGTAAGGAGTACTCGGGTACACTGAATTCCAGATGACTGACTGTGTAATGTACGGATAACAATATCAGATTGCTCATCATCAGTGTATTGTCACGACTGTTAACAGTTTCTGATGAATTAAAAGCGATTATTAGTAAGTACATTAGAAAAAAATAACTTACGGCCCAAAGTCTTATTGTTTATTTTAATCGATCTAATACGAAGAATTTAGAGACCTGGAACTAAAAAGTCAGTCAGTTTAAACGTCAGAAGACTTTCCATAAGGAGATTCATCATCAAAGTCTCATATATTGAGGTATACAACGTTTCAATGCAGTGAGCAGTTTTTGTCTTAAAAATATCAGTGATATCAGTTATTATTAACACATAAAAGTAGAAGCTACAACAATGTGAAACACATTCTTGTACTATTTTTAAACGTTAACCATTCAAACAAGTAAAAAGTTAATAAGTAGACGACATATGGTTAGAAACCATTTTTAAAACATTTATTTATAATTAGAGAAAGAATCTGAAACCTGTGAGAGAGCCCAACTGAAACTCAAACACAATATTCTTACAGGTGATCAGAAATTGGACAGTTGTCCTCAAAGTTAATCATCAGTCTTGACGAACAACAAACATAAATGATGAATTCATCACTTGACCTATACATAATAAGTCATCAGGAAATCATTGTACTCATAACACTCGCGAGTTTTTTGTAAAACATTCTCATTAAAATCGTGAACCGATCAATGTTAGATTTGATTGCGGCGTGCTGAGTCATGGATGCTCACTGCCATGAAGTCCCGTACTCGGGTGAAACGACCATCCAGTGCTTCCAGGTTTTCAATAGTAGTCTAACTTAGATCGGTTCATGATTTCAATAAAATCGAACGATTTCCATAATCCTATACTGATAAAAAAATTCATTCAATCAAATTACTTACATATTGTAGTTTCGAAATCCATTTTTTTGTACCTACAATCAGTTTTCGCCAAACAATATTCAATTCATTCAATAGTTCGTCTTGATCAGTGGTAACAACAAGTGATGTACTACTACTTGGTAAAGTTGACTTCAATAGAGATTTCGTAGAATTTATTCGAAAATCATAAGCTTTAAGTTGACCCAGGAATTTTATCAACTGATCGCATGATGTAGCCAAATGAGCTAATGATAATGATTCACCAACTTGATCAACAGAATGAACACTCTTATCGTCGTCGTCGTCACCATCATCATGATATGCGTCCAGTTCATTTAAATGACGCTTCACCTTGATTAGACTCAGTTTAACTTGAGACAGTAAATCATACACATCAGAATTAGATTGAAATGTTTTAGTGACAATAGTCGACGGATTTGAACACAATTTATGAACGGGATTGTGTTTAATAGGACTTCTTTTGTTTCTTATTAAAGAAGAAAAGCAAACAAGCATAATAAGTTGATATTTTAAAACGTCAATAAAAAAATTAGTAAACACAACAATGTTTACATGTGGGGTGGCTATGATAGGATGATCATTCTAGTCAGTAGTAAGATTTAGATTATGGGTGATAGGCATTGAATAGAGTATTTAGATCGGGAGTGATACATGCCATAAAGATCCTTCAATTGTTCTTTAGGGTGTCTAGGTGACTGATTCATTCATCTCATAAGATATATGGTAAATGTGACTTGTTATTGTACACTCTGGCGTGGAATGATTGCTAGCATAAGAGGAGTGGTCTAAAAGAAGGTTAAAGTGAGTGAATAAACCAAGACGTGGTATCAACTTGTAGGAAGCTACCGAATGTTGAACTAAATTCGCAGTTGAAGTTTTAGAGAAAATCATAATCTATGATTGGAGATATTAGGTGTTAGGATCCAAAGTCGGCTGTAGAAGTGGTGTAGATACTTTTATTCGCTATATGCTTCTAAATCTCAAGTTCCAGTATAAGTTCCATCACATTAGGTTAGTTGGAGATCAATAAGAAAGTTAAGTCGAGCTGTTAAATCTCCCGGTGTTCATGACGGTAGTGTGGTGTTTTGTATATGTGTAAACAGAACGAAAATAAGATTTGACCGATAGATGTCATTAACCTTAAGAGTAATCCAATGCGAATAATCAATTCTCATTCAGTTCTCAACTTACAGAAGAATATTTGTTATTGAATAATCCAACTACATAGAAATCTTTTGTGAATACATAAACTTAAAGAAAGCAACAACATTACAGGCGGAAAGAAAATCAAAATAAAGCCTATCGTCATTACTGTGTACTTCGCTATGTTGCTGCTCATAAACCAACTCAGTCACTCCACTCTATTTTTTGCAGGCCGAAAGACAAATTCAATATCATTTACAAAACAAGTGGTACAAAGTGTGATGAACACTACACTAGACACCATAGACGCTATTATCATCTATGCATACACAAACGGAAACTATCAATGAAACAACACAATATGTTATCATTGATATCAATCAATGTAGACAATTAAAAACATAAACTCAAACGGAAGAATATGGAAGTTCTGGATTGTGGGGATTCAGATCAATCAACAATCAACAGACAAACCGATTTAGACCGAATCTACAAACCTGTTTGAAAAAGGTCAATCAATAAACTGGCCGTTATCGTAATTATCAACTGCACAGAATAAAGGCCATATAGTGTAGGGAGGCGGTGGTAAGCAATATTTATCAAAACTTACTTATCAATAACTATTTTTGAAGTGATGTCATCATTATCAACAGAATAATCTGTTGACTTTGCAGTGTATGATTTGGAGACTAACTGTTTATTCTTTGAATCCATCAATAATAACGCTGATGATGACAACGATGGTGATGTTGATGAAGATGGCTCAGTGATTAATAAATCAGATGATTTCCTCGATATTACGCTGCTATGTTTCTCTTTTAAACAACTCTTATCTAAATCTATTTGATCAGGAACATTTGACTGGATTTCTGTGACAAAAATTTAGAAAAGACAATGTTTTATTTTCTTAAATGAAGACAATATTTTTGTAGACAAATAATTTTCGAATTGAATAACAATTGTGGTGAATTGATTCATTATTTGGAAAAATTCTATGGATAGGCTTAATACAAGTGAACTGAAAAAACAGAGTGGTTAGTTTAGTAAAAGTATGGCATTGTAACACAATTTGGCTAAAACCTGAGAACATTTGTGAGACATTTCACATTTATATCAAGTGAGATGGGGCTTCAACACTGGTTTACATTGAAACTTTTTTGAACGGTGAAATAAAGTGAATTAGTTCAGTTAACAGACAGGAAAATGTTTAGAAGTTTCTCAAGTAATAGGAATATGGTAGATTGTAAATAGTTCAGTCTCATTATTTTGTGCTCAAAACATATAATCAATGTATTTAACTAAAGTAAAAACGATAAACACAGCAGGATATATGATGAATTCATTCATTTCGTGGATTCTCATCATTTGTTTACAATTAAGAAACAATGATAATAATTATTTACAACTAATGTATATACTTTATATCATTATACTAACGAAGATTAATAGAATAATGACATCAAGCATGGAAGAATTATAAAGAGGTAAAGTGAATAGATACTTATATGTTACTAAATGAGAAGATTCTAGGAGGGTATGTTTCCAAAATCAATGCTTAAGTTACTTAATAACAACTATTAAAATTGTGTAGATTGACACAGAAAGACGAATAAAACTCATAAATGACCTAAGAATCTTTATTAAAATGACATAAACTATGTATATTGATTGTAAATAATATGTACTAGTGTTTATAGGATGTTAGCGACTGAAGGGAACTTCAAAATGAATGAATCTATCTTATATACTGCTATGTTTATTGTTCTTACTTTAATGAAATTCATCAATGGGAAAATAGCCACTGAAGTTGTACTAATCTACAGGTGTTCTAAGAAGCGAAATCGATTACTTGGTTGTTTATATGTATTAAAGTGTTTGTGTTTATCTGATCTTCGTTGATATCTCTGTTCACTAAAATACTTCATCTTTATTGACTCATTTTAATACGTAAATACTTTTTTGAACTGATGAGAAATGTGTTATAAAATGTATTGATTATATTATATTCAACGTTCTGTTCTGTCCTTATCGGTACTGATTGTACCACTACAATACATGGTTGAATTAGTGACTAAAGTCGAGTGATTTTATCACTGAATAATAACGATTCAATCAAAATTATTAAGCCGCAGCACTGAAGTAAATAATTTCATAGGCCATATAATTTATATAGGCAGATATATAGATATAATTTACGACCTTACGTGAATCTGCATTCACTAACGTAGGTTCGAGCCCACTGTATTGATCTTGATTAAGGCAGCCAATGAATTAGATTACTGGTTTAAAATTACCAGTATATGCATGTTGACGAACATATGGAAATCAAAATAACTGTCCGTCAATCAATATCAAAATTAGAATATTCAACACAAACGTCAAGACAGTCCTGCCGTACGCAGTTAAAACTTCGAGAATTATCACAACCATCATCAAAAAGGTACAACTATCTAAAAACAGCTTTTTACGTAAGATACTCAATGTCTGTTGACCGGTTACAATCAGCAGCATCCTACTGTGGGAGAGAACAAACGAGCTTCCTGCTGAAGTGAAAACTAGGAAAACAGATTGGAAGTGGATAGGGCATACATTGTGAGTCACCAAACTGCATTACAAGGTAAGCATTAACTTGGAATCCTGAAAGAAAACGGAAAAGAGGAAGGCAAAAGAACACACTACGTCGGGAATTGGAAGCAGACGTGAAAAGAATGAGTGACAACTAGAAAGGATTGACCACGACAGAGATGGATAGAGAATACTGGAGGGCGGCCTATGCTCATGTACGAGGGGTAACAGGAGTATGTTAATTTTGCTTATGGGAGAGATATTCGAAATGCAGTGTGTAATGTTCTGTGTGCATATATAAATCTTACCATGCTACAATGACCGAATGAAGCCTTAGACGTTGGTCAAGATTATATTACTCGTCCTCCTGACGATTAAATTTTAATATCGATAGAAATGAAGAACGAGTATTCTGCCCTACATTTTCGAAGAATTAACTATTCGTTCAAATCTTGACGAACATTCATATCAAGCTAAACATGCTTTCAAAATAAAGATAATAAAAACATAAATAAATGCTATCAAATCCGATTTTACGTGATTATAGTCAATAATGTAGTATAAAATAAATCTATCAATTCTGCAATGTTTTTTTTCTTCATCTATCCAAAATGATGCTCTCAAATGTGTTGGTTACTGTTCTTTGGAGAACGAGTTGTACAAATAGCTAAACAATAGTAGTTGAATAAGTTTATGCATGCCGAGTACTTTGTTCTGTACTCAACTGTGCTGTGGTTGACAGTAATCATGTAGCACTGAACTATTATCTGATATTATTTGTGATATTAAATAGAATCTACTAAAAAAATATATACATATGTCTCTCTTGAATTGCAAAACTGTTATCTATATGTAATATACAATCCTTATCTACGGGTATTTGGAAAATACTATGAAAGTGTCAATAACACAAAAACATTACCTTTATTGAATGATCTCGCAGTTGTTATTGACGAATAATCAAACTCCGCTTGAAATAATGATGGAGACATCGGCTTGATATCATTTTCGGGAATAATATCCTGTATTGTTAAATAATTCAATGAAAAATTAGTCATTATTGGTAATTTGACATGGTGAATCAAAGAGAATGGGGTGTATTTTTTAATCAAGCTGAAACCATTTGATACAGTTGTAATTTCATGTCCAGCCAAATCATCAGGGACCAATTGAGGGAGATAAGCGAATGTAAAAGATAAATCTTCATGATAAATTTCTACAGCATAAAAGCATAAACAAAGAGTCCGTAGTGTACTTGTTCGTCTGATTACTGAGTATTTATTTGAACTAACTTTGGAATTCGATAAACATGAAGTACGAGGTTTACCTAATGGTGTTGAAGATTGTGGCCGATTTACATTCGATAATCTATAACTAACAGAAGAGGTAGAAGACGGCAATATCACTGCTGGGTGCTGTTTTTGTGATTGATTTTGATGTGACCGAGCAGTTAAACGTAGACGGTTTGTTTCATAAGTTTTATTAGGATCTTGTTTATTGATTTGTTTCTTGAACAGTATGTCAGGTTTCACCAAAGTACGTTTTGAATGATCAATAACCGAATTTGTAGATACACTATTTTTAGCTACAGAATTCGATAGCCTACTTTGATCCAAGTTATCATCTGAAGAACAGATGCTATCAACTAAATGCTTAGAGTTTTGGAATTTTTTTAATCTTTCTGACTGATTCACATTTCCTTGTGATTTAGACGGGAGCGCAGTGTGTGATTGATTTTGATGTGACCGAGCAGTTAAACGTAGACGGTTTTTTTCATAAGTTTTATTAGGATCTTGTTTATTGATTTGTTTCTTGGACAGTATGTCAGGTTTCACCAAAGTACGTTTTGAATGATCAATAACCGAATTTATAGATACACTATTTTTAGCTACAGAATTCGATAGCCTACTTTGATCCAAGTTATCATCTGAAGAACAGATGCTATCAACTAAATGCTTAGAGTTTTGAAATTTTTTCAATCTTTCTGACTGATTCACATTTCCTATTGACTTTCTTGTTGCTACTCTTACAGACGAGGTAGATAATTGATTAGGTGAATGACAGCTCTTGACATAATTCTTAAGTGAATTACTAGCAATAGTAATTTTTTCTTCTGTAGCTACACCACTACGTAAACATTTGGATCTCATCACTGATAAATGTCTTGTAGAACTATGACTATTAATATGTGTACATTCCTGTAATTGATTCCGCTGATATCGTTCATATTGAATGACTTGTTTTTCATTATGATTTTGTTGATTCATCGCATTACTTAAATTCATTTCAGATGTTAATCCATTATTATTTGTTGCATATATATAACCTTTAGATGTGAACATATTTGTTATTACATCGGAATATAAATTTCTATTAATGATCAGATCATTCATTTGTTTAAAATAAGATAAATCAATTATTGATTGATTAATTGATTTTTGATTTTGTAAATATTTTATTTTATAATAATTTTCTAACCAATACTTATTACTATTATTCAATATATAAGTAGTATATTTCTGACAAAATTGTTTAATATTTATAAAGAAATTAAGTTTATTAATATATAAATTTTTTGATAAAATAGTTGAATAATACATTTTTATATTATTTATAATGAGCATAGAATAATCATATTTATCGAGTATTTTTTTCTTCTTATCATCATCATTTATTGATAAGATATATTTCTTATGTAATTTATATTCAATGTGTAAAGGATATAGTAATGGATACTTTTTATAAGTAGTTAATTTGTTTAGAAATATTAAAGAATAATAATGTCTAGTAGGGTTATGATTACATTGAATGAATGTTGAATGTTTCTCATTTTTCAAATTTAGAGTACAAAAACATTTTGATATTCCAATGTTATGATTATTAATATTTGTATTTGTATCTTTGTTACTAATTAAATCATTTGTCCTAATGTTATTATTATTCTTCTTCATTATTCTCAAATAGATGAGAAGAAATGTTCAAGATTACCTTGAAGATTGAAATCTGAATGATGGTAATAGTGGTAATAGTTTGGATTAGAAATAAACAATTCACATTAGCCACTTAATTCCAATTAACCATTTATTCCCTAAATACTCTATTATAAATGTGCTTTTTTTTAAATTACTTGTTTCGATCGATAATAGGAGTTAATCGATCATATCAATACTGAATATAATTAAATTATACAGTTGTGTTTAGTTGATGATGTCTGTGATGTGATGAAAAAAGTGTATCTTATTATGACAAAAGAGAGAGAGAGATTTGTTCTACTTCAATGAAGTTATTTATTGTTTATTTATTATTTATTTTAACACATAGATATTGGTACAAGGAGGCACCAAATACATATGCGCCACACAAATCTCATTCGATATGTGTGAGGGTTGTGGTACTGCCCGGGTGCCCAAACCGAAGCAGGTGGTTTTCTTAGGGGGCCACACCACGAGCCTTCGACCTGAAGGTTTGATCCACAAGGCAGTGGAGCATCGTAAGGAGATGCAGTCCCATGGAAGCCGGTGACCAACGATTGTTTCGTACGCTATTTGTTCCCGCAGGATACTGGAGTCCATGTGCACCATTGGTTTGGTTCGGAATCCGGTTAAAGCGCCAGACATTCGCTTTTCGTCCTCTCATTTTCGTAAACAACACCCCCGCCACGAGAAGGCAGTGAGTAGGACTTCCCTGGCAGATGCTATATACGCGTGGCCATGTGAGAGCATTTCGAGAGGGAGAGCGGACTCTCCCCACTCTCCGCCGTACCAGGGCATTTGGGGGCTAATTATTGTTTATTGAATTGTCAAGAATTCAATAACTAAGAGAGTGATAAGTCTTGTTACAAATACCTTGAAATCGTCTTTCTAGACGGTTTCAATAAACATAAACTACTTCTATACGTCATATGGAGCAAAATAGAAAGGATATGAATTGTGAGTAAAAGCCTTACTTCAAGATTAGGTTATATATAAAGAAAAATGATGGTATTTGTAAAGTCAATCACGACCTTGGGTTTCTAGAAATTTCTGAAACCATACCAAGCATACTTAGTATAAGTAAATATTCAATCAAAATCATGATGTGATTCTGCATTTTCTAGATGTTTCTGCGAAGTTTCTATTCGACGCTGATCGGATAGAACGTTCCCTGGAGTTTCTGCGCCTCTAGAGACATTTACGAGAGATACCCTGGGACCCTCACAACAGTGGGATGAAAGGTAAAAGAATTATGTCAAACTCTAGGTTTGGATTTACCATACATCGAAAAGTGATGCTCACAAAAAATCTCACTTTATATATTTTGATTTGAGCCCGCTATAAACATGCTTCTAGAGTTAATTTTTTTCACTTGATTGCCTATTAGACAATCCGTAGTTTGACTTAAATGTGTGAACAGATGGCAATGTTTGATGGAAAAATTGAGTAAACATAATCTTCTGAATGATTTGAATATCACTTACAAGAATATTGGAGACACATTTCCTTTAAAGGATAAAGGTCTGGACACCAGTTTGTAGGAAAGCTAGTACAAACTTGGGGCTTGTCAATCCGCAAACCCAATCTGACACCAAAGTTTATAAATCCCGATTAATTTAATATAGTTTCTTTGGTTTATCCCGATACGTAATAAGACTCGTTTGACAACATGACATTAAACATTGGATAGGAAGTGTGCTAGGAAATCGATATATTTCATGTAAATTCATTCAACAGATCACATGTACGGTGTACAGCATTTGTATGATGTCAGAATTATACACAGCATATGTGGTCGTGAAACGTTGCTGTAGCATGGATGTAAACTTCACAGTTAAAATCAGTGGATAAGTAATTGTCTGAGTTTACATATAACACTAGACGGTACATTTTATTTCTATTTGGGATATTTCAGGAGAAACAATATGACTAACCTTAACACAAATATTACATTATTAGTTGACAACTTCTAGGAAGATTTCAAGTTGTTATCTAGTTTTTGACATTAAATGTTAATTTCAAGCAAAGATAGATAGTGCCTAGCAATGGAATCCAGGACTCCAGTTTCGTCCTATTTAGGACTCGTCAGCTGAGCGTACCTGTATCAAAGAGTTGATGTTCCGGGACTCAAACTCAGTGCCGTTCGCTTCAAATGTTATCGCAATATCCATTTAACTACTGATTCCACTGACTTATGTAATCGGGTGAAGTTTAATTCCTCTTGTCTTGGCTGTTTGAATCTTCCGATTGACGTTTAGGAATGCCATTTGTCAGTGTCTTAATGGTGTATGCGAATGCTGTGCGGAATGCCTCAATAATGCCTTAAGACACGAGCATTATAAACAATAAACGGATTAAATATTAATTTCTTTTCTGTAACGATAGACTCAAGTACACTTTTTCTAGTTTATATTTCGACATAATTTTTGATGTTTTCCTAATGGTTGTTACCACTCCTAGTTTGCTGACTTTCTGTATATTCTAAGGTCACATTTTGTTATATGTACAGAGAGAGATGCTTCATTCCAGTTGGTTCTTCGTTGAAGTATCAAGTTTATCTGCGCTCATTTCTCTTTGCAATTCAAAATAGGTCTCATTCGTATTAGAATAACCTCGATAGTCTGTGATTTGTAATTACTGTAGGCCCAACCAAACATCAATTCTTAATAGTTGCCTACAAGATTTAACAAATGCCTTGAAGAACAAAGATTATATAACTCACTCTCAAATTGTTTACTATCATTAATTAAATAAAACAAATATTTTAATTCACACATCACCTTAAAAAATATTTACCTCTATAGAATTTTTCTGTCTCGATCCTTCTTGAAGTGAATTCAAAGCAGATAATGTCGAACCAGACCCCAGTTTTATTGAAACGGTAGTTTCATCTTGATAAGTACTACATAAGTTTGGAGAAAAAGCGAGTAAAGTTAATTTCTGTGCATCATTTATACAAAACTCTATGGTTATTAAAAATATTGATCGTTTTAACCATTAGCCTAGGTACTGTATCCATCCACTTCACTCTTGACAGTCTTCACTAACTTTCAGTCAAGTACACTAAGACATATCGATTTTAATAGATGACTTTCAAGCAATCGGGTTATATATGCTTGATCTGCAATCTATCTGGTATAGTTTATTAAACAATCATATTGTGATGTTATTATGCATCAAACACAAAAGATAGTTGCTCACATTCGACTGAATAAACTTGCAAACTATGTTTTGATTAAGTGAGGATGATCTAATTTATGTTGTGAAACATCTCTGTTTTGACTAACCTATGTTTTATTTCATCGGGTAATTTACCATGAAGGAAAAATACTTTTATTCAATAATACATCTAGCATAGACGTTATTATTATTTTTGTTATTTGATCACTGGTTAGGATCGCTAACCAGTTCTAATACTGTGAGAAATAAATGTTCAATGTACCTTGGTTGTCAGCAATGACAATTCATGGTGAAAACTACCAAAAAAATTAGTTCATTTTAGATTTCGACTGCTTTTTTATGTTGAGGTTTCATTTAAAACTATGCGTAAATATGACCTACATTCATACTTGAACCTAGAGTGATCGGGGATTTTTTTTAGGCTGAAGTAACCTGCTTTAGTTCATAAATTACGATTGAGTCTAACTGTTTTGATCGGGCCCCTTCTCACTAAACAATCACATAACATAATTACAAGTTTAGTGTTATGTGAGCTGCAGAACGACTGGTTGACTAGAGTTACGATTTCTTCTCAAAAGAATTTCATAATAAACCATCTGTTAAAAATGAGCAATTAACTGGGAATGATGAAACTTTGAAAATCAATATCCTATGAATCAAGATATACATATACGTATAATCTGCATTTATTAAACAGCAGATTTACAGTATTATTATAGTTCTAATTATATGCCTTCATTTATCTTATTAACGGTTGATATTGTCGTTTATTATCAATAAGCTACAATTTACTGATTACATACCTGTTGCTCAGTTTTATATACCACACATGATCTAGTTTGAAATTTATTATATATGGTTTCTTATGGTGTTGGATTAGATGTATAAAATAATGTGCATCAGTGTGAATAACAGGAGGCACATTGTGTTCCGGGGATAGAACTAATTAGCGTTATCATTTATTGTAGATATGATGTAGAAATTATTGTTATTGTGGTAAGTGGAATCAACAACACTATTCCTCAGTTAGATCACCTTTGACAGTATTGTTAATCGATTTCGAGTCGGTGATTGTAATAGAGTACGTTGATAATGTACACTAGTGATAAACACGCACAAACAGTCAAAAGAAGCCGGTAATAAGTTTAAATAATAAACTATGCTATTAACTTTATGAACCACCGAGATTAGCCAGAAATTTTTCAATGTCCAAGTAACCTGTTGTATCCAAAGCTTCCGACTATCTTTCCGTTCATCTACTAGGTGTGTTGAATATCAGAACGTACATTTACTGGAAATTTAATTTCAAGGGTCTGCAGTTATTTGCAGAACTCTGGTGTGAATATATCGGTATAACATACACCCAATATATCAGATTAAATAAAGAAATACAAATATGATGAAAGTTGGGGTTGAAATGAAATCTGTAATGAAAACTATCACTCAATGAACAGAAAAAGTAAACGGAAGTGCTAGATATAACACATCACTTGAACAACGGAAAATGTGACAGATAGCCCCGACCTTCTTTTATAATTAACAGTAACAATATTGAATAACGTCACACACATATAATCTACTTACTTATTATAGTATTCAAGGTATTGATTTATTCGATTTAAATAAGTATAGGAACAACAAAATTGACGCAGTAAAACTGTTGTATCCGAATGAGCATTTATGCTGCTCCAATTGACTATTTTACATAAATTAACCAAATGATTATGAATACATGTCATATACAACAATTTGAACTGAATTTCCTGTATATGAGGTGAAAAAAACAATACAGATATATAAGGACAATGGTAACAATGTAAATTATTCTAAGTAGATTTTCTACACTTTGAAAAAAGAATCTGTTGTCATTTAGTCCTATGACTGTCGTCTGAGATTCACTTAAAGTAAATCAAAGATCATTACAGTTAATTGTCGAGAAATGAATACTTTTCATTGAAAAATAACGGATTGAAAAGTACATCCTTCGAAGTGTAAATTGAATCCAATTGGGTTGAAAGGAGATTTTTGAATAAATTAACTGAGTTTATGAGATTTTGAATTTGCTTCAATTGAGGTGACTAAGAATTATGTACGCTGAACTCATTCCTTCACTGTGGAATATTTTGTTAGGTGAAGAATGAATGTATAGTGACCACAAATCACGACACAGAAGTCAGCTACGTTGATGTTATCGGTTGACGTATATCATATCACAATCATAAAACGTCACTGAATCATTTTATTCATCGTTACCAACTAAAAAGCATGATATTTTTGGCTAATTTCTATGGTATTTAACTAGTATACTTTATTTCCTTACATATAACAATCACTAAAAGTTCACCACGAGATTGAAAAGTCCTAGGGGTAGAGTTCTGTGAGAAGTCCCATGATAAGACGAAATGTCTGTCTAATACTACCTGATTTTCAGTAGTACTCGACTGAGATCAATCTAAGATCTATAAAATATAACCAAAAGGTTGAATTTTAAATATATTTCTTCTTTTCCAGGGATTGGAAATTCACTGGAGTAGGTCAGTGAATTAGAGTAGTAGCTTAGTGTTACGTTACGTTATCTGTAGTTCAGTATGTGCCTATAATAATTGTGGAGTTAGGAATGACTAAACTACTTCTATATGATTTGCGCTATAATGTAATTGATAAAGGTAATCAGTGCACAAAATGTCAACACCTGACGGTCAACATTGGCAGATGAAATGCAAGAAAACTTGATATTAATGGTAAAACAAGCATTACAAAACGAAATGGTACAACTCCGTATATACAGTAAGGAAAACATGATCTTCAAGTATACAGAAATTTAGTTTACTAAAAGCAATCGGAATCAATCAGAGAAAGGAAGAGATCATGCTAACAATTAAATTTTAAAAAAGACACTTGAGGTTATCGCTTTGAAAAAATATTTAAGCATTATTTACAAAACTTGAGAAATCTTACGATCATCCGAGCACTTGCTCATTAAAATACTTGGGTTTCAACCAATAAGACCTGTGTTCAGACTTCATCTAACCTACTTTCGTTTAAGCATTCAAGTAGTAAGTATCCCTTTTCCCTTACACCTAATATGACTTAAGGAGAATTACATAAATTAATATTACGCAAATGAGATATATTATCACCATTTGTAGATAGTCGTTCTCAGTGTAAAGATCGATTTTGAAAAATAAGAGAATCAAGCTCAAGTCTTCTTATCATTAGACCAGTATTCCATTTACATACAATGAGTATCATTACAAAAATTTTCAAATATTCAAGACATTGAAGAATTGGATCAATCAATAAATTGTTTATTCATATGATTAATAAAAAGAAAAACATCAGGATTAGCGGACCAATAAAAAAACACAATAACAAACATTTCCTTAAATTATCAGAAGGGGTTTTGTGGAGATTTTAGAAATTTCACTGATTGAAATCATGAGTCAATTGAAGCTAGACCACCATTAAAACCTGGAAGCACTGGACGGCCGTTTCGTCCTAGTATGGGACTCCTCAGCAGTGAGTGTCCACGGTCCCTCACTACGCACTGCTAAGGAGTCCCATATTAGGACGAAACGGCCATCCAGTGCTTCCAGGTTTTCCATGGTGGTCTAGCTTCAATTGACTCATGATTTCAATCAGTGAAATCTCTTTTTAAATTACCTGAATATTGTTCAATGAAGTACATCTCCTCTGATTAATTTGATAACATGGATATTGTATACACATAATATCATCAACATCAACTGATAACATCATTTTCATTTGTTCAATTAAATATTTCACATTTGTCTTGATATATATTAAAATCTCTTCACATTCATATTTAATCTTTTGTGTTAACTGATTAATATATACTTGTAGACAATTTATAAGTAGTATTGATAAATCTAATTGTATTTGTACATTGATATCATTAACATAATAAACAATATTATTTTCATATTCACTGTGACAAATTTGAAGTAACTCTTCAATTTTCATTAATTGATCTACATACATCTATAACAGTAATATTAATAGTAGTAGGATAAGAAATTATTATTAAAAAAAAAGTAGTTGGGTTTAATTTTTTAAGGAAAAAGAAAAGATGAATAGAAAACATATTATAATAAGAGATTGATATCATTAGTTAGTACTATGATTCACTTCAGTTCACACAACTTGGGATACCGAAATATAAATTCCAAGTAAACTATCACTATACTCTCTTTGTAACTATTGAAGCAACACCAAAAAATGTGAGTAGAATCAAGGAGAAGTTTTTTGATTTAGAGTTCAACTGACAATGGTATAAGGTGGAAGTGTATGGGATTTTTGTTGTTGAGTGTCCTTGAGAGTCAACCAGTGAATATACGAATTTCGTATAGTCATATTTAACTGCATGGATGAAGTTTAAAGTTATTCGAATGAGGATTTAAACAGTTATGTAGGTTGATTTGAATTGAATTCTTGAGAAATAGTGCGTTCACCAACAGTAAGAGAATACAAATGAAAGTTAAGTATCGCTTGAGAACTTTTTTGTCTTCATTTGTGACCAATAAATACACAAAACTTAATAAAAAATCTCTTAAAAATGATATCGATAGAATGACTTCAACATTTTATTCAAGAAAACTGTCCACTATAAACCGAAAACTACAATCTATTTGCCTTGTTATGAGGTTTCCCATACTAATACTGATGTACAAGTATCCATTCTATACCTGAGACCGAACCAGGTACTGGAGATTATTGAGAGCGAGGATGAAGCCTTGTTAACTAAAAGAGAATCAAGAATATATGTACACTTATTTAAAAATATACATCTCTTTGCTTTTGAAAATAAAGTCACATTTCCAATCAGTGGAATGTGTCTCAGTTCCTAGGAAATAAAGCTGAATATTTGTCAATAACTTGCTTTTATCTTTTGATTGGCACAATGTATCACTATATTAAGTGCTGTGTTTCAAGAAATAATTACTTTTAAATCGTTTACGTAAAGAGTAAACTTCCTTTATTCCGTAGGATTAAATGTAAATTAGTCTATATAGTTCTGTTTGTTGTTCAAATATGAGGTCCAATAATCAATCACAACTATCTCACCGATTTGTCTACAATTAAGAGTTAGAAACGATTATGGTTCACACAGAGAAATATCTATCACCTCTGACCAACCTAAGAAATAAATCTTCCGAATTCCATACTCATTAATAACGTTGTGAGCAGCACAGAAAAACACTGATCTTAATCAATAAACTTTGGATAATGTCTAAAGGATTGCTAAACGGCCGTTCAGTGCTTCCAGGTTTCCTATGGTGGTCTAGCTTCAATTGACTCATGATCTCAACTGTTGAGATTGTTAAAGAACAATGTATAATTGAAACAGAACCATTAAAAAAATTTTTTGGATTACAGTTCATTCATTTTCGACATTAATATCCACAAACTCAAGACTTCGGATTTCTGTTTGCATATTCTGATGTTTGTTTTACACTCACTTTAAATGAATTAAAACAAACCTAATACCTTTCAGTGAAATTAATTAATTAGCAAGCAAGAAAAATCATTCAATTGAAATCCATTAAAAAAAACTCACTTCTGCATTTTCTTTGAGTTCATCATTGAATGATGATGATAGTACTGTTTCGTCTATAAAATGTATAATCCATTCTGAAATCATATCTATTCGACGTTGTAATGTAGTTAAATAAATTTGATTTTGTTCAAAATTTAATGTATTCTTTTTGTCGTCAACTTTGTATTTATTTAAAGCTTTGAGACGTTCTTCTTGTTCATTGATTAACACATTCATGGAAGATACACTATTAATATTATTATCTATAAAAGGATTTCTATGACATATTGTACAGAATACTGGACATCTAGATGGAAGAAATATCTCATTCGTTATATAACAATTGTGTATAATACCATCATTCACTTCATCAGGAACGATAGACGATGAAGATGATGAATTTTGAAATGTTTCCATCAAACCATTGGTAACATCATGTGAACAGTTTTTCTCTTCGTTAACAAATAGGCTGTTGAATAATATTTGTTGTCTTTTCAACTCGTCTATCACCTCTTGATAATTAAAAGAGCATAAAGACTGATGTATATCTACAAATGAAAAATAAGAGATACAAATAACTTCACAAAAACCAATATGGGCAAGATAGAATGAACCCTATTTCAATTTATTCAGTATTTTACGACTACTTGTGAGAAAGCAGCAGGACTTGACAATATTCCAGCTGAAGCACTAAAGTCAGACATAGAAGTAACCGCAAAGATGTTCCACATTCTATTCAGGAAGATTTGGGAGGAAGAACAAGTGCCAACAGACTGGAAAGAAGGATACCTCATCAAGATAGTAAAGAAAGGAGGTCTGAGAAAGTGTGGGAACTATGGAGTTATCAAAACTACTATCGGTCCCAGGAAAGGTTTTTAACAATGTTGCTGAACCGGGTGAAAAATTCAGTAGACGTACAACTTCGAGATCAACAGACCGTATTCCACAAGGATCGGTCGTACACAAACCAAATCGCGACACTATGAATAATCAATCCAATGGAACTCGTCACTATATAACAATTTACTTGATTCTAAGGAAGCATTTAACAGTATGAATAGGAGAACATTTTGGAAACTTGTTCGACACTATGGTGTACCTGAGAAAATTGTCAAAACCATCCGGAATTCATATGACGAACTACAGTGCAAAGTCGTGCATGTAGAACAGTGAACAGGTGCATTGGAAGTAAGGACTGTGGTTGGGCAGGGCTGCCTATTCTCTACCTTTCTTTTTCTCCTGGTGGTTGACTGGATTATGAAGGTCTCTACATACGAGAGGAAGCAAGGAGTACAAAGGACAGCGCGGACTCATCTAGACGATTTGGACTTTACAGATCACCTAACTCTTACATCTCATACACAGTGACAAATGAAGGTGAAGACAAATCGTGTAGCAGCAGCCACTGCAGCAGTAAGCCTCAACACACACGAAGGAAAAACCATGATCCTGAAATACAGCACGGCGAACACCAACGCGAGCACACCTGATGGTGAAGCTCTGGTAGAGACGGAATCTTGCAGGTTCCTGGGCAGCATCATCGACGAACAAGGAGGATCTGATGTAGACATAAAGGCAAGAATTGGCTAACTAAGGGCAGCATTCCCACAGTTGGACAACATATAGAACTCAAAATAACTGTCCGTCAAACAATATCAAAATTAGAATATTCAATACAAACGTCAAGACAGTCCTGCCGTATGGAGCTAAAACTTCGAGAATTACCACAACCATCATCAAAATGGTACAAGTATCTAAAAACAGTTTTCTACGTAAGATACTCAATGTCTGTTGACCGGTTACAATCAGCAGCAGCCTACTGTGAGAGAGAACAAACGAGCTTCCTGCTGAAGTGAAAATTAGAAAAACAGATTGGAAGTGGATAGGGCATACATTGTGAGTCACCAAGCTGCATTACAAGGTAAGGATTAACTTGGAATCCCGAAAGAAAACGGAAAAGAGGGAGGCAAAAGAACACATTACGTCGGGAAATAGAAGCAGATATGAAAAGGATGAATAACAACTGGAAGGAGATGGAAAGGATTTCCCAGGACAGATTTGGATGGGGAATACTGGTGGGCGACCTATGCTCCTCTACGAGGTGTACTTGTGAACATTTTTCTGCACTCAGTGATCACGAGATGCAAATCAATGAAATTTACTGTTCATCTGCACAGTCTTCAAACCATTATAAGCAATTAAAATTTGTGCACAAACTTCTTATATGACTCAAATCGAACTTGAGAACGAAAACACTTAGTTTATTGAAATGCAAATTTATACTACTAATAAGTAATACATTTAGGAAAGACTTACATGAAAATCCGGATTTCTGTGGATATACTTGATTCATAACATTTGATAATTCCATATTATTTAACAAAGCATTAATATTATTGCATACAGATACAAAATTTATCCATTGATTCATAATGATATGTAACACTGATTTAAGCTGATGTAAACGAATACCAAGAATAAGCCAATCACTTGTCAAAATAGTGTTTGGCAAACTAGCAGCATTGTTAATTTGGTTACAGATGGTCTGATGAGATCTTTTTACAGTGAATGAGTACGTAGAAACATAAATGAATAATGGTTCTAATTGAATATATTCATTATACCATGACTATAATTGAAGAAAGAAAAATAAATAATGGAAACTGTTATTATTTGTCGAGTAAACGGTAAGAGGTGACCATCTTGGTAAGTATTTATGTATACAATACAACGTTACGTGGAAGAAAATGGGTGAAAAGTTGCACTAGATTTAGATCTTTTGCTGGTAGATACTCGTCAGCGATGTGTATCTGAAGTCGTAATGAAACTGATACACATCGTGAGATTTGGACCAGCATCATCCTGTGTTATACACATGGAAATTTTACTGTTGAGTTATTCAAACTACGAACTATTTTGTTTGGGACTGCAGTATTTACGCTTACTGGTCACTGAGTAATAATCAATATAGTGTTTGTCTAATCCTTAATGGTGATAGAATTCTATCGACCAAGTGGAAATGTGGTCAAGTTAGTTTAATTCTTTAATGATATGAAAACTGGGTTTAATAATCTCTGTTGATCGCCTTCAACCCAATTAACATCAAAACACGATATATGCGATGTCGAACCACTTACATTGAAATTTTAGACAGCCAACAAGACTTGACAAACATGGCGCTGGCTATTACTCAGCAACTGGTGACGATATATGGTTGGCTGACGTTAGATACTGATAGGTGTTTTCACATTTGTGGATTTACCATAATATATTTAATCTTTAGTGTTTATTGAAATCAGACTAAAGTTTCTCAAGATTTGTGATCTGATTGACAGTATTTAAAGCTTCAACAATCCATAATCACTTAAAATCGTCATAAACCTTTACGTAATCAAATACAACTGAATATTATGCACATTTTTCTTTTTCTTCTAATTCTACAAATATACAAAATACAGTTGGAAAGATTAGTTTCTATTCCACTATCGATTCATATATTCTCTTTCAAACTGATCAGTTAATTGATCAAATTAGGATACACCAGATGAAAAAGTTTGATCTATATACGACGTCTGCATAGAGTATATCACTGAATTTGAAGTGTTTTTGATTCTAAATTATCAAGTTTCACCTAAGAAAGTTTGATTCCATTGAATAAAAACCTGAATATCATAGAAAATATTATTCATTTAATAGATTAAAGTGGGAAATCCCAACTTCAAGTTAATAGACTGTGTCCAAATAACTCTACAATTTTATATTGGGAATTCATTATGAATTATGATAAAATCAAATTTATAATCTAGTCAAGATCAGGGTAGAGGCTCAACAATTTAAAATATTCAAAACCCGCTCTTCTTACTTAGATTCTAGCAACCGGATAGTAGCATCATTAGTCATCACACGAAACAACGGAAACACGATGAATAGTTAATAAAGTATCGATCGACTATGTATAAGTCTCCTATCTATCGTAAAATAAACTAAGTGGTCAATTCCCAGAATAAATTCAAAAAATCTGAGTTCTAGATAAAACAATCAGAACTATGATAATCTAATGGTTGATATTTATGTTAATAAACTTTATTTACTAATTTAAACACAAAAATATTGGTGCAAGGAGGCAACAAATATAAATGCGTCACACAAATAGTTCAATTCATATGACGGCTGGGATGCTACCCGGGTGCTCAAACTAGAGAAAGTTGTTTCCTTAGGGGGCCACGCCCCGAGCCTTTGATATAAAGGTCTAATCCAAAAGGTGGTGGGGCAACTTTAGGACATGCAGTCCTATAGTAACCGGTTACCATCAATAAGTTCATATGTCATTTGTTTCCCTAGGATTCTGGAACCCCTGTGCACCATTGGTTGTAAATCACGGTTTTCCAACTTCTCCAGGTAGATCCTCCGTATCCACCAACCCGGTTAAGAAGCTGTACATTCTCTTTTTGTCCTCTTAGTTTCGTAAACAACACCCCTGCCGAGTAAAGGCATTGAGTAGGACTTCCATGGTAGTTGCTGTGTACGTGTGGCCATGTGAGAGCATTTCGAGAGAGAGAAAGAACTCTCCCCACCCTTAGTCCTGCCAGGGCATTTGGGGGGGGGGGTGAAGCGGTGTGTGTCGGTCAATTAACGTAGTAGTAATTTTCAAATAGCAAAATGACATACATTATATAACAGAAAAATTACTTTCATTCAGTAAAATTATCAACACTCACATTCACACTGATACACTGTTTGATAATATCATCTAATTTGAATTTGAATGGATGTTCATTGGTTGTTACAAACAAACTCTCGATTGAACGGATAATATTTTGTTCTAATAAACTAAATCTTTGTAACAGATATGAATTTACACAACTATAACAATCATCTTTGCTGTTCATCACATTCTTGTTGATCATGTTATCATTAGTGAAATATTTCATGAAGTTATTGAAGTATTCTAATTTTACATTGAACATTATTGACTTAGATGATAATAAATTATACAAATTGTGAATGCCACCATTGAATAAATTAATTGAAATAGTATTTTTAATTGTTTCCACTAAATTCATGATATTGTCAGTTTGAGAATTACAAAGTTCCAATTCGTTTTCATTCGATGATAATACACCAGTTGGATACAATTGAATTGATTGTAAATATTCTATTGAATTTATCCAATGTATACGTTCATGTTTTATTCGACATAAATATAGGTTTGTTAATTGAATCAAATTGGAAATCTCCTCATTCAATGAAAATGTTGATTCTTTAATCGATTTAGTAGAAAATTCTTTTACATTAGACAATAAAGTATGTTGATAAGCAGATTTAGCTAGATTAATCAAAGATAAACTAGGCGGTATGTGATCAAAAACAGGATTATCAAGGTTAAGGTTGGTATTCGCAACAATATTACTATGTAGATGTGAACTACATATGCAATGATTATCAATTAACAACTCTTTAATATTTGCCTCACATATATCTTTGGATTGCTTTAATTGACGCATAATACTCGCGTAAAGTGTCTGAGACTTTCCGAACTGATCGATATGGATTTGAAGATTGGAATAAAGCTGTTCCAGTCTTTCTACTACAGTAAGACGAACTGTAGTAAATTCCGTTAGTAATGACTTGGTGGATAACTGAAAAAAAAGAATTGATCGTGCTATAAAACGCAAGACACAATTATTTTAATAAACATTAAACTACTCATAAGTAGTTGACGTCTGTACAGTAAATTAATGTGAAAACGAAATAACCGGAGAAGACCAACGTTGTATGTGATATGTAGTATGATGACAACTGTAGTTCCGTATGCTATGAGTTTTGATGAGGTTACGAAGTGCTTTTCTGTTGCACTGATGATATGTTGAAGAAAATTATAAATGGCATACTTGTAATCACTGTATACTTTCGTTGTTTGACATAGGGGATTGATACCATCTCCTATACACTTCTTATTACGTAATTATATTAATGTACTGTGATAATTAATGTGAAGTCTATTTACAAAAGTTTGAGCTACTTTCTATGTTGAACTATTGACTAGAACTCTGTTATTTTATTATTTTTATCACTGCTAGTACACCTGTCTTCTTATTATCACTTTGTACTTTTTACCTATTATGTGTAGTTATATAATTCTATTCCATTGTGACCAGTGACTCATGAACTGGCTTGATTAGTTTAGTGTTTTCATACAAATATTCTTGTACATCAGAGTAAAGACTCATGACGATTTAATTGACAACAATATTATTCACTTATATATTTTGTTCCACTTGTATTTTAAACAGTTAATTACAAATGATGTAATGATCTATGTTGCCAACATTCTAAAACAACACAGAAAGAGATGATTAACCAAATAAATAGTGGAATATTTGAAATGACTCTAAAAATGATGATGAGAAGTAAACGGAAACAATTGAGCTCAAAAGGAACAAATGATATTCCAGTACGTAAAATTTATCTTGAAACCTAGGAGTTATGAATAGATCTGTAACGCTGCTATTGATTTCAGGATGTTACCTAGTTTGCAGTGAACTGTAAATACGAAGCCTGTATTTTTTGGTGTAACCCGTATACGCCCATCGTGAAACATGAAGATTCTGTGTTGTACTAAGACTTATGTTCACGAATTCGGAAAGCCTAGTTGACTTTTCTCAGCTTATGTTGGTTGTGGCGTAAACGAGATATCTATCTCCCTATCAACTAAAGGACGAGTTTACTGTGCTTTATTATACTTCATCGTTGTGAGACATGGCGTTTAAAAATAGAGGATATTCGTAGGTCACTAGTATTTGATCATAGGTGACTTTGAACCATTCCTTGCATGTTTTAGAACCATCTAGTCAGCAATTCTGAGGTTAGATGTAGAGTACTAGGTAAGTGTGGCAAATCAATTGACGAGGTAGTGAATTTCTTTTTTGATGGAGACGGTTAGGACATTTAGTACATATGCCTATTCACCGATTACCTTTATGCGCTAAGATAACTGACATAGTACGTTGGGAGGACAATAGGGGCGACTAAACCAAAACATGACATCAGTTCATGAAGATGCTGACTATTGGGTTGAGTCATTTAGTTAGGTATGCTTATCTTAATCAATCGTAACAAACTTTAAGTGATATGGTTCAAAATCGTTCGCCATGGCTCAGGTGTATCCATTCACTCTTTGTCTTCTCTTAGATTTAAAGTTTCTAAATTCTTTATGAATGTTTTATTCCACTCTGAGGATTCCACCTTAACAATTTCATCTCGCTGTACTGATGAGCTAAATCAACTTGGATCGACATATATATATGTATGCGCCTGGTTCTATATTCCGTTTGAAAATTTAAAAATAAATAACACTTAAATCTTTGTTATCAACAAATACTTCATTAAATCCTTGTTCATTTGTATTAATCTAAACAGTTACCTGAATATATTCACAAATGAAACAATTCAAATCACATTGACATAAATCCAAAATTCTTTGACCATAATTTATAAATTGTTGGAAAGTCGACTGATCAGTCTGAATCATAACATTATCATTATTCTCATTATATGCCCAATATCTCTTTAATACATGAATTTCATTCAGAAAATTTAACAATAAAGATGTGATCAACTGATGATGACGATGATCATGATCATGGACGAATGATTTAGAATCATGAAAATTTTTGATCAAATTAAATTGTTCACTTATTTGTTGTAGAAAATTTACTCGTCCATATAAATGAATTAATTGATGTGAAAATTGGTAAAATTTAACTAAATTTTCAATGACTACTGATGTTAAACAATCACTATTATTATTATTATTATTATTATTATTATTATTATTATTATTATTATTATTATTATTTGATAACAATAATTGATCATTTTCAACAGAATCATTATATTCAATAATATTGTTATATAATTGAACATTGATAAAATTTAATTTTTCTAATAGGGTATTCAATGTTTCATTTTTAAATAAATATTGATTGATTTGATTCATGGGAATTTTATAAAGGTCAATGATTAATTTCAATGTATTCATTTGTGTTAATTTTGAATTGGATATAAATTGTTCAGTTTTATTTTTTAATAATATTAAACGTAAATTAAAATGTTTTCTTAAATTTTCATTGGTCTAACCGGGAGAGAGAGAGAGAGGGGGGAGGAAGAGAGGGGAGAGAGAGAGGGAGTGAGAAACATGTATATATGAGAAATAGTAAAAAATTTATGATTAGTTTTGGCATGGGTGACAAATTTTATTTATGATGAACATTTTTGAGAATCTATGAAGCAAACTGTTATGTCCCAACAAGAATAATGAATGGTAACTTTTGAGATCTATTTACGGACCAATACTAAACGTATATTTCTATTGTATAATTATTAAGTAACTAAACTATGCATATTCATATTCCTCTTATTATAAGCTTTATGTTGACCCATAAACTATTATTATACGTTTTACCATTCTTGAGTTATACCCAGTATATTAATTATTACCTCCCTCATTCACAGCCAAATCTGGCTAATTCTTGTATAAATGTTGTTTCATATTTTATTGGTACGTTGTGGTCTGTTTGATTGGTATATAAACTCAGTATGTTTGAAATATAATGATTCATATTGCAGAAGCTGAGACTGTTGTTCTGGACTTAACTGGCTGAACTAGGCGGAAAGCAAGACCAATCAGGACTCTAGGCTGCTTGCACGTGTTTTACGCGTCCTTGGTCCTATTGATAACTCGCTGCTTCTGATTGACGGCTTTGGGCTATAACACAAACAATTTGAGTTAACATTTTCTAAAAATAAATGTGACTTTCAAGTCATTTACAAATGAATAACTTCAAAAAGAAAACCCTATCAATAAAATTTCTGGTAAATAACAATGACTAGTAAAATTCAATGATGTTGGAAAAGAGTAGAATAACTCATTTATCAGGTACAGATTTATTTTCTTGGCTTTGAGCTATACTCCAAGCGTGACATGTAGTGATACAGCCTAGCTGTGCAAGTCAAAGTAGATGGAGGGAGTCCGAATGTGGCCCCTAGTAGATGAAAGTAGAGTCTAGTAGATATGGAGCCGATCTCTCTACTCAACCATGTTAAGAATGAGGTAGACATCAGTGGCAAGGATAGATAATGGTTTAGCGATATCATATATTGTCTGAAGTTGATGTATGTGAATCGACTTAGAAATAGAAATTAATCTATTCAAATCCTAGAATAAAAATCGATCATATTATTAGTACTATACTAATACATAAGATTACCAACTAAAAAGGACAATAGAAAATCGAATCATAAATAATACATGGAGCATGTGAGAAATATGTGTCAAAACACATTGTCATGTCTCATCAGCAGAGAAATATGAAATTTAAAAAAGTGAATGATAAAGAAGTCAAACCTCAACTAGATAGTTTGGATCTACCAACATGGCTTAGTTTAACAATAAATAAATTTCATGGACTGATGCCATTTCTTGGTTTGTTCGAATATAAGTACCGTTCTAACTTATTCCTACCGCAATTCATATCACAGGTCAAAGTAGAATTAAATTCAACCTCATTAACGGATTTTCCATATATGCATAGTACTTTATACTTAAACTTATTATTGCTCACTTGGTTTTTATTTTTCTATTTGAGATCAGTAGTTTTAGAATACCTATGATCCAATATTTAAAAGAGGCTTACAAGATTAGTATTAATGTATTTATTGGTTCTTACTACCCTTTTGGATCGAACACATAAATGAGATTAGTTTGTATGATAAACTGAGATCGTACTTACAGTTTTTTTTTAAGGAATCAACTTCAAACTGATCGCTCAGAAATAGCAACTTCGTTTTAACTCCTGTAATTTTTAAAAAACTGAAGGGTGTCACTAGCCCTGACCAAATGAATTAAACATTTTCATTATACAGATCGATAAAAACGTAATTAGGATCAAAGATGTTTCCCTAATTATCTATCCAACGAATTTTATTTGTTCTTAGCCTCATAATAATAGATAGTTTTATAAATCAATTACATGTAAGTTGAACTTGAATAAGTTATTTGGAAGCAATTACAACATAGTTAATCAAATTGAAGTGATCAATCTCACTGGAAGATTAATCTTGAGACTTTTTCGTTTAAAATCTATCCCTGGAACGGTTGTGAGTTTAGACTGTTAAGGATTTTAATATTAGATAGAACAAAAGACCTGTTTAGTGCTTTCTAATTTCCAATGGTACTTCATCAACTAAGGTCAATCTATTATAAAATATAATCTACAAATTCGAATTTAATTTATTACTCACCTTTTTCACATTCAATAGTTCAATAAAAATATACTTTGAGAAAAAATTCTTATCTACATCTGTATATATCGTCATATCAGGATATTTTATATTGAACACTTCAATTTCAATGAATAATTGATTAAAACACAAATTTAATTGTTCATATTCATTAAGATCAGTTAACAAATTGATTTGAACTTGTTTCAATGTTTCCATATGTTTCTTGCATTGAACGAGTTGTTCTGAATAAGAAATTATTGTATTATTATTACTATCATCATCACAATCTTTATAATGTTTCCATAATTGTTGTTCTAAATTGTATAATTCTAAGAGAATAGGTAAACGAATTTCTAATTGACGATATAGATTTTGAGTTATATCATAAAGGATTTGATTAGAGATTCCATTCAATTGAATAAATCTTAAATCATGATCAGAGAATCTTTTCATGATTAAATTGAACCAATCTTGAGAATGATAGTAGTATAGTACATTGAAAATGGTTGAATAGTTTTCATTATTAATAGACAACTGTAGAATATTTCTTAGAATAATTTGTTGATAATGATCTAGAATTTGTTTATAATATAAAAGACAATCATTATAAACTTTAATAATCCATTGACTTGAATTCATAAGACGGGAATAAAATAAATAATTTTGACAATGTAATGGATTCTTGTTCAATTGATCAATGTACAATTTTAAATTGTTTAATTGAACCATTTTCTCATTTACATATAAATCACTAATGATGAAATCAATTTCATTGAATCTTTTGATATTTCGATATAAATCATTTGGATATTGTTTCATTTGAATTTTATATTGTTTCATAATAGGATCAAGTTGGTTCTTTTTTGATGTAATCCATAATGTTAAATCATTTATACAATTTTCTAATGATTGAATATAGAAAATTTGTTGATTGAATTCAACTAGTAAATTGAACAACCATTCAATTACTAAATCCCAAAATATTTTAAACTCTTTATTCCAAAATGTATTATTATTATCATTATTTTTATCATTATGATTGAAAGATTCCGAAGATGATGACGTCTTCTGAGCACCTTCGATAATATCTACAACATTTTCATGACTATTCATTGTATTTATATGAAGTAATTCATTAGTCAATGAGTGACCTTCACACAAAATAGCTTCACAAATAGGCATTAAACTTTTAAAAGATTTAAAAATGTTTTCTATCCAACTTTTATAGTATAATAATGCATCTAGAGAATTTGCAGAAATTAAAATATTGTACGATACTTGAATTGGTGATATAAATTTTATATCATTAATAAACTGATTCTTTTTATTAGTCTCTAATAGTAGGTAATCCAACTTGAATTGAGGTGGATTTGGCATTGGTGTTTCAGGTAATCGATTCCATAAGTTTTGTATATGCACTTTATTCAGTAGTATATTGAAATTTAGAGAAGATAAAATAAACAATTAACTAATTAAACAGAGTTATAAAATAGTATAAAAGGATTTTCATTTTTATAACCTTGACTGATAAGCGGATACTATTGATTTAAGATCTAAATAGAAACTGCGACCAATAGTTAGAGATGTTGTATCAAATGATTCGGAATTGGCTGCGGTGACACAGATAAGTTCATTTTATTATCTTCCTTTAGATCTTGTATCCCAGTATTCCTTCATACATAATTTCTTATTGTGTTTTCTAAAATCATAAGTTCAATCAATTTACATTATTCTACCATAATCTATTGCTTGCAGTGGATAATTGTATTACACTTAACATGGTTGAACTTCACTAGTCTTGCCTTCTCACAAGAACTCTTGGAATCGCTTCCAAAAATTAGTCACTAGACTAATGGATTATTATAGACATAGGAGTATTGTAGAGATTATTAAATTTTTATAGGTTACACCACTTGCTAATATCTTAATTAGATCGCTAATGAAAACTTTCATACTGATAATTTAGAAGTTAGTTATTTATAATAATAAAAATAATAATAATAATAATAATAATAATAATAATAACAATAATAATCCCTAAATCTAGATCTGTAAGGTGTATAAATCATTGAATCAGTAACAATGATAAACTGGACATTCATATCTTGACGAGAAACTCATGAAACTTTCGCTATGTTCTCAGAGATTCAACTTATTAATTAATGCACGAAATAATCATTGAAATAGAAATCTAAACATCGATTTAATTACTAAATCCTAAAATCGCTTTAATCTAAATTTTTATCTTCAATAGAAGGTTTGAAAAATGATGACAACCAATCGAGTTTTACCGCAGTTGGTTATGGTATTTAACTGTTAACCACGAAGTTGTACGACCAAACTAAAACATTTTGAGCAACCTGGTAATGTAGCAATGTAGTATGGCATGAACGTATAGGTACTATTAAATACAACACTAATAAAGGAAAACCCGTTTAATATTTCTAATCAAACAAAACTTATACATATTAAAAATTTATCAGATTTGAAGTAGATTCACATTAAAAGAGAAAAAAGTAATAAAATTCATGCTGAACAACGTACCATTGAACCAATCTACTTGAGTGCTTAATCGTTTCCATCGGTCTAGCAGACTATGACAGTTTGCAGACCATATCATTAATTTATGGTTTAAATCTAAACCTTGAGTGATAAGATCTGTAATTTGTTGTTGTTGAATACGTGATTTACATTCTTCATACTGTAGTGGTTGGTTATCCACTGTCGCAGTATTGCTGGATTCGTTCAGGAGATGTAATCGATAACAAATAGAATAAATCTGAGAAAATAAGGCCTATGAAATTTTAGAAAAAAAGATGAGTTGTAAGATGAGCACAAAGGTAGAGAATGTAAATTTTAACCGATGATAATAATAATAATAGATTCTGAAAATTATAACAGAATCCACACCAACTTACATACATAGTCGGGTTGATACAAAAAGAGAGAAAACATTAAAAAAAGAAAACAAGAGTACATTATTCGAACAGATCTTATGCAACGAAACTTCCTTTAAGTGAACACAATGGTAATGAAGTTGTTTAAATAGTATAACATGAAACATATAACAGTTCACTAGACCAAGATAACATTTTAAAGCATAGAAATATTGACGGAATACACACCAAAGCAATCATTAGTTTGAGTGGACTCGCAATCAGGAAGCGAAATAGTAATGTATGGTGAACATAATCAGATTTACCAATAAAGTGGTATAAGTTTCAAGTCGTTTAGCTGTTAGATGGGTTCTATGAGTCACATTTAAATAACTTCACCTTGATAACTAGTTTCGAGGCTTACGTTGTGAACATTTGTGTAATTTTATCATTTTCAAGCTGGAGCATCCTTTGTGATTACTGGTCGATATTTATTTAAGAGTCGATTTCAGTAAAATGCTTACATGAAAATATAATAATTCCTGTGAAATGTCTACAGAAAGTAAACTGAATTTCTGAACATTGAGTCCTGGACCAAGATTACTCTTGATTTAATTGTGTCACCTAATTTCAGTGAAATAACCTTTTGTTTCTTTAGTGATGGATTGAACTTTGCAGTATTGTAGTACTAGTTTTGATTCGTTAAATATTTGCCTCAAATATTCATTATTAAACACCCTTAGTTCATGATCACGTAGAGCATAGATTGTAATTATGCAATGAATTGACCAAATGTATTCATGGAAATTTACCTAACAATAATTAAGGTTAGAGACATGTTCTATTCACAATTTATTAACTTCCAAAAATGAAAGGATATTATGAGTTTGAAGAAATTTTAAAATCAGTCAACAAACCCCCGAGTTAGGCTGAGAAAAATATTTAGCTAACAAACAAATGTGAATCTAGACTTGATCTTGGTACTGTCTATCATATATCTTATTTGATTCAATAAAGCCGATGTTTTGATAGCACCAGTGACTAAAGTCATTCAAACTAAAAATTTACTCAAAAAAACCAATTAACAAATTCTAACTGAACAGATTTCGAAACAGTCAAATACAAGCTGAAAAATCATGTACAGCTTTTTAGAAAAAACTCTCACCATGAGCAACAAGTCTAAAAATAACGCAGGACAAGTATGACAAACCAACTTTCGAAATCTTTGAGAAAAACGTTCTATTTCATTTAACCTCTTATTATCTTCTCCTAGTTAGCTGGCAGTTGACGTATAGGTGTGTTAAAGATTGATTCTTTCTTTGGGTCACATAAATATGTATCTACAATTGTAATTGCTTTTGTGGTACTGGTTATATTGATCATGCAAAGTAAGCAGTCTCTGAACGCATCGCGGAGTATCACCGTGAGTAGCATTTTAAAGTAGATTGTAAAACCATCAATAGTTCAATATTAAAAACTTTCATCAACTCTGAGCACACTGTTAACAGTAGAAATATTTCCCATAGTCAAACTAATGAATTCGACGTGAGAATAAATCAATAACTTGTGTATTAAAGAAATGTTAGTTATTTATCATTCCAAACTAGAAATATATGCGTAAAAGTAGCATGCACAAATTCCCTTACACTTAACATTTTTAGAATATCAAAACTTATTTTTAATGTTTTTTTTTCAAAGTTATTTATTGCTACCAGCTTCATGTTTTTTTGAGTTTATTCTTCTCGTTTTTCATGCTCATCAAACGGAAAATTATCGTATATATATATATTAGTCATGACTTTTACCATGTTTTTAAAACCTATTTGTAAGGAAAAAACTCATCGTTTTCTAGCTGATGCTTGTTATATGTAATGTGCAATCTGAGAATTGTATTCGATCAATACGATATAGATTTATTAGAAAACATTGGAGATCAAAGTTGAGTTTGTGATGGCGCCAGACTACCTGGTTAAGGTCTATACAATCAACATACAAATGGTTGAAGATGGACAATGTGTTTTACAATCGGTTCTAATGACACAGATACTTTGCCTCAGAACATTTATTCGAAGATTTAATTCTTTCTACTCGAATCATATTGTCTATATCTAATCTTTCCCACTATGAAAACCACTGATATTGTTAGTATTTAGACAATTCGGGTATTTATCTTAATAACTTTATCTGGATGTACCGATGTGAGTATGAGACTCTTTAGCAGTGCGCATCCACAATCCTGCACCAAAAAACTCGGATATAGGACCTTCTGCCTTAACCTCTAGGCCACTGAGCCGGGATCCAAAGGTGTTAATGTCTAACTTCAATCAGTTCATGATCCTGAGCAACACTTCATCCATGGCGAAGACTACAACATTAAATTAAATCTAATTCAACTTACCAAATTCTTATTATATCTATTTTCTAATTCTTTCATTGTTAATACTGGTATATTAACTAACAATTCAATGACAATGAATAAATATTTGAAAATGTGTACAGTTTTTAATGAATTCATAGTTATTGATGTTTTCACACAGCTAGATGAACCCATGATGATTAGATTTTTCAATGTATTATTCGACATTATAACATCATCATCATTATCATGAATGGGATCATTTGATTTGACATTACTTTGTATTGTTTTAATGATATTTAATGGAAAATTAATTGATTGATTAAAACAATCAATAAATGAATTTAATAGATTAAATAAATTTATTGAATATTGATCAGAATTATATTTATTTAATAAATAAATTGTAGTAAATTGTATTAAAAATTCATTAGATTGTTGATTGATTGAATGATAAGAATTAGATGGATTTATTTGATTTAAAATATATTGTAAGTAATTGAATTCATTTAATAAAATTATCTATTTAAGACAAAATAATAAAAGAAATAATAATTAAATTACATTTAAAAAGAATAATTATTTAATGAATATTACCATCCATAGCTTGTAGTTCCATACCTTTAAATACTCTTAGAATTATCAGTATAGGGGTTGTGGAGATTATTAAGTTTTTTGATTGAGATCATGAACCGATTGATGTCAGACCATCGTTGGAAACCTGGAAGCACTGGACGGCCATTTCGTCCTATTGTGGGACTAAGGATCAGGAGATTCCACGTTCGAATCCTGGGCAGGCTTGACTGCATTTCTAACTACCGTGATAACACAACTACATACATAATCCCCGTCCATTTTTCTCACAATAGGACAAAACGGCCGTTCAGTGCTCACATGTTTCCAACGGTGGTCTAACATCAATCGGTTCATGATCTCAATCAAAAACTCTTAGAATTATTCTATTGATAGGCATGATGAACGGTAAGATTTTTAATTGGATAAGATGAATAAATAACAACTGTCTCACTAGTTATCTACAGTTTATTAATTAAATGAATATTATCAAATTCAGATAAGGCTAATTATTTCAAGAATAATAATTGAACATCAGTCTTTGTGTGTATCCATAAATTTAGTGTTAAATTCACTTGGTATTGTTTGTATCTTCCCATTGTTGTTAGAAATTGCAATCAATCAGTCTCTTGTTGGCATATATGCATCCTGTGCGGATCGCCTTGATATTACCCTAAGTCACAACCCAGGAGATTAAGTCACGTGCGCGAACGCTTAAAATCTAGACCAGTGAGCTGGCATCCAACGGCATTAATGTATAAATTCAATCGATCCATGATCTTGTGCAACCCTTTGTAGATTTGCTTAACTTCTCTATGTTATAAATAGTATATTAAATTACAGTTAATAAGTAAAGATATTTAAATCATACAATAATAAAAATCTTACCAGATAATTGTTATTTGAAGTATCCATGAAGTTATTACTCGAATTCCTTTTAAATGTATTCTTTATTCGACTAACACTATACACACTTAATATATCATAAATAAATAACAATGATTTATAGGCAAAGTAGAAAATAAGTATCAAAATACGTGAATAAATCATTTCTATGCATAATAAATCTGTTGTTTTAAATAATGTACACCATAAATTTGGTAATGGAAATGGTTCATGCTCAAAAGAGGATAATTTTGACAAATGTTTATTTAAATCTCTAATTGATGAATGAATTTCATTAGTCAATATGATTAATTGATCAAATAAATCAGAAGATGTATTTTCGAAATAAATGGTTACCATGTTCTATAATTAAAAAAAAGAAGAGTAAAGGAAATGAAACAACTGGAGTGTTTTATCACAAAAAAGACACTTTACATGACGAAATGAATTTAGTTAAATGACAAGTGAAAATAAGAAAGTATCGGATATAATGGTACTGGAAAATGATCGATTGGAGCTAGAAATGTAAACTATTTAATCTTAAATCAGTGATCTGAAGGTTAAGCATTTGCTAAGAGACATGAAGGTCGTGGATATGCACTGTTGAGTGCAATACTAGGATGAAACAGCTGTTTAGTGTTTTCTAGTTTTCAAAGGTTGTATAGCTAGGATCAGTTGGCGATGTAAACTAGAAAATCTAAGTATTTCCATAGAGCCTTTAAACGAGAAACAAATGCAAAACTGATGATAATAATCTAATAAGGTGGATTGAAGAGATTAACTCATAAGTAAGGAAAGGTTTCATCATGAATCAATGTCAACTAGGGCACATCACTGAAGACAAGATGACACTTCGCAAGCATTTTATCCTGTTAATAGGCTCCTCAAAAATATGCATCAACGAACCCGCCAAATATCAGACCTATGACTTTCAACTCTCTCTCTCTTGATGGGCGTTGGCTGACATCTAATAGTTTACATTAACCGATTATAATCGATTCGCAACACAGCGTTGTCGTGATCGAATGTTATTAGTAATAGAAACTTGCTCAAACGTTCGGGCTATTTATCATTTTGCAGTTATATGATAAAATTTTTCGTTTTACGTTTCTTCTAACTCCTTAATTATAGATGGCAACCATATGTCTTCAAAGAGATTGAAACCTATCGCTAGGCTACTTACTGAAAAAATTCGAAAGGAATCACCATTACAGTAATTGCTACTTTTCCCCTCTAGTCTGTTGTTTAAACAAACAAATAATGTTTATCAGATAGGGGGATTGTAATAATTTGATTGTAGTAATTTAATAGTTGAATTTATAGGTTGATTAGAGCTAGACCATCATGGAAAACCTGGAAGCATTGGACTGCTAGGGAGTCTCATACTAAAACGAAACGGCCGTCCAGTACTCATAAATCCAAGTATTAATTAATGTTTACATTAGGATCAACCCATGAATCAAATAAATATTGTATGAAGAAATAAACTATCACTGGAATAAAACTAGTCAAGAACGTTGTTGGATGAAGATGAATGGTATATTACCATATATATATATATATATATATATATATATATATATATATATATATATATATATATATATATAACTTTTAATATTCATTAGTTAAATGGATAATAAAATGGGACTGATAAGTCTTGTCGACTGAACTCTATATTCGTTTCCTAAGCTATTCTGGTAAGCCGCAAGCTAGAACTACACAATGACTTGAACACCAGAGAGAAGACGCAAAGTATGAGAGAAATACTTTACTCCAAGGTTCGTTTTTGTACAGAAAACATGGGCATTTATAGATGTGAACGTTTGTTAAATCAGCATCATATTTCGGCCAATCCGTTGACGACATATTATGCTACTGACCAATAGTAGCACGCCACGTTTGAATTCTAGAATGCTCCATCATGCTCTGATTGGCTGGGACTCTTCGGCTCCGTTGAAGTTCTCCAAAAGCCGACTTAACAAGGACTTATAACAGTATTTAAAACTTTATGTTGTGAATTATTTGCTGTATTTATATATGTTATTTAATAAAACTATTATGATTTTAGTGCACTTGATATGTGGTTAGCAAGATGCGTGTTTCGTCCTGTTCGGGAATCGTTGGATGGACACATCTTCAGCACAACATCTATACTCACACTGAGACTCAAACTCTATACCTTTCGTTTCAAACGTCCGACGTATTATCCACTAAAATATTACGTCTCAATAGGACATCTAATTGTTCAACAGAGACTGATGTTTCCGTTTCATGCTTTAAAATATTCCGCACCATGTGCGTGAGTATATATAGTTTACATTCATAACTATTTAGTTAATATAGACTCAAAACAGGTAAACCTAGTTTTGGGAAACTAGACTGATAAAACATTTAAACAAACTTTTGGGAACCCTTGAGAATTCCTAAGAAGCTGGAAAATGGTTGAAAATACCCCTTTCAGTTAGCATTCAATGAAAACGTTTCATAAACCTCTCAAATGTGAGAGATTTCTGGGAAACTAGTAAGAGTTTAGAAAGTCAGCATTGAGCGTTCAAGTACCAGACAAAAGAAGAGAGACTGCTATCAATCAGTTTCATAAGAAATTATCACATTACTATTACTATGAAATACAATAATTGAATATAAAAGTCAACAAACTTACATTATCCACCAATTTCATGAAATCATCAGCTAAGTTAAACTGTTTACTATTCATTTTCATATTTAAAATAATTTCGTTAAAGTATTTCCACATATTGGTTAGATTATGTTCTATAAATGTTAATTCATTTTGTTCAGTAGTTAAATCATTTTTATCAGATGTAGTATTGAAGTAGTTCAGCATACGATCTAAATAGATTACCAATGGAGAATGAAGTGGATTGAAGATAGATAGCTGAGTTTCATCATCAAAGATATTTTGATCGATATTCAACTCATTATCTAAATTGATATTGTTTAATACTGTAAGATTGGTTTTGTTAAAATTGATTAAACTTGATTGAAATCTCTTGGTAATCTGTAGTAAATTCTAAAATTGTTCAAAGTTGTTATTTGAGGGAAAAAACAGAAAAAAAAACGGAGAGGAAACATTGATAAGTTGGATTAATGAGAAAATTAGTCGATACTACTAATCTACTACTATTAATAATAATAACAAGATAAGGTAGCATACCAGCCACTAGGATTTCAGAATATAATAAATAATAAAAAAAACACTAGGATGAAGACTTTAAACAAATCAGTGTTATTATTCTTACCATGATAATTGTGAAATCAAGCATCTTATTGAAAATAAAACGATACTAATGGGGAATATCTCCACAAAATGTATCTTTGTGATTTCGATTTCGATTTAGAAAGAAAAACAATATAATCTAGTTACTAAGTACAGGATTTATTTAGTCTGTCCTAAGTTATATATTTTTAGCTGATTATTATTTGAATCAAGGTAGATGAAGATCGAGTTTTGATGTCGCAACTCAGGCGTTGAGATGTTGAGACTTTCCAGTTAGAAAAAAAAGACAAAGTGGTGCCCCTTGATATATAGGCATAAAAACTACCATCCGTGGACAGTTTACAAAATATTTTTAAGTACAATTTAGTTCATGAATAGTAATACATTTCTATAAATAGTAAAAGAAAACTATTACTCACGTTATACGACTTTGAAAGCAATGTATGCAGTGAACAGCCATTCAACATAAAGTTGGCACCTTTTTCTGTACTACATGAGGATAATGATGAAGCATCAATATCATTGGATATGTGCAAATATGATGGAACGAAAGCATACGAATTTCCCTTATGCGAAGTTTCTTTCATTGAACCGAAATAGTGATCGTCAGAGTGGAACTGTTTAGTACATCTATCCTCCAACCTGTTCTCAGTTTGAATAGGTGTATTGTTTTTACTACAAACCCTGTGGAAAGATAGCAAAATGAAACAATAAGTTGCTTTGAAATTAAAAATAATCATATTTGGTATCAAAAGTTTAGATACAAACGCATTTTATTCATTTAAAGTTAACAGTGTATTATATAATTCAATACGTGAGTTGTGGAGATTGTTGGAATTTATCATAACCACTAACCAGCCTATATTAGATAACCACTAGAAACCTGAAAGCACTCAATACCCGTTTCGTCCTTACGTGAAACTCCTTGGCAGTGGAAATCCACGACCCTGCTAGATGGGACCAAACCAAGGACTTTCGGTTTTGCGAGTGAACGCTAAATCACTACCGATTGGTATTCGAGCACGACTCTTTTTTGATAAAATCGCTTAAAAATAAACAATATGATTCCGCCAACAATTTACTAGTGTTCCAATAGTCAACTTAAACTTCCAATTATCATATATCCACCAGTAAAAAATTTGGTCCATGTTGACTATATTTTTGTTTATTCATAAAATTGTATACCTAAATGGATTTATGAAACAGGAATACCAATTTGGAGGTCTTTGAAATAAAACGACGTACTAATTCAATTTGCTTCATTTATTAGCCATACAATTAGAGAGGAAGATATTACGAAGTGCACCTGATCAAGAACACCAGTGTATGGTTGATTTTTATTGTCTTAAACGATCTTCATTCAGGATCTCTTTTTCAATTCCGTCTACATACTAGAACAATAATAAATGACTACTTAAATTACTATCAACACTGCTCTTTTCTTCGAATCTAGTTGTATTGTAGAAAGAGTCGCGTGTGTCAGACACGGTGATTTAAAAGACATGAAATACATTATTCGCATTCACTGTGGAAGGCTTACTATTTCGTCGACCTATCCATTCTACTTAGAATTTTGTATCTAACATCAACATCATTTAAACCGACAGTTCAACTAAACGCGAGCAATGCTTTAGTAACGGATATGGACAATTATCTTTAATTTATGCATATCTTTCAAAATTAGTAGAACAAGAGTAGATTTTTTGCCTGGCATACTCATTATATGATCAACAGTTTCATACTAAAATAAAGCTCATCACGATGTCATATCTCTCATCGCCGTAACTACACTACTAATCAACTCAAATATCTTTGATAAAGATATGTTATCATACGGCAACTAATTTGTATACAAAATGCAATCTGTTTTGATTCCAACTTTTGACAGAATAACTCAGAAAAGACATATTTATTTGAAGTATCAAATGATAATGATCTGAGTTTCTGATGTAACTCATCACTGATTACTGTTGATGAGTATCGTATTAATAAATTCCTACAATTCATGTAAAATTTGAAAGTTATATTTTTACTGTCTTACTCATATTCCTGAATAAAACTTGAAAAATTCTCGATCAATTTTTCCTTCTTAGTTGTCCAATCTTTTATAACATGACCATTATCATGTGTAAGATTGAAATCCTCGTCAAAACTGATTGATGTAGGCTATAAAAACGAATATGGAATAAATCAACATATCAAATAGGAATATTAATGAAGAATCGTTCAGTGAATAACTTGAAATACGTAAAACATCATATTCAAAATGATGAAAAATTTAAAACCAGTCATACTGTAACTAAAATAAACTTTACATCTACCATAAAATGATAAGTCTCATACACTAAATGTTTCAAACATTAATATTTTAGCCAATTATCCCCAAACATTTGAAATCTTCGACATTTTAAATGTGGACGAAAGTTATCAAGAAGTTTAACTTCCAAGGGTAGATTAACTACAGAAAATAAAGGAAGTTATTAGTAACTATGGATTTCTAGAAACTTCTGAGAGAAATGTCAAGATTCATAACAATTTTCGATACTTGGCAAACTAGTAGAATAACAATACAGTATATTAGATTGACTTTTAGAATTAGTAAGAATATTTGCAGATCGCTGATTGCCCTAAAGTGATTTTGGATATATTTTGATTTCTAAGAGATTTTTGAAATCAATCATATGAATATCTTTTCAATCTAATGACGTCGACATTATTCTACAAAATGAATATTCAGAGAGAAATTATTGTTGTATGGATAAAGCCTTTAAACTCAGTTTCTTAATTACTGAACATTTGAATAAAAATGGAAGTTGATCTATAGAAACCCAGTACAGGAACTCATTTATTTTACATTGTGTATCATTAGTAATACTCATCTTGGCAAGGTATGACCCGTCGGTCAGAAAACTTTATATACGTCTAATCCTGTCAAAAACGTTGATATCAATAAATCCCCAGATAAGATAAATTCAGTGAAATAAAATTTAAACAGAAAACAATCCATTTTAACATATGAAATATATACTCATGAATATTATTTTTAAAGAATAATGGATGGGGGCAAACAATCGATTTAGAGATGTGCGTTTCATCCTATTTGGGATTGGTCAGCTGGATATACCTGAATCGCAGATTTGATATTCACCTCTGAACTCGAAAGCAGTACAGACCAAACACACAAACAAATACTTACGAATGACATGATTCTATCAGGTGAATTATTCTTTGAATTGATAACTTCCGGTAATGTTTCTGTGATAATTTGTGTGCTTATTTCTTCCAAATTTGAGTTATTTTCTTCATTTTGTGAATAACATAAAGTAGATGAAGTTGATTCAGTGCATGGTGATTGTATGGAATTCCTCGAATGCTTGAAATTACAAATTATGTCAGTAATTAGTGCATCATTGTTTCTAATCAATTTCTTATTCTTGAAGAAACTTGACGAACAATTCAGTGACAGATCGTTCTTCCCTAAAAAATATGTTAAACTGATTGGATGATCTGTAATAATGTCTGTAGGATGGAAACTTGTTATTAATGATGATGATGATGAATTGGATCGTTTATGAATTTTTATCTTTACCGGAGGACATTTTAAAGCTGTATTAGAGGATAAACTTTGAGTACGGTAACGATGAATGGAAGGCTTGTAATTCCAATGTTGTATAAAATTAATTTGTAATTGATTTAATACAGTTAAACGATTATGTAGATTGGTTAAGCGACTAGAAATAAAAATTTTGGTAAATAAATGAACATTATAATGTCATATTAACACTTTTCAAAATAATGAAATATATATTTGTGATAAGTTAATGATCCCGCATGCGGGACGTGGATGCGCACTGTTGAGGAGTCCCATACTAGGATGAAATGATCATCCAGTGCTTCCAGGTTTTCTATGGTGGTCTAGTTCAGATCGACTCGTGAATTTGAATTTAAAAAATACTACAATCTCCAAAAATCCACATACTTATAATATGTCAATTGGTAGAAATCAGAATTCCTGATGTTTCACAACTAAGGTTAGGTCGCTTCTTCAGAGACTAAATAAGTAGATAACTGTTGCTAAATTAACACACGGTTAAATGGTATAAAAAGAATGAGACAGGATATTTATTTCAATCGAAATGTAAAAATAAATCTTGATTATGTCAATATAATGTCACTTTTGAATAAAGCGATTATTTTGTATGACGATATCACTGTGCATAATTGTACAAATACTAGTGAATGTGCAAAGTATGAAATTTGCTATGTGAAGAAAAGTTGAAGTATGTGTATGTGTATTAATGATGTGAATGCCGTTATTTGGATAGTCAGACTTTCCATTCCTATTGAAGGCAGAGGAATAATACGCCTAAACTAAACGCCTTCCTTTATAATTGCTTAAAAGATTCCTCAATTATTTTGACATTTTTAATGTTGATTTGATGGTTTTTAAAAATAACATGAACTACTATTGTCAATTTAATTTATAGATTCTTCAGTTCTACAGGATGATTAGGATGTCTTTTTATTAGCTCAAGTGTTCCTTTGCACGATTCTAGATTTAGCGAAAAGACTACCTAATATAGAAAGGAACACAATCAACGGGACGTAACCTGTAGACGCAATTCCACGTAGATCTAAAAAGACGTCTTTTCATTTTTCCGAACTATAGAATTTTAAAGAGTTATGGTGGTTAATGGAAAGCCTGAATTCTGTATATTTTTATCAAAATGAGTTGTAATTCGTCTTATTAGAACACTATTGAAAGTAGATAAATTTGAGTATTTTTGTTTTATATTCTATTTCTGTGGATTTCCGAACAATGTAGAGAGCTTCCACTCTTTTTGAGATAAACTTTGAAATATTGTATTTTATGTTAAGTAGCTTCACCAGTGAATACACTGTGTTTAAAATTGTAAGTTAGAACAAAGTCAATTTTCTGAATAACTCAAATGAGTATCCTACACTTGGTATATACTCTATCACCTGTATATTCTATGAAATTAAATTAGAATGTGATTTATTTGTTGATTACAGGTTTATGTGTTCAGCTTTAGGCCAAATTGTTTGTATGTGGGCTAGTGATACTATGATGTGTGCTTCTTACTTAGACATAAGTAGTATATGATGTTAGTCATGAACAGAAGGTCTGGCAGCAGAGACAAGAGGATCGAATAGTAAAGAATGGAAACAGGATACAATTTGTATGAGAATGCAAGAACAGTGAAGTCTGAGTCATTTTAAGACAATTGGTGGACATTTTGCAAATTAAGCATTTACTTTATGATTGTTAGATTGTATTAAAAAGTCCTGTAGTTTTGTGTTAAATACATCCGATTGTCCCCACTGGTGTTCTTGTTCACTACAATACTACCCACTTATCTAAACTGACGTAGAAGAAGAAAAAGTGAGAGAGGTTTCGAACTCGTAACCTACCAGTTAAAAATCGAGTGATTAAACTGTATGAGTATTTTATCGACAAGTTTTTATACACAAACTAACGACTTTAGAAAAAATGACAAGATTAGTCAATCGGAACATAGAAGCTGAAGAGTGACATTTTTACCGAGACAACTAAAACTCCAAAGGGTTTGTTTCAGTTACATGGTAGAGAATTCTAAATAATGAAAACACATTTCGCCAAACACTTCAAACAACTCGACAATAAATCTAGATTAACAAGCCATGTAACTTGGCTGAACGGCAAGCCTAATCGAAAGTGCATGAGTCAGTAAGTAGTACCACAAAAAATCATAGGAAATTAGATATTACTGTACAGTAATGATAAACATTTTTGATCGAAATAGTTGCACGAATTCCAACTTCAGCGACTTTGGTGCTAAACGATCTAGATTCTAATTGTTACTTGTATATTTTCGTCATTACCATAAACATCTCTTGTTAATTAAAATCGGCAAACTATGTTAAACTTCAAGACTGTTAGTACAAAATGTAATCATTAGGAAGAAATGCCTGTATGATACAAAAAATATGAGTCAATAAACAAGCAGATGATTGTAAGGATAAGAATTTGTGGAGTGTTTCTAAAATTACGAATCAGCCTAAGTTGGGCAGAGAGCTATCGAAGATCAGGAAGCACAAGACTGAGTTTAACCCTTAGACTAATGTACCAACATCCAATGGTGAATATATATACTTCAATCGATTTGCGATAATGAGTAACGATTGTTTATTGTCTTTGGTAGCTAACTACCTCACACTCGATACAGAATAGCTCCACTGGTCACGGCCTCTCACTAGAACTTCAGGAGTTTCGTCTCGAAATTCATTACAAGTGTGTACATGATAATTATCAGTATAGTGGCTTATAGAGATTGCCAAATATTATCGATACCAGCCTGAGTTAGTCAAACATTGAAAACTAGGAAGCATTAGTCAGCTGCTTCGTTGGTGATGGATCGACAAAACCATCACGAAAGGTGGCTGCACAATATCGTGAATTGATTGACGCTAGTTACACACACACCATTGGATGCTGTCTCAGTGGTCTAAAAGTTAAGAGTTCTCCGATTAACCTGAAGGTTATGTGTTTGATCTCCTGTAATGTAAAAGATGTGCATTGCCAAGGAGTCTCGTACCAAGACGAAACAGTTGTCCAGTGTTTTCTAGTTCTTTACTTTAGTCCATGATCTAAAAAATAACCTATTACTAAAAATGCATCACAATCACTAACCTGACTATGATATCCCTCGCTTGCTTCAAATGTATCACAACAGATTCATACAAAGGTTCCATATAAATTTGCATTTCTTTCGTATAATAAATATCTGTCAAAGTGTATGTATCACCATTTTGTTTGATCGCTTGAAATTCACCTTCCACTTGATTTATCCAGTAGTGAAAAGCATCTAATATCCCAATATAATCCTAAAATCCAATTTTAGATGCGAAAAAATGAGGGAGCAAAAGCAATGAGAAATTTCAATGAAAAAATAGTGATTACTAGACAAACGGTAGTGAATAAAGTTATTTATTAGAAAGTTTTATGTGATCGAAGAATTATTTTCATCATGATTTGGCACGAGTTCAAAAACCACGGAAACATGATTAGACTGGCTGATTGTCAGACTGAACAACAAAGTACAATTAGCCTTCCAACCAACAGGTACAAATCTAGTGAATACGATTCTGTGACTTAATACCAAGAGAGGCTGTAGTTGAGCACACAATATCTTCATCGATCAAGAACATTCAGAAAATCAAGTGCGTAATAATATACTTTCTGTTTTGAATGAATATAGTGGTTCAAGATCAACTCAATGAAAATGACGAAAACTTTTAATGATTGATAATGACTACAGTATTCACTTGTTGAGTAGAATAATTCATAAACTTGTAAACATACAAGTTAGATTATTGATATGTAAATGTTTGAACCTTCCCGTTGTTTATGCTAAGAACTGAATTTTGAACAGGTTTGGGATGTATGTATATCCAAATGACGATTCACAAACAGGATGAAATGTACATCCTGGATTACACTGCTATACACTATCCATCTTTACTCAAAGTATTTATATTAGAGATAAAAAATCTTAGTTTGTGAAAGATACGGGTAATGCAAGGACTACAAAATTCTCAGAACCTATACTTGGTTTCTGAGAAAAATCTTCCATTATGTTGATACTTAGATTGTCTTCACTAGTTGATTCCATATTTGTTAAAAGTAAAACTGCCACCTTAGTCCACGCATACATGTATCCCCCACGAATAGGAGATGATATCGAAGGTGAAAATTGTTTGCTTCCAAAGTGAATCCACCGAGCACTAATTTCTCCGACTGTCAGTCAGTCGGTGACATACAAAGTACAACCTGAAACGTATGTGAGTCGGCCCGATTTACCACATGAAATTAGCACCACAAAATAAACTTATGAAGAAAAATCTCAGATTAGTATAATTATTCACCATATCAGTAGTAGTAAAAGGACTAGATATAGAAAAAAAGAAAGATATAAGGGGATTACAGGACTCAGTATCTATAGGAAATTAAACAATGAACACAACCTCACTAATCTGAATGATTACGAGCCATATCTATCAGTCACTAAACACTAGTTACGATAATTGTCCCCACTAAAACCAGGTAATCTTTATCTACCTAGTCTAACATTTTGATTTCTAAACAGAAAATGGAAATTTATTAAAAGCTCAATTCTTGAACATCATGCATTTTGTTCATGTAACCCTAGCAAAATAGTCTTTGTAAATTATATACAATGTCAAATGAATATGCTTATAGGGACAGTAGATAGGATTATTGTGTATAAAATATGCTTTTTATCAAATAACGACAGATCCAACCCACCATTCCTAGTTGGATGTCACATATTGGAAAACCATTTTTACTTCAAATTTTTTTATTATTCTTTCAGATTACGATGTAACATCGTTTGGATCATTTTTGATGATGTAATAGGTTGCTGCATATTGTTAAATAATAATATATACGACTGTACAAGTTGCTCAACATTATCAAGATGAAAATGCTCTCTATTGAATTGTTTTACATCGTTCAACCTCAATCAATTCATCATATGATAATTTGTAGGGGTTGGTTGCTCCCGAAACGTTAGATTTTAAGCGATCAGTAGAAAGCTTGGCTGTGTTCACTGGAGTTCAAACCGTGTCAGGTGTGAGACAGTTATCCATCCAAGACAATGGATAAAGAGTTGCACTAGATCATAGATTGCTAAACATTAACGCCGTTAAATACCGGTTTAGTGGTCTAGAGCCTAAACGTTTGCGCGTGAGACCGAAAGTCCTGGGTTCGAGTTCCACATGCGGGATCATAGATGTGTACTTCTGAGGAGTCATATACTAGGAAAAAACGGCCGTCCAGTGTTCCCAATGGTGGTATAGCTTATATCGACTCATGATTTCAATTGTGAAAATACTACAGTCTCTACAAATTCTCATACGGATAAAGCTTAGCGCCTAGATTTCCTGGCTAGCTAGTATTCGTCAACGGGTTGTACTTTCCATCTTGAAGGAAGCGATGCTTTCCATATAAAATGAAGACCTCCACTGTCTAGTACTGATCAGTATAAGTATCTCACTTTTCCTCTAAATGATATCAGTCATTCTTCTCCTTAAATAACTCAATATTAACGTCGCTTGTGTCATACCACCTAACACTAACAACTACTCAATAATTATTCTAATCCGATCATCAATTACGTTGCCAAGATTTAATTTCAAGGTATTTCATCTTACTTACTTTTATTTGTTTTAGTGAATAGAAATCGTTTGAGATCTTATCAATAACTGACTTATAGTAGTGTTCATATTCCCTAAATAAGCGTTCAACTCGATTCAATAGATATCCGATACAATTAATTTGTCGTTCACAATAAATCACGTTTGATATTATCATCTGATAAATATCTAAAGAAAGGCAGTTAAAAAGACAGAAACAAAATGAAATACATGAAGAAACAAATTCATGAGAATTAACTTTAATCATAAGAAAATTCTTGATATTATAGTCTATATTGAGGTTAAATGTTCTGGTGTTTGTCGAACTGACAAGCAATCAATTCTAATGAAGGCTAGATTTTACACTGGTAGTAGTGGGTACTCGTCATCGATCTTGATAGAACTGATGGTTCTGTTGTGGGTATTCAAAAGTGTGTCACCATCCAGTGTTACAACTAAAACTAACATCACTGAGCTATTCAGATTGTGACTATCTTCCTATCAAAGAACTGAAATATTCACACTGATATATGACTGAGTCAGTAACTAATGTTATATTTGCATTGTCGTTATTTAAGTTCAGTCTAAGGACTAGACAAATACGATATTAGTTTTTATTTAGTGATTAATCACAAAGTTTATTTAAATACTACTTCAGGTGCACTTCATAAACGTGTATTGCCAAAAGGACAACCAATTGGAGTCGGCCACACATGGCTTTCTTGTGAGTAGTTTTGTATGTGTTGACAATATGTATTTCAGAACTCACTACTACCTGAGAGGATCTATGTGGCACCCTAGTTTATCCATCTCCTTCCATTGTGGAAAGGTAGCATCGTTTTACTTGATGGTAGTCGGAGATAAATAATGTACTGCCAATACACCGTTGTATAATTTACAGTACAACTTTGTTCTCGGAACTCATAACGAATTAACTGAAGTTGGGAATTCAGACCATTCAAGTTCGATTCGGTATTCTGAATCTGTCACATATATATCAAAATATCTAACAGACGTGAGGTGACAAATACCATCTTCATTCTATACGAATTTCTCGATAAAACACTTTTAAAGTTTTATATCCCTGTATGTTATAGTGGTTTAAGTTTGATCGGTTCATGATCACATTTAAAACTCAACAATCTCGACAACCCTATACTGCTAAAGTTTGCTATTGGAGAAATTTCTCCTTGTTCTTGAACACATTTAAATTTACATTAACTGAACCAAATATAACTTACTACATAATTCATTATTAATCAATTGTTTTGACTCGTTTGTAAGTACGCGTTGTATTGTCATTGAAATTAAGAAGATTGGGTCGTATTCAATTGTTTTAATAAATGATTCGATTTTCTAAGAAAAAGAACTCAATATTTACTTTAAAATATACAAATAAGTTTTTGTATTTCATGTATGACAGAGGACTAAAACTCAAAATTTAAAGGAAGGTAGTAAAAATGGGTGTATCTGTGTAATTTTCATTCAAAACAACAACCAAGTATGAATTCTTATACTTAGCATTTCTCACTTTATTCGAACAAAAATATTAATACATTGAGACACCGAATATGTATACATCACACTCCGTCATTCGATTTGTGTAAGGGCTGAGATACTAACCGGGTGCCCAAACTGAAGTATATGGTTTTCTCAGGGGGCCACACTCCGAGCCTTTGACACAGAGGTATAATCCCCATGGTAGTAGAGCAACATCAGGAGATGCAGTCCCAAGGTAGCTGGTGGCCAACAACAGGTTCACACGCCCTTTGTTCCCTTAGGATCCTGGAGACCATGTCTACCATTGGCTTGGAATCATGGTTCTCCAACTTCCCTAGGTGGGTCCTCCATATCCATCGCCAACCTGGTTAAAGCGCCGTACATTTTTTCGTCCTCTTAATTTCGTAAACAACACCCCTGCCGCGAGAAAGCAATGGGTAGGACTTCCCTGGAAGTGGCTGTATACGCGTGGCCATATGAGAGCATTTCGAGAGGGAGAGATGACGCTCCACAACCTCGGCCGTACCAGTGGAATGATCAAGTGATTAATGCTAAGGTTAAGCGTAGTGGATTCTAGTGAGGATAGTAAATTAGTTGGAAATCCTCATTTATTTATGTAATTAAGATACGTATTTCACAGTCGACTACCACCCTGTAAAAAGCAATGTTCCCTGGTGTAGAAGTAGGTTGGGAGAAATATAGTGACACCTAATCCAAGACATGATTCCAATCGATGAAGACATTAACTGATGGGTTGTGCCTTGAAGATATCATACTCCGTGATTATGATATGCGTGATAATCGTGATTAATAGTTAGGAACTACGGGTGACGTGGCAAAAAAAATGATTGCGTTAGGGCGAATGCATTTACTGTTTTCTTTCCTCTGGATGAATTACAACTGGACGGAGCTAGAAAGGACTGCCCAGGACAGGGTTGGATAGAGAATGCTGGTGAGCGGCCTATGCTCCTTCACGAGGAGTAACAGGCGTAAGTAAGTAAGTTCCTCTGGATATCGAGTTTTAATATTCTTTCGTACTTCGTTTTATTTCTACTTTTCAAAATACAGATTCTATGTAGTTACCATTACTCATACTACTTTGGTATCAATCGATTGTTGTGATAATCTGGTATGTCGAGTTAGGTCGACGCATGTTTGTGTTAGATCTAAATGGTCAACTGATTTCAGCTCTGAGCCATACATTTCCTATATGAGGCCTTGTGATACTATTTAGTTGTTTGGACAGTAACAGATTAAACATCAGTGTTAAATCTGTAGATATGGTTAATGTAAACCTAATTTGTACATAATTTTTTGATATTACTCACATTTTTCCGGATTTTCATTTATTCTGTACCTTTATAACTAGTGACTGTAAAATGCGGCAAGACTATAATTTTTGAACGAACCAATGAGATTTAAGATGGTCAGTCTCGGAATTCATTCATCCATATGGTTAAATATCATCTTGGGATTATATCTGATGTCAGTTCATGATGAAAACCCTAACTCTTATTCCTTACGCTAAATTCTGATTCTCGTTTCTAATCCTAATTCCACATACTAATTTATAACCATCTTTTGACCCTAGTAAGCATGTGAATTTTGTCAAGGTCACTAGCACCGCTCAAAGGTTGTCCACAATTTATAGTCTCACCTAAGATGTTTATAGATCGATATTAAATTTCCTTGTACACTTTTTGCATGGTGAAATGATTGTTATTCATCAAAGACACATATTACTTATCGGTCAACTTTTCTGAAATTCCAACCAGGTTCCTAAATATACCTATCACATAACTGCACAGCTGATATTCCTGAACATTATCCTGGTCGAATATCGGTTATAACACCGAAGTATTTTCGGTATTTATGGAATTATTTTTGGATCTGCTGAGGGTGAAACAGTTAAAAAAAAAATTTGTAAGCAACTTCCTTGTATCGATCATATATTCTTGTGTTTTATATAATTAACCCATTATTCGTATGTTCTTCTTTGAATAACATAGTTACCATTTGGATATTTGTATTTAGTCCACTATACATTTAAAGTCTGACTAGTATTGCGTTCAACTGGATTACTGAACTGTATGAGTCTGAATGTCAAGTGTTGCATTACTTGTTTTAATTGTCAGAGATTGAAGGTGCCTTTCTAATGATTTAAAATAATTAGTGTTCAGTGCTTCCAGGTTTTTAAGAGTGATATTATAGTGAACAGAACATGAGTGGAGACAATTCAATGCACTTAACACAAAATTACAGGACTTGTTAATACAATCTAACAATCATAAAGTAAATGCTTAGTTTGCAAAATGCCCACCAATTGTCTAAAGAGGATTCAGACTTCACTGTTCTTGCATTTTCATACAAATTGCATCCTGTTTTCATTCTTTACTATTCGATCCTCATATCTCTCTGCTGCCAGACCTTCTGTTCACGACAAACATCGTATACTACTTATGTCAATATAAGTAGCACACACCTCAATATAACTTAGTTCAATTCATCATTTTAACAAAATTCACACAATCTTTACAACCTCCTTATTAATGATCATTACTAATAATAATAATAATAATAATAACAAAACTTACTTTCAACTGTTCAAAATATGATTTTAAGAACTGTTTCATAGTATTGAAACATGCATAAACATTGATAAATGGTGATTGTAATGAATGTGAATCTATTAAATCATCACTATTATTAAGAATATCTTGTTTCATACAACATGAGAACATTTGTTTGATAATTTCAAATTGTACTTTAATCAAATTTAATTTTTCAAAGAAGAATTTACATTGTATATCGTATTGAATTAAAAATTCTCTTCGTCTAGAAGCTAAACTTTTAATAGAATCACAGTTATTTTGTTGTTGAATTGATGTATTATTATTATCATTATTAATTAAAGATGAATAGAATAAAGTTAATTGATTATTGAATAATTGAATACTTTCATGATGAAATTCTAAATTATTTAATTCTTGAAATTTCCATTTTATATGAATTATCAAGTTGATATAATGATTTGGATCTTTCAAAATTATTGATTTTAACTCAATTGAAGTTATATTTGAAATTAATTGTAGAGCTTCTTCTCGTAGTTGATAAATTTCTGAAGTATTTAACTTTTCAAAAGAAGAAAACAATTAAAAAAGACAAAAACAAAGTTTAATTTGCTAACGAGAAAGTAAACAACTAACATAATTGAAGTTATTTCCATACATTTCATCTGATATTGTTAGATCCTTGTTAAGGTAATTAATAATTAATATCAGAAAGGGTTACGTGGAGATTGTAGTAGTTTCGATAGTTCAAATCATGAGTCAATTGAAGTTAGATCACTATGAAAAACCTGGAAGCAGTGGATGGCCGTTTCGTCTTATTATGGAACTGCTCAGCAGTGCGCAACCATGACCAAGTTTTCCATGGTGGTCTAACTTCAATTGACTCATGATCACAACTATTAAAATTAATAATTGATCAAAAATGGTAAGATATCTCATTTTCCAATTGTTGAAGTGTAATTTTCATTAAAGAATTTATTTTAATTATCTGGTGTTATTTGCAGACTTCTGTTATGAGTATGTTAGAGTAGCACAACCGAACATGGTGAACGAAAAATACAAACATTGAACAAGTTAGAGCTTAAAATATAATCTCTAATGAAATTAGATTCTAATATGTAGTACTCATCAAATTAATGATGAAAATAAAAGTACCTGAACATTCTGGATACATCACATTTATCGAACATTGAAAAAGACATAGATCACATAAACATCGTTTTTAATAGATAGATCTGTTTCCTTTCATTTTGTTTACACTGACTAATTTATATTGACTTTAAGTGAGCAATTAAAGTTAATTATTAAATTATAATAATAACAACTTACATCATGGCTATTAATAAGTGAAACAATATTGTTTGAATTTTTATTGATCAGATCAATGGTTATGGGTTTAATTATTTCTTCACGTATAATACCCAATCTCTCTAAAATACTGTTTAATTGTTTCATATAAATATTAGAATAAATTGAATGTATAGTGAACTGATCCAATTTTGTATGAAGTACATCATAGATACCGTCCAATTCTTTCTGTTTGGATCTATTTTGAAAAAAGTGAAATTCGATCATTTTTTTTAATTGCTAAGGTTTGACATTTTTATGATCTTCAAGAGAGAACGTAACAAAAGAATACATGTGTTGTATAACGGCGAACATTTTCATAAACGAAGATTTCTAGGGTTATATTTATTGTATAAGGTGAATTCAATTAATGTCAAAGTTAATGTGAAGGTCAGTGGAATACATATATATAGTTAATCGGTTTTGATTAGGATGAATTATATTATGGAAATAATCCTACCGCACAGTGCTCATTAGTCAAAAACCTGAATAATTGATGACATTTAAGTGAAACATTTAATTTAAACAGATTTTCTTTTTGCCCAGAAACATGCTTAAATTAACCACTAACAGTATTATTAGTTGAAGACCATTTGATTGTGACTGAAAAATTGAAAGCAGTAGACAACAGCTTCGTTTTAGTTTGACTCCTAAGATTTAGGTACTGTATGCCAGATAAAACCCGGAATCATCATATTTTTTCAGGGAGCTCATCAATTTCACATTACGTGATAGAAACTGAACTGTTTACCTCCACAAGTTTAATTTCATAATAATCTCAAATTCCAATCAATTTATAACATAGCTAGTGTTGTGATTGGTGCTTGTTTTATATAACCAATGTCCTTATTACGTAATGATAGACATAGAGTTAAATCATTTAGCAACACATCTCTACTCAATAAAGTTTGATTTCTTACACAAATGCCTATAAATGCATTAGATTAATATTAGTTATTAATAAGTAACATTAGAATTTACTCACTCAATATACATGCTGAAATCTTGTTGGGTCTTAAAATCCACATGCAATAAACATTGGTTGGCCACATTTTTTACAGTTTGTAATTTTTTCTGTACACAATTGACTTGATCAATACAGTCCTATAATTAAAGAATGTCAAGAAAAAATCGAGAAAAACTGTAAGGGCCAGGAAAAGATTTTGATCATCAGACTTCACAAAATGTATTACATATGCTTAACCACCGCCTACCTCGATTATTTATGTCAGCTAGTATAGGAGTAAGTTGGGAGAAATTTAAAGACAGAAAAACAAAATGAGGCATCAGTCTATGTGTCCATTGATTATTAGGCTTAGCCACAGTGATAAATCCATATTAACTGGTTGGGATCTAAAAACCTGTGGTAGCTAATAGTCGGAGATGGATGACGTTTCTCAAAATCATTCACAATAATATGAATGCATTCACTCTAATTACTTAAGCCTGTTAACTCTCGTAAAGTACAAGCTGTCAACCAGGATTCTCCAACCTACTCTGAACAAGACTCTTTTTTTAGCGGTTATCAAGTGCTATTCATTCTTTCCATGTTTGCTTCCGATTCTCGATGCAATGTGTACCTTGGTTTTTCTCTTTTCCATTTCCCTTCAGGATTCCAAGTTAGCGCTTGTCTCGTGATGCAATTTGATGATTTCCTCAATGTGCCCAATTCGTCTCCATAGTCTTTCCCTAATTTCTTCTTCAGATGGGAGCTGGTTTGTTCTCTGTTACATTAGATCATTGCTGATGGTATCCGGTCAACGGACATTGAGGGTTTTAATTACTGTCATTATGTAGCTCGAGATTCGCATTTGTATAGAGATGAAAACTCGTATATTAAATTAGTGTGCTGGAGACATGGTCGTATAACAACTAGCGGTTCGTCACAGCGGATCAGACGGAGGTAATTTGATTAATGTTATTACAATTTTTTGTCATTAAGGGCCTCCATGAACACTCAAAGTCCGGCCTTCATGTATTGTCAGATTATAGACGGCTACTGGACTGTTGTACGTGGGAATGTGCATCACAATCACGAGTGAAATTCCTTGAGGTACGACGATAATTCTTTGGTGCGCAGGTTAACGGAGGCAGAGTTTGAACCCATGCGACCGCTTTTGATATCTGGTACCGCAGCATTCGACATTAAGCATTTTGTTTACCATTCTTATGGCAAATATTTGAATGATCAAGATATATTTAATATGCGATAAAAAGTGTGCTCACACGCCAACCTTCCTGGTAAGCAATTCGCTAATTTATAATGTAAATGATAGGTGATTACGCAAAACCTCATTTGTATACCCAATCAAGAACGTTGACTAACGTTCCAATGCCCTCGATACATGTAGGAAATATGGATTTGGATGAAACGTTTGGTAACGACGAGGAGGAAATAGTTTCTATTAACTCCGAAGAGGTCACGAAACGGGACATCGAATATTAAGAGAATGATGACAACCGTTTGTGTGATATGTGTAATCTTGCACAGCCTCCATATGGAACTGGTGATGCAGCTGCTTGGATTTTTTGTCCTTGCGGAGCAATATTCCATAGGTTTTGTGCTTACGACCCATCATCAAACGTACGAGCAATGAACTGTCGGATGTGTGGCGCTATAAACAACTCATAGTTACTCCGTCCGACCGCGAGACCGAGTAAAGGCCCTTTTCAGGGCCACCCACAAATTTACAAGATAACCCATTAATGAATATTATGTGCCTATTTCGGGAAAAATTATTACTTCTTTAATATACCGTAAAAGTCGCTTCATCAACCGATGGTTTACGGTTCGTTCGCCTGATTTATATATGTCGTAATCAGTAATTTATCATGATGATTTATTGATATGCTGATTTCTTTTTCCGATTAACATACTATGTGTTACTAAAAAACGTATGCACACACTTTGTTGATATTTTTTTTTATTAATTTGGTATTCAACATTTGACTACCGACGTCATTCAGTAATCACTATTATCAAATATTCAAACCGATTCTCAGTTCCTTTTTTCCAAAACTTTCTTTTAATGTGATACATATAATTATTCGTGTCAAGATAACTAAAGACTTCAATTCAAGGTATACTTGATCGGAAAACAAAAATTTATCTCAATATACATTCACTAACAGTAGGATTGCACGGTAGTGCAATTAAGTTGGTGTCTTTTTCTCCAAAAGTCTAAATTTTTTTCAAGACTAAGATTACACAAAAAGAATTATTCATTATCGTTAAATTTCCAATGTAAAAATGCAAATTCTGACATTCAATCAAAGCAGTTGATGCTATTTCGATTTCAACTAATCAGATTACAAAGATAAACAGTTTACGACCAATTACAAAATTATTAAAGGTGACAAAATGTTTATTCATTATCATTTGAGCACACACTTGCAAAACATGTACACCAATCACCGGTCCCTACATTCTTTTTTCTCACCCTACAATTTCTAAGAAATGGGTGGTAGGGAACCGTAATTGCCGTCCATTTAATGTCAACCGATGCATACCACAGTCTGTCTCTCATTTTCTAGCTCCGTAGTAACAGCAAATGAGAAGAACAGATCGTTAAATATGAAATAATATTTACGGTATTAAATCAAAACCCAGGAACGCACTATCTCCATGCATAACTATCTATTATAATTAATGTGTAGCCACCTACTGAACCGTATAAGTCTTAATCGGGATATATATATATATATATATATATATCCACTTTATTGACCGATGAATAAGTCATAATCCCAGTATACTATCATCATATGCGTTCGCGATTATTTTTGATCAACTTTTCTTGTGTGCAAGAAAGATCGTAGTTATTTTTATGACGAACAGGACAAATTAAACGAAAAAATTCTTAATACATGAAACCCTAACAAAATTCATATCAGAATCCACCAAAAAAGGAGAGGAGTACTAAAAAGGGACGCAGAAAGAGTGATATGAAGTTTCAGTAGGTATTCTTTAGAGAATCAGATTGTATACACTTGATGTTTATTAATATAACCGTTGTTTTATAGTATATTTATAGAGCTCTGAGTTCAAGTTTCCTTTTGGTATGTTGACTATTGTATTATCTTTTAAATTGCACCACCTACAAATCCGTTGCTAAGCTTTGTACTATTTATGTATTTATTAGGACTTATAATTGGTGGCGTGTTGTGATCTTGTGTTCTACTTACATAATCTCCTGAATCACTTGCCCGACCGCTCAATTGGCATCTTTGGTGTTGTTATAGTTTGGAACGTAGAGATTTGTGTGACCAATCGATTGTGTGATGAATATAATAACGGAACCAGTCGAATTATTGTTTTCGATGTATGTGAAAAACACGACGCTCAGGTATTTCAAACATGAAAATGTTCTTATAATAAGAAAAAGAAGCAACTCCACGTCAGTTATCGACTTAAAAACTTTCGGTTTCCGTTAGAAAATGCACAAATGATAGCAACTAGTTTGAATGTAGCTTGGAATAAACTTCGAGATAAGATAGCTAAAATTGCAAGAACTTTGATTTCTCATTGGTAAACGAAATGATCATCCGGATTGCTTTGCAGTATTAACAGAGAAGACGTTTAACTATCTAATTAAATGAATAAATCGAGGTTCAATAATTTATGTACTAATTGCCAACAAATAAATACCCGATTATTTCGACCACTGTATCACTCTAAAATCAGGGATTTGAATCACAATATTCGTGTGGTGATTAACAAATTTGACCATAGCTGCAACCATGACGTACTGATTTATCAATTTATTGTGCGTTGATAAAATATAAATACCATTCATTAAATACATTATTTGCACATCTTCCTTCATTTGTCCTTTACATGCTTCACGATCCTTCTAATTCTGTTATTACAATTGCTATCTGTTTCCCTTCCTGTTTTCTCCAATTCAATCTTCTGCTAGTAGGCATCCCATCTGTCAGTACAAGTAGCATGCATCAAACTACCATACCAAGCAGGTCGGTTGGAAAGTGGTAAAACTAAAAGCAGTAACTTAAGGTTCGAGGATGAACTCTTATTGTCGAGTGTAAAGGGGTTACGACTACAGCAAAGTGTTTCTCCTAGACAACTAGTATCTGAATTAATGATGCCTACTCACGACAGTGAGAGGGGTTAGAATATATCGACTTTAAAACAGAATATCTCAAATTTCTTCACGAATTACGGACACTTGTGGTAAGTTCTAAAATGTATGGAGTCAGCATATTTGAAGATACTCGCAAAATACACGTGTGTGACCTATTTCAAGCAGTTGTCCCTTGTCTTATATATTCACTCCCACAAATCACCAAGACCACTATCAGACCAGTTTTGTTTTTAAGTTAGATCAAAAAGAAGTGATACTACTCCACCTTCCAAGCTAAATAGGTACGATGTGGTTCAGATCTGTGACATTTTCGTCGAAAACGTAGTATGTTAGTGTTTAAATCATTGTTCTCTTTAAAAAACGTAATTCTATACAATTTCGAATTGTTTAAGTTATTTTCTGAATCTGACACAAAGTTTCAGCATTCCAAACGTCGATAATTTGACTTATTAGAATAACAGATATACACGAAGAAAGGAATTGAACAATGAGCGTGTAGTGAACGAAGACTTGGTGGGGAAATTGCAGTGTCTTTCTAAAATATGAAAAGTGCATTACATACATCATTTTCACATCTTCCATGAGTTTTCTCTTACAAACTTCATCGTTCATTCATCCCTGTTTTTATCTGAACTGCTTTAAGTTTGCTTTTCTTCTCTTCATTCCAATCCTCTGCACGCATGCATCTTACTCCCGATTGATGCTACATACTACTTATATCTAGCAACATAAGTCGCATACACCACAATTGTAGATGACTGTTTATAGAATATATCAACCGGAAATTCTCAAAAGTTGATTTCGATGATAAAACTTTCTAATGTCAGAGGATGATAACTGAATAGAAATCCTTCAGAGAAAACCTGTTTATTCTTTAAACTTTCATAAATTTAGTTTGATCTCTTCGACGATTATATACTTTTCATAGTTATTTTAAAAAATGGATTCAGTACAATTAAAATACATGATCAACCTAATATAACCAAATAATATATCTTTACTTAAGTATAAATACTCATTAATATCGAGTCAATTTGCTCAGGATGCATATACGGAGACAGGGATTAATCAATTAGAATCCTGAAACACAAAAATGAGCAGTCACAAGGTCTTATTAATAACTTCACAGAAATTAAACTGAACTCAGTAACTCAATGAATAACACGTTGGTATCGAAAACGAAACTTACTAGGGTTTGAATCTAAACATGAATAAGAGATTTGGGATGGAAATACGCTCAGTTGATGGGTTCCAAGCATAATGAAACGCATGTATTGGATTCTACTACTTGTCTACGTCCAATTATGTTAAATAATTGTAACTAAATAGCAATATCGAGAAAATTCACTAAGCATATAGACAACCAACAAAGACTGATAAATTGCAGTCCTGAATCTAGACATTGCGAAATCACAATACCTTACTGACTTATCTAAACATTTACAATAGTGTAGGAAAGTAATCGCACGAGGAAATATATGCCTCTCCTTTCAACAGTATGTTGACATCTGCTATGCTTCTGACACTTAAAAACCTGTTTATATCACTCTACCGTTAGATGAATCAAACTGCCCTGTGTTGAAATGAAAACTTACATCGGTTACAAGCAAAACATATTATGCAGGGTTATTATTATTATTTTTGAAGAAAACAAAGTTCATGCTTCACCAAAAGCTTAAACAACATTTAAACGTTTGTACTATATCCCATTGTCTTTACTAATTTACATGTCTGCGTGGACGTACATACACAGAAACAAACAAATGTGTGTGAATATGCCCCAAAATTTCTGCGGAAAAGAATAACGTCAAAAGATGTAATAAAACTAAATTACAAACACATACCTTCTATTGGTAAATAGATTGTTGATGTCATAAGATTAATCTTAACTCAACCTTCGGCGTTTTACATAAAAGTTATCTGGGGTGAATACTTAGATTTCTTGAAGCCATGGGTATACTTAAGTTCAACTACCCCATCTTGAGTATTAGAAAACAACTTTTACTTACACTACACGTACTCAGATAATATGTTGATTTATTATCCACAGTGGTGTGATTCATAAAGCTTGTCCTCGTCATCTCATTACTTTCTTTTGTTTCGATCGTTCAGTTGATCTTTATTTCTCACAAATAAATATCTAAAAACGTTGTGTGATCACACTCTTTGAAACATATTGCGCTAATATATAACTGGTTCTGATAAACTTGATCTTCTTATTGGATTATCTAAAGTTTTACAATTATTTCCTGATCATGACCTGGACAATAAATAAAGCTCACAATCAGACATTCTGTACTTATATAAACTGCTTTGGCGGATTTAATTTTTGTGGAGATAATCAAAAACTTAAGTCGGGAAATACTCCTGGGAATAGCTGAAAAGTAGAATCGTTGAGATTATAGCATACTTGTTCTAGACTAACGGTTTATTGGTCTAGAATAATTTGCTGTATATTCATAGGTTTTTGGATGAGAATGCCAGGTCATATCGACTAATTAACACATTAGAATTACATTAATTTTTGACGATCTCATATCATTAAGAAATCATTGAGATTAACAGTTTAAGTGAATGGTTCTAGTGTGCATTGAATTCTCTGAACCAGATGGTGATTTGAATATGGAGTTCTCATTTTAATTTGGGATAACACTACTAGCTCCTAATTCATGTATAAAATAGCTTCTTAATTTCTACGTAAGCGTTGAATTACATTATTCTGGTGATATTCGTAGGGTTTTTTTTATATCTTAAATTGTCATTGTGTTGAAGTTAAATGTCTTGTTCAGTTGATGATTATCACTATTCAAATCATATATAACGGAATAAACAATCATATTTTATGTTATTAATATCATACCACTTTTTAACTACTTCTGTTTCATTTGAACCATGAACCAATCAAAGTCAGACCACAGTCTAGAGCTTTAACATCCTGGGTTCGACTCCTGGCGTGTAGGATCGCGGATGTGCACGGTTGAGACCCATATTAGGACAAAACGGCCGTCCAGTGCTTCCAGGTTTTCAATGGTGGTCTGACTTAGATCGATCTATGATTTCAAGGTGAATCAACAATCTACACAACTCTATACTTCCTTCCATTTGCTTTCCAATTCGATTCTGCTAAATTAACAGTGACTAAGGATTTCATCTTTTTCATTCCATTGATAAAATGTTTCTCAATATATGAAATCCTGTTATTAACGTGTCCGGTACAAATTTCATTAATCATAAAGAACTGGATTTTCAATACTTTAAATAACGAGCTTTCATTTAGTCTCATTCCTTAACTAAATGAAATCTGTGGCTAAGGAAAGTGAGTCAATTACTTATTACATATATTTAACTTTTATTCACCGAATGTTTCCTGCCAGAATTATAGATATTTAGAAAAATTTCTTAACAAACCACTGAAAATAATTAGAGAATCCCGGTATCTTTATGAAAGTTAACTTTACTTAAGCTGACTTATCTTTTCGCTATGTTGAAAACATAATTAGTAAGAGTGACTGATCGGTGACTATTGGCATAAATGAATAAAGTCAAGTTTTATAGACAACAAACAGCAATGGTTCACATTCGACAAAGAAATTGTTTTGACTAAAAAGTAAATGACGATGAAATGGTCAATGCACGTTAGAGTGACTGGCTAAAAAAGCTGAATATTCAGTTCTCTACTGATATAAAACTTGTATGGCAACTGACAGTATGAGATATAATGACGTTACAAGCTCTTCACAATTTTTAGCAAACATTATTCGCGTGTAATGAAGTCGAAAAGAGAATGTAGTTTAACGTGAAGCCCAAAATATCTGGTAAAAGGGAAAAATGCACCCTATGACAACTGAATTCAGGTAATCTAAACAGAATATTACGTTAGAAGTTATAGTGTTCGTCAAAAATATATTTCAGGATGGCGGGACTGGGCCCATACCGTCGATCTATGAGGATTCTGAGAGCTAATCAGTGTTTTGGTAAGTATAGACCAAATAGCTGAAGCCTAGCAGCTATCTGATATGGCAAAACTTAGAATATTTATTGTACCAGCATACTTGTATATATCCAGATATTTAAAAAAAGGTTGACACTATTAAATTGGCTATCGAGAGTATAGGCAGAAGCATCCCACATGAAAGCGTACCAAAAATGGTATGATTTTCTGATCATATATATTCACCTACTGAAATTGGCATTCTAACAGCAATAAGAACTGAGCAAACATGACATTGGTCGCTATTCATCGGTCAGTCGGTGTAAATAACTCAATCTAACGAAATTCAGTTAAAGCCCGAATAACTGAGTGGTAACGTCTCAGACTATGAAAATGAGTGCCGCAGGTCCAAATCTCACAACCAGAATCATTTCCATCAGGATTGTATGTACACTTTGTTGACAAGTTCCAAGTAGAACATAACCTACGGTCGAGGAGGTTCTCACACCGACTACCTCCGGTCATCTAACAGAGTTACGTTAACTACATACCTATTTACACGTATCTATTATTTTCTCTCGAGTACTTCTACATTTTGAACCAATGCCTAAACTACGATCTGATTATTATCATTAGTAATGAACAAACTTTTACAAAGTAACGTTACAAAAGGAAAAAGAGAAAACCAATACACAGAAATTCTGCTAAGAAAATAGAAAGGACAGAGAAAAAACAAAATCACACTAAATAAAAGACAAAGAAAATTTTGAAATTATATCCTATCAATACATTTCAGTGTCTGAAAACGATGACGATAATGACGACGTGTATACATATTCATTCACTTCTAAACCATACAAAATAATCTCAATTCAAGGAGTGTTTTTCCCAAAAGTCAGTCCAGTGTTTCCATTTTGTATATAAAGAAGCGGTCAGTAAAAAAATCTCTACACGATTGTTTGGAAGAATTTTTCAGTTCCGAAAACAATTGGGAAACGAAAACACAAATCATATTCACTATTGTATGAGTAGCAACTCGGGGATGTACCAAATGGCAACTTTACACACACACACACTGTATAATATTATATGTACATAACTGTCGGATTATACAGATATAATATGGTAGATACACCGAATGTATTCGTATCTCAAAGCAGAAGTATACAGAAAAAACCCAAATGCCTTGGTAGAGGAGAGATAAAGAATAAAATTTCTCATTGGACACAAAACACTAAAATAAAACGAGAAGGTCAGTGAGAAAAACACACGAAAGAAAACTAAATATTATGCATATACATTGTCATAGGAACAAAAGCTTGTATAATTAGCAGAATATCACAATTATACTACTAAGTTTCCCATTGTTAACAACAGTTCTTCCTGTGTAACTATACAAATGTTTTAAGTTAAATAAAAAGGATAGAAAAGAGAGGAGAAATGAAAGATAAACGAAACTACTACTGAATAAAAATCTCATACATAATATACATATATAATATTCATTGATATCAATTAGCTTCTAAATAGTTATGTATTTGTGTAAAAAAAATTCGCTGATTAGAAATAAATCAGAATACTTTTTTGGTAAAAACTATGAGAGATATCAAAGAAAAAATAACCGCAAAGCTAGGTTAGAACACATATGATATGTAATAGTTCTTTTAAAAAAAAAAACGAACAAAGCAAATATTCAATGGAAGATCATCATTGAACAGAAGTACAATAAGTTGATTAACGTTTAAATTTGAATTGACTCTGTTGTTTTTGTTGATTACGATAACGCTGAACTGCTAATTGAGCTATAGTTTGTGGTCGAACTACACGAATTGACTCGATTGGATTTGTATTCGAGTGTTGTTGAATAGATGTTGATATTGATGAAGTGATGTTGTGTAAATTTCGGATGAAACTGGTAGATGATCCAGCAGCATTAGTAGCAGTGGTAGGAGTTTCTGTAAATTGAAATGGTTCAGTTGCTCTTCGTCTAGTTAAATCATATAGACCATGTTCACTAGTTGATTTCAGTTTTGGTGATAGTAAATTATCCGATATTGAAGCACCCATTGGTTGTGGACGTCCAGCACAAAATACATTTTCAAATTCAGAAATACTTGGAGAAGAGAAATCATAACCACTAACTAATCCTGAGACTCTAATTGAATGAAGTGGTCTATGTGGTTGATTATGAAAACTTTGTTGAGATAAATTAACTGGTGGTCGAAATAGAAAAGAATGTGATAAACTATTATTAATTTTATTTAAATAAGAATGTTTGGCAGTGGTAGTAGTAGCATTACTAGTAATACGAGGATATGAAGTAAGCGGGTCAAACAAACTTGGGTAACTTGAAGCTTCTCTATTTTGATCAATAATAGACGGTGAACGTAGATCGACTATTCCACTTTGTCTAACTGAACTGCCGAATCGAATTGGAATCCTATTATAATTTGTATTTTTTATCTTATGAGTTCTGTGTTCCAGAGTCTTACTAACTATGGGAGATATACTGCGTCGTAACAGCATTGGAATCATAGGACTTTGTGTTGAATATCTTTCAGCGCATATAATATTTGAATCAACGGACGGATCTATAGCAGTTGAAATGTTGCAAATTGATTGACTAGAGATTTTATCTATGTTGGTTTCAAGAGGCAATACTTTTGCTGATTGAGATCTCCATAAAGAAGTTCCGGTAGATTGTGTTGTAATTGGTTTTATATGACTAAATATTTTATTTGGTCTATGTTTAAATGTGGCTTTTGTTTCTTTTGATATATTTACATTGAATTCTGCAACATTATCTCGTTTACGTTGTCGTTCAAATTTTCTAAATGCGCTCCAAGGTCGTTGAATAGTCAGTGAAATTCTAGAAGATGATCTTGATCTATCTAAATTTTGTTCTTCATTAATATCAGACACTGCAGGAATTTGATCCATCTCCCAAGTTTCATTAGCATCCATAGGTAATAAAGATGAATCAGGTAAAACTGATGAGGCAGAATACCATAACCAATCAGTTACCCCTTTCACATTTATTTCTAAAGGTTTATGTATATTAAAATCTGATTGACTAATTGATGATAGAGGTTGTACTTCTGACAATGGAATTGGTGTCGGTGCTCGATCAGATTGTTTTATCTCTGAACTTGATACTAATAAATTTGAATTACTTACACCAAAAGATGGTTGTTTAGAGATTTTATATTGATTAGATGTTTTGTTGATATCATTGAATCTTCCATTGGAATGTTCCCACTTAAAAGTATATACGTATATATATTTTTTACATATATGTATAAAGAAATGAAGAAAGAAAGAAAGAAAAACGTACAATCAAAATATGAACAAGTAACATAAAATACATAAGTATAATACATGAATTAAAACAACGATGATTCGAGTACAACATAAAATGATGCATCATATTACATAATATGTGTAGATTTACAACGAAAAGAAAACATATATACACACACTTTATAGTTATCATTACCAAGGTTTAATTTGATAATTTCGAACAAATTGAGTATTAGGTAGATTGTTATAAATAAATAGTATATTTCTAATATCCCAATGAGTAGAAAAATGAGATTTTCTGACGTTTCGTGGTTATTTATTCTCTGAAGAAGTGACTTACACTAAGCTACGAAACGTCAGAAAATCTAATTTTTCTACTAATTGGGATATTACAAATATACTAGTTATTTATATATACACACTATTTGTAAACAACACTTTTAATTCTTGCCAAAATGACAAATAATGTAACAACACCAAATATACAAATAAAATACTATACATTACTTTTTAAAAAAAAACAACACTTAACTACATTAACACATTAAATCAATTTATAAACAATTAATCACTTACTCCAATTTTTTTAAGTTCCTTATCCATTGAACATTGTACAATATCAATACCTATTGAACGTTTTACAACTTGATGTAAATCCGTATGTAATTTATCAGTTAATTTAGTAGCTTCTATAACTTGATTTGTAAGTAAACGACGATGTTTAAGATGATCTTGAATTTTTCTGATAAATATTTTATAATCATGTTCAATTAATTGAATATTATGTGAATAAATTGATTTATTATTATTATTATTATTATTATTATTAATCAATAATTTTGATTGATATTTTAATTGTTTGATAATTGATTTTTTAGAATTTAATTCATTGAGTAAATTTTCTAAACATACTGTATCCATTGAATTACATAATTGTGAATAATAATAACTATTATTATTATTATTATTCTCAGAATTAGAATGTATTTTCCCATTATGAGATAGATTATGTTGTGAATGAATAATTTGATCGAATTCAGTTTGTTTATTATGTAACCAATTCAGAAATTCTATTTCACATAAATGTTGTTGATCCCATCGTATTTTTAAATCTTGTAAATTTTCAATATATTTATCTAACTATAATAAATATAATATAAAAGTAAGATGATGATTATTAAGAAATATAAAACTAAAGTCACTCTCTATCAATACAATCTATTTAATATCGTATTGGATTTATACAAATTCAAATCAATAATCTCGGAATTATTCTATTAACAAGAATGAAACAATAGTAAGCTATGATGTTGTATCTTAATACACTAGCATTCTAATGGATAGATCTTTAGATTTCGATAATGGTTTATTAGAGGATGATAATATTCAATCTAACAGACATCTGTTAAGCAGTAGTTCAATCATGAGATCCCTCAAACTATGCTTGAATTCAACAATATTCAATGTCAAAGGGACTTTATGAAAATAAGCGAATGGAATAAGTCAATAGATCTTCAGTATCTCTGATTGTTATCCTATATTGACTTGCTTATTTTTGCCAGTACTACCAGACCACACATATGGTTCAGATGCATTGATGACATATTTATTATTATTAAAATGACTCTTCATAGAAACTTCTCTAAACAGATAAAATCGTTCTTAGAAAACACTAAATTCATTTTCGAAAAGGAAGATGAACATGGTGAATTATTATTTTTGGACTGTTTGGTTTAAAGAAATTCTCACAGAAGTCTAAATCTAAGAATATACCGAAAACCGATATATTCAAATTGCTATATTGCTTTTAACTCAACCAATTCATTAATTGCGAAAATTCCACGAGCCCTGGATCTTTTCAGAACATTAACCAAAATGATTACTTCAAAAGAGGACAAGCAAAAAGAAGAGAATAAAATAAACATTCTACGATTTAATAATTTTCCTAACAATATTATTACAAATACATTAAAATAAAAATATCTTTCTGTAAATGACGATTTTCTTGAAAGGTCTTGAATTGGTAAAGTAGTTTTACCTTATTGCCAAGGTACGACAGAAGAATTACAACAGATACCGAAAACGTACAAAATTACAGCTTGCTATAAGTCAACTAAGACTCTAAAAAACGCCTTAGTTAGAATAAAAGATAAGGTCTCGTTCACTTCTACATAAAATTGTGTCTACAGATTAGGTTGTGTCGATTGTGATGCGTTCTACATTGGAGAGTCTTCCCATAAGATGTCGACTTGTGCCAAGGAACACATAAGTTACACAAAAATACTTAATAATCTTACATAATTGGAAAACCTACAAATCACCGATAGCAGTACACGCTATTTTCAATAATTACCAATCTGATATAAAAAATATTAAAATAATTTGCAAAGGTTCTCCGAACTAAAAAAAAAAAGAGGTGAGTAGCTGAAGCGTTTCAAATAATGTTATATCCCTCTGCCTCCAGTAGGAAAGAAGGGCTAACTATTTATCCAACCTGAACTGTTAATCCAAATAACTACATTTGACCTTATTTATTTTTCCACACACACATGCCAATAAGAGACTGATCAATTTCAGTCCTAAAACATCAATGGGAAGATTCAAGTAAAACAATATCAAGTGAAAAAAATATATTTATTATAGAACTATGAACACATGATTATAAAATGTTTAGACCATGCATATCATCAAATGAACTTTTAAATAGGATTTAGTAGGAGTCAGTTTGAAGCTATGTAGAATATGGCACGTATGTATACCAATCCAAACTGCCACATCACAATTATATCAGGATAGCAGATCAATGAAATTATCATGAAAAATACAAGTTAAAGTGGTATCATTAGTAGTAGAAAGGATTAAGCATAGAACATTACTATTCGAGAGGAAAGGATTTAGAGAATATAAGAAATATGGGTATTTTAAGGATCTCTATCATTAAGACAGATACTGAGCCACAATCATCCAACATCTCTAACCATTGATCACGGTTGTAGTGAGGATTTCAACCTGATAGTCTATAATTATCACTATGATTCAGTACAACATCATATAACTTCGTAAACTAATGTCATTTATTAGTTTTGCTGTCCCGAAGTTTTTCTTCTAATTATTTCTACTCCGGTCAACGTTTTATTTTAATATACGAAGTGTTTGAGCTTTCGTATCATATATATCTGTTGTGCCAGCCGATGAAGATACACTATCTCATCAAAATATTTAGACTACTTTTCAAGTGAACTAATTCTGAAGATAATTTGATTATTCTGTTTACAGTTCGTCTAAAATTCCCTGATGTAATTCACGGAATAAAACCCATTAGGATTGATTATTGTAATGTTCGACACAGAATACAAAAACTATATAAACTGTATGAGGGGTCCAACATAACAATGAAGAACATGTTAAAACAATTAACGGATAAAAAAAATTATCTGAAAGAACAGTACTATTATGAAAGAAAAGGTTAAATACAGTGAATTTGGGAACACAGTAACTCACTTGTTTTAATTCTTTTTCAAGTTGTTCATTCATATGGGAGGCTCTTCGACGTAGTTCCAAACCACTTAAAGCATGCATTTTCTCTTCAGATATTTGCGCATTCATATTGGATAACTCATAATTAGTGGATGTAGTATTATTAGTTGGTAAATCATTAATAGATAGAGCAAAATTGACATTTTGAGTGGTTTTATTATAATTATTATTATCTAATAATTCACTTAATAATGTCGATGGATTATAATATTTATTCAAAGAAACCAAACTTGTAGATATGGTTGGACGAGGAGGTGGTGTTGAACATCGATGCTTAACAGCTGACAGCTCTTGTAGATAAATCTAAAGAAATATTTACATGAAGAAGAGTTTGATTTGTTAACACATGTTTGGTTATCGTTTCTGGATTATCAATTTCTAATGACGATACGCTCAAAACTTCCTAGCTTATTACTTACTTACATTTTTACATACAAAGGCTGTGTATCGTCGAAAAATAATTGAGTGGATTAGTTCAAGTTGACTATAGAGTTAAATCAGTTACCAAAAACTATTGATCGTTCTTTAAATGATAAAAACACATTAAAAGTTTTTATGAAAATCGGAGACTGGTTATCATTATATAGGGGGATTTGCAATTAAAACAATCGACTTCCAGCCACTAAATTTTTGTGGGTTAAAAATCAACGCCTTGATTTACATCAATTTGTGTGACAGATATATGTAATATCACCAACTGCTACACAAAATGTAAGCCACAAAACCCCGAGTTAGTGTATTGTATACTTCATTATTATTCACTTGCATTAAGTAACCAGTAAGGATTTCATTGTGATAATATAGAGTGAAGTTTCATGAACATTCGTACTGATAACTATTTATTAAGCCCTGATCACGTCAAATCATGTCACTTGCGTTTAAATAAATGTTTCAATTTACTCAGTATTATTACGATAGTGCAATAATAAGAAGACGAAGATTATCAGAACTGTGTGATATATTAGCACAATACATTTCGAACAATCTGATCATACATAATATACTTGTTACGAACATTCCAGGTATAAAAATAAAAGGTCAACTAGACTAGGAATGGATGGTAAGAGGAGACAAGGATAATGAAGAAATAATGTGAAAACAACTTGAAGCCTAATCATTCTGGATAATAAGCTAATATTACCAAGGTAAGTTTAAGTAAGGTGCGAACAAACTGTTTTTGAATACACAAAGGGAGGTTGCATTTTTGTATGGCTGAGTCTTCGATAAACCTTAACATACGCCTTTTTACACTTTTATACACCACCACAAAAGAAGTTTTGTGGAGATTGTAGTAATTTCAATAGTTGAGATCATGAGTCAATTGAAGCTAGACCACCATGGAAAACCTGGAAGCGCTGGACAGTCGTTTCGTCCTATTGTGAGACTTCTCAGCAGTGCGCATCCTCGACCCCGCCTCGCGGGATTCGAACCCGGGACCTATCAGTCTCGCGTCAGGCGCTTAACCAACTATATATATATATATATATATATATATATATATATATATATATATATATATATATATATTCGTCCATTGGAATATCAAGTCACATTTTTAACCAATACTATGTGTTCGACTCCATAAAAAAAAAGAAACCAAATATTGGCAAATAGCGTTTATTTATTATTTGGCTTGTGTCTGATTGGCCTAGTATGTCAGACAGCCAGAATAGTCTACAGAGTAAATACTTTAGGCTTTGAAAAATATGTAAAAAGAATAATACAGTCACTAATATATGTTGACAATAACTTACTTGTATTTTAGCGTGCATAGCTTTAACATTTGTTATTTGAGCTAATAATTCTTGTATAGATGGGGAAGTTATTGTTGATGATGATTTTGGCTTTTTAGTTTGTTGTTCATTTTTTTGAAGTAGTACATTTTCTTCATAAAATACTAATTCTACTTCTTTCGAAGTTTCAGATTGAAGTGATTTATCATCATTGATTGATACATCATCATCGTCATCATTATCAACATCACACTTATCATTATCATCAGCGTTACCATCAATAGTAGCCACTGTACTATCAGCATTATTGATAAATTTTTTCGAATTTGTCAACCACCATTTAGAAAGTTCTATGCGTAAAAATTTATCAATCCGGATAAGAAGTGAAACAAATTTAGCCCACCGTTTTTGTTGTTCCATTAGTCTATCCTGTAAAGAGATAAAATTACTTTGCTTACATAAATTGACTTATGATGATTTGATCTGAGTATGGTAGTTTATCATTTGAAGGCACTTAGAAGGAAAAATGTTACAAAATCAAGGGTTTCAGGTTTGTTGGAAATCATCGACAGATTTCTGCAACGACATGAATGGTAAGACTTTTTTTGTGAAAAATAAATCAGTGTCATTGAGCAAATAAGCAACAACTGACCGCTTATCAAAGTGTTTAGTAAGAATAGTGCTGAAAAACAGGAGAAATTCAGGGAATAACTCTCACTTTACATTGATATCAATTAAACAGAAACGCATCGAGTCATGATCGCGCAATTTTGTGCATCGAATGGAACTAGTAGTATAGAGACCATTCGATGACGACTTAGCGTTGTGAAATTAGTACACCTTAAACAAGATGCTCAGGTCTTAGGATCGATCAATAATGAGGTCATAGTCGTACTACTATTTTCACAATTTAAAGTAAACAACACTCCATAATTCTCAATCTAATTTACAAGCAATCTCCATCTCATTAATTTATACATTTTGTACGGATTAGTGAATTAAGAAACGAAGTGTTTAGTTTATTTTCGTTGAACGCTTATATTTTCATTTGAAGGTCATCAGTTGTTATAGTTTAATTGTCATTCACTTAATTGGATGACATGAAATATTTGAAAAGGTAACTTGGTAATGTAAATGTGACATGAATACTTTATAATACGTGTTTTGTAAATATTTAGTCAGTTCACACAAATCTTCTGGTTTCGAGATTTCAGGTGGTACCTGATTGTTTCGTTTGAATAGATGAACTTATTCTATGGTAATAATAATAATTAATAAATAGATAAAACTCACTTTGATACGTTTACACATAACTTCTAAATTTTCACAACTTGACTCTAATTGAACAACTTCTAATGAGAATAATTCTGCCCAAGTTTTAGAATGACCAGTATTGTAATCATTTACAAGAGGTATTTGACTGGAAGTGCTTTTGTTATCTTCTTCAATTAACAAGTGTTTCTGTTCGTTTTTATCTCCAATTTTTTCTGATTGAATAGGATCATTTATTCTATTCATATTCTCCATAATTTGTTCAGCAACTGTAATTGATACACCACTAGGTGTTTGAAATAATGATTGTATCACACGATCTGTTTCAATGATCAAATCTTTTTCTGATGGACAATTTGCAATGAATAATTTTAATTCTTTTAAATTTTCTTCACGATATGTAATGAGACGTTTACGTAATTCATTTTCTGCTTGTCCTAAACGTATAACACCTTTTGGTCCATCCGGATCGGTAGCATGAATAGCCATTAATTTTAAAGAGATTTGTAGTATCCAATTTTTGGATTCATCAATTTTTGTATGAAATGTACGAAGATTTTGTAATTCTTTGTTAGTTTTAACTAAACAGATCTGAAATGTGTGAACGATTAAAATAGGAATGAATTTGTTAAGTTTTGTGGGTACAACTCAATAAAAGTTAGCCATTCAAATGGTAGGTTAACGGTTTATGTACATAATTTTCAATCAATAGGCTATAGATTTGAACATCACAGTTGTTTCAGTTTGAGTAGTCATTTAGTAAATTACATATATTATTATCTGACTTAGTAAATGTCCATCTTAAAGCCCATAGGGTCCTTATCCCCTCACGGCAGTAGCCCGTTGTCTTAAGATCATGACTCACTGTCACCCCAATATCCTTCCTACTTCCTTTAATGTCTGTATTTAGACGAGTTAATGTAGCACAGTCACCAAGTGCAATTTTATGTACTCGGTTTTCAGTTACACTGCTCGTGTTAAAATCTATAATTTAGTAAATGACTACTCAAACTGAAACAATCTTAGTGAGATACAAACTTGAAAACTACGTTCGGGCTGCGAGCCCCTGTTTAAAAGGTGACCGAGATATCTTGGAAAAGTATAGAGGGCAGTTATCCGTGCAATTCCAGAACTCCGAAGTTTACCATACAAAGTGCGGTCTGAGAAACTAGACCTCTTTACTCTGTCCTACCGCATATTAAGAGGTGATCTGATTTTGTTATTACAGAATACTAAGAAATTATTTTGGACATGATATATCCTCTCTTTTCTTCCTCCCAGATCCGAACAATTCAGAGGACATAGCAGGCGAATAAACAAGCCAATTCCTGGAGCCTGTCACCCAAAAAAATGGCATCCGCTCTTTAAACTGACTCGCACAAGAGTAACCTAGTCACTCTCAGAATCTTACTAGAAAAAAATAACATATGCCGTACGCATTCACTTCTCAATAAACAAATCTGAATCTGTTTATACACAGATGATAATCAGTGCTTTCCCATCGCTTATAACTAGGTACATTTATACATTCTTTAAGAACTTCCAGTAAAAATTTCATTAACTGTACAAATTGGCTGAATGATATATATATATATATATATATATATATATATATATATATATATATATATATATAGCAAACAAATGAACATAACAATTAACTCACTTCAACTTCCTTTTGTATTTTAGAGTATTTATCAAATAGTTGATCAACTTGTTGCATGACATTTAATTTATGCTCAAATTCGATATATTTCTCTGTACATTTCTTTAATTCATCAATTTTTAATTGAACTGGTTCCAGTTCTTGCTTGACATTCTATAGAAGAAAAGTCCGAAGATTATAAGAGAATATACTTTAACCAGATGTTTTATCAAATGAATTGTAGAAAAAAAGTAAGAAGTATGATAAAACGAAAAAAAGGTTGTTTCGTGAAGAATTCTTGTAATTTAAAGATAAATTTCAGGTATAAATTGGTCGTTTACGAGAGGATTATCGAGCCCCTCTCCTCCTCCCCCCCAAATCAATACCATGTTTAGGTATACAAGAGGGCAGTGGTTCAAATGTACAAAAGTATTGATTACCCTAAACACTCGAAAAGATCTTCATTTTTCAATGGGAGACCACAATACCTTAATACCATTGAATTATATTCCTTAGGATTCATATTTTTTTCCAACTCTGGTTAACTCTTGATACAGCATAATCAGTGCAATTAAAGTCAGCAGTTAAATGATCTTAATTTGAAAATGTAAAGTCATGATAAATTACATAAGTTAACTACAAAATATTATATAATATACTGGGTTCTAGTACCGGAATGAGCATCAACTCTGGGATGCAGGTACATCCAACTGACAAATCCCATCCAAATAGGACTAAACGCGCGTCCTGGACTCCACTGCTAGCAACCATCCATCTTTGCTTATGTTATAGATTATATTACATGAATTAAATTACCACTTACGTCAAATTTTTTTAAAGTTTCCTCTTTTATAGTTAGTAAAACAGTTGATGTCATTGGTTGAATTTGTTCTATAGATGTCTTCTCTTCCAATAAAACTGTTAGTATAGTTTGTGATATTGAATTCAAAATATTGACAATGACAGATTTTACATTTCCCCAATCATTTATTATATTTAATTTTAATTCAATGCTTAATTGAATATCAGTTAACTGTTGTATATTTTGACGAATTAATTGACGAAATACATCGACCTTATCTAATATTTCTTTATTTGTCATTGAATCAGTTGTACGGCAAACTTGATCGGCCAATTCAACTAATTGAGAAATATAAGTTTCTGATTGACATTTGATAGTTTCTGAAAGATTCTAGGAGAAAAAAATGTTTAACATCTCTTTATGGATTTCTGAATGAATTGAATAGATATGTTATATAACCAGTCGGTTAGTCAGTTAATCATCAGAAATATAAAATCAAGGAAGTGTATCAATTCAGGAAGTAAGGGAAGATAAATAATGAATGGATCTTTTGAACTGTAACCGATTCAGAGATATGTCATTCAACGTTTCTGACCATTGGTTGCGATAACATTGCATACTTTTACCAGGTAGTCAACAGCTGTCAATATAGTTCAGTTTAGCACTGAAAGTCTCCATGAACCAATAATATGTCTTGGTTTGATCACATCTTACTGTTTTCTGACCTACTTCTACACCGGTTGACATCGCGGGTAGTTGGGCACATGTAATACATGTCCTAGCCACTTCATTCTTCATCATATTAAACATATTATCTTTTTTAAAGTTGGAGAGGTATATAAAGATTTATTAAGTAAGTTTTCATTAGATACTGACTTCAGTTGGAAATCTATCGAACTTCAAGTACTTACAATGTATGAAGGTTTTCGGTTTAGTCTCTGGAAACATTTCTAATGCACATTACTGGTTTGCAAGGGTTCTCCAGTTCATATTGAAATCGAGTCTGCAGAGAGACGAGTATATAATTACATCGGATCTTTATATCAGCTAAATGAGGGTCAAGTGGGTCCCGTAGATGGGTTTCCAAGGCACAGAACGAGATTCAGTAATTATAAATAGTGAAGCTTATTGGCTGATTTGACATAGGGTTTGAACACCGAAAGCTACATCATGTGGTTTGGAGCACTGTTTCAAGAAACTAAAAATATTTCGTGAAATCGACTCCATAAACTTGGCACCATGTATGACAAAAAGGAATGTGTATCTTATATAAACAACTATCTTACAGTTTAAGCTATGTCAGTATTTAAATGACCTACTTTACAATAAGCTAAAGTTAAACGAATTCCATTCGACGATTCAACTTTTCATAACAGTGATATCAACTAAACATGGCAAATGATGTAAAGTTTGTTGTAGTGTATGCACAATTAGCTAAGTTTAGGTTTCCATTATCTTGCTTTCATTACCGCTATAGAGAACAAAGACTTGGGGAAAACCAATTGTTTGTTAGGTGCAAGATCAGAATGTTTTATGAAAATATGAAAACCATACAATGAGTACATCATTTGCATATCCTTTTTCAGTTTTCGTTTACATACTTCACTACTCTTCCGATCCCGATGTTACTCCGATTGTTCTCTGTTTTTCTTCCTCTTCTCTTTATTTCATTCTTCTGTTGGCAGGTATTCCACTTCCAATTCTTGCTACATACTATTTATGTCTGACTGCATAAGTAGTACATACCACAACGTCACTGTATACCACGTCACATGCATTCTGACTGGCTAGTAACAATACTGTGTGTAATTTTACAATTCCCATCACGAACTGACCTTAGTCACATAATCCTTAAAAACTTTAAAAACAAACGATGTTTTGTGCTAGCAAGGGACGGATCGACTCATCGGCAGTTCTAATATTCATGACTCTCTACTGGAGATCGAATAAAGGACCTAAAGGTCTTACAATCAGCGCCTAACTTTTACACCATTGAATTGGTATGTAATGATTTACATTTCTACCTTAAATACCATTTAGATACAAGATTAACGGTAACTTTATTCACTCAATGGATCATTATTAGGACGAAGTGTGAAATGAAAATATGGAAAATGAGTAATTTTGCAACAGTCCATTGATTTATTGTTTTTCATAAGTATATACTATAAAATGGTTGGCTTATGATATTTATATACAGTCTCACTATAAGCTTCCTCATAGACTATTATTATTATTGTAAGTTTCAATTTTTCAGTCAAAAAATAACAATCGATCTTGTCAATAAGTGTTCAAGTTCTATGAATCCTTTTGGGGCATGAAAGTTTGTACTATACATATATGGTTTGATTATTAATTTGTATCATACTTTCCAACATTCAGTTGTCCTACACTATTTTAACTTGAGAAAGTTCACATTAATTAATCATATAAACAAAAAATAAACAGAAACAGAATAATATGATGGATAAAAAGGTGTCAATATCTTTCATATCAATTCATTAAAAAATTTGTAGCCAAGGTGATAAATGTCAATTCTTGTTTAGTGTAATATTATTTTAAGTCAATATTTCTTGTATTAATTTAATTTGAACTTTGTTCAATACAAGAAATATGAAATGTTTTTTTTCTGGTGTGACATTAATATTTCTCTTTGAACTACATCCAATATATGTGTTAGTAGTAACTCTATGTATTTCTCCTTATCTGTAGTATAAATAAGTTCATTATGGAATAATAAGAATATTTTTGGATGACTTGTTGAGAAGATGTATGTTTTAGAATCAATAAATCTTCATTTTATCAGTCTTCGTGTTTTAAAATGAGAGAATTTGGTGTTTTCACTTTTTGCCATGAGAATTACAGTGGTTCCTTATCGTCAAGCATAAGCAGTAAGATCACGGACACAACAGAGGAAACATGGACATAACATAATGTTGGAAAAATTACAATTACTGGCGTGGAAGAAATTTAGCAACACTCCACAATCCCTATTTATTCATAAAATGAGAAAAAATACAAACAATAAGGAAATACTTGACAGGTCAGTAAATTTTGCTCTAATCCAACACGATCAGTATTGTCATTAGCAGATAGGTTATTCAGCTTTGAAGTCAAACTTTCAAGCCATTGAGTAGTACGAGATACAACTTGATCGAATTGTTCATGAATTTCAACTGCATTTTGCATTTGTTGTAACGCAGCCTTTAAAAAAAAGACGTGAAGAAACATGGAAAAATTAATATTTACTGTAATTCTGTAATTTCTGAAAAATAAATGAATATAGATTTAGGAAGAAGCAACTCAAATTTCTCCATACTATTCTAAGGAACATTTTATAATAATGCTGAAAGCTTTGAACTATTCATTTCACTAACTTTACAACAGACCGATTACTTGTTAAATAGATCCCGTTATATTTTAATACAACTTTCATTTTTCAATAAATGCACTAATTCTATCGACATTATATATATATATATATATATATATATATATATAGCTTGATTTTAAACAGATTTCGTTTATACCAGTGTACAGATAAAAATGATTTGAAGCAGATCTTTAACATATCCCATCACACCAAAATTGAAACAAGCAAAATTATGCTTACATATGCTGTGTCCAATGTATTCCTATATTGTTCAAATAATTGTTCACTTTGATCAGGTAAATTACAACTTGATGCCAAACTTTTCAAATGATTAGCTTTTAACAAGCACATATCAAAATCCACCTTCTTTCCAACACAATCTTGATAAAATGCCTATTCAAAGTATATTAAAGAAAAAAAACAGAGAGGGGGATTAGAAAATGATGACTGATAATTTACTAGGTTGACGAACAAATAATTTCATTGAGATCACGAACTGATCAAAGTTAGAAAACCATTGAAAACCTGGAAGCACTGGATGGTCGATTCATCCTAGTAAGACACTCCTAAGCAGTACACATCCACGACCACGAAAGTGACAATTAAACCCAATACCGACGGTCACGAGCTGGAACGCTTAAAACTTGCAACCCACTGAAGCAGGGTCCAATGGTGTGCAAGTCTAATTTCAATCTGTCCACAATGGTTGTTCAACTTTGATCGGTTAGCGATTCCACTGAAAGTCAACAATCTTCACAACTTTATACTGACAAAACAAATAATAAACAAGATTTTCTTCAAAAAAATACATTTAATGAATTGATAAAAATAAACAAAGGAGCAATAACCATTTTAAAATGGTAAGTATTGAAACCTTACCCAGGAATATCTTTTAAAAATTATAACAATCATGCTGAGTCAAATTAGAAAGACTAAAGCAAATACCTCAGATTAACAATTAATGACTACATTGACTGATATCTTTTCCCAACCTACCCGTCGATTATACCAAGCACTGCACGTTAAACTAATTACTGAATAAGCATGGATAACAGGTACAATTACTATTTCTTATTTTATTTTATTTTATTTCAACAAATAAATATTGGTACAAGAGGGCACCAAATATATATGCGCCACACCATATTTGTGTGTGTGTGGGCTGTGATACTACTCGGGTGCCCAGACCGAAATAGGGTGGTTTTCTTAGGGGACCACAACCCGAGCCTTTGACCTAAAGGTTTGACCCACAAGGCAGTGGAGCATCGTGAGGAGATGCAGTCCCGGTGACCAACGATTGGTTCATACGCCATTTGTTCCCGCAGGATACTGGAGTCCGTGTGCACCATTGGTTTGGGATCCGGTTAAAGCGCCGGACATTCGCTTTTCGTCCTCTTATTTTCGGAAACAACACCCCCGCCACAAGAAGGCAGTGAGTAGGACTTCCCTGGCAGAGGCTTTATACGCCTGGCCGTGTGAGAGCATTTCGAGAGGGAGGGCGGGCTCATCCCACTCTCGGCCATACCAGGGCATTAGGGGGCAGTCGAAAATACACTCAGGCTCACCAACCAATTCGACACATTTACCCAAAACAGTAGTATTGGTCATTCTACCGTTTCATAATACGCGAGTAATGCTTCGTAAACGTGTATGATCAGATGCTTACATTTAACAAATATATTTTACTTATATAGAAAGAAATATTACACTCATCCCCCAAAAATTAGGTGGAGAGATGAAAATCTAACAAAGTAAGCAACGATTTTTATTTTTAACGAACGATCAGAGGAATCGTTGAAAATCCAAATGTATGTTTATTTTTGATTATTTATTTCGAAAAGCCGTGACTTACCTTCAAACTGTTAGCCAATTGTTGTTTAGTTGATAAAGAATCGAGTGAATGGAAAATTGGGCGCCTTAGATTTGTAGCAGTTCCATTTAACCAATCAATTAATCTGTCAAAACTATTTTTCCAGTCAGACCAACAATCTACTAACTCAGTTAAATTGATAGTGAAAACAGTTTGAATTTTGTCCAATCTGATTAAACGACATTGTAATTGATCTATATAATTTTGAATGATTACGCTTAAACGATCTGATGATTCTAATGTGCTAAGGGATCTTCCAACATCTTCCCCTCCAATGAACCTAGCTTGAACTCCTCCCATGGAAAACTCTTCCAGAATTTTCAACTTGCTAGTTAACTGTTCACCAGATTCAATTAATTGTTTGTTCAACTGGTGACCTCGATTCTCAAGAGATGAGCTAATTTCTTTTATAATCAATAACTTGTGTTTAGCTTCAGTAAGCTGACATATTGAACTTCGACAAGAAATATCTAGTTGATGCATGATTTGTTCAGTATCATTATCACTATCATTCGTGATCATTATTGAACTAGTTGACTGAAGGAACATCGCCAGTTGATTCGAATCACCATCGGATAGACGAATAAATTTATTTTCGCAATCTGATATCCAACTGGAGAAGTTTTGTACTTCATTTTGAAACTGATGGAACAATTTTAAACAACTTGAAATATCTTGATGAGTTGAGTGAATATTTTCAGTCAATTGATCAAAACGATTTCGTAAATTTTCATCGGTATAGTCTGAATTCTTAATCTCTGCACCTTGTTTTCTAATGTCTACAGTTAACTGAGTGATTGACTCTGAAGCGGTAAGCATATAATTTATAACCTTTTCTATCAATCTGTCAAAATCATCCATGGGTGCTTCCAAAATGATCTTGGACAAACCAGACAGATTCATATGGGTATTAATCAAATCCAATTGACTTTCGGTAGTATCAATCCATGCGGTGAATTTGTCTCGTGATAAACTTCGTTGATTAACATTTTGGATGATTTTTTCAAACCGATTGCGTAATGATCGAACCATCTCCTTAAGTACTTGGTAATCCGTCTCAGCATAACTTGTAACACTCTTCAGTTTGCAATCACAATGCAATAACTCATTGTCATGATCGGAATTTTCATTGCTTATCTTAGCTAAACGGCTTAGAGTTTCGAGTTCTGAACGTCGCTGGTTAACCTGAACTAATAATTCTGTCATATAATGATCTGTCCAATCTTTAATAAGTTGAACAAAACTCTCACCTGATTCAATTCTAGTTTCTAGATCAACTATAGATAACCGAATTGATGAATATCTATCTGATTCTTGTAAGGGGATGGAATGAGAATCATATGAATTCAGCATAAAATCTACATCAGACAATTTGATTCGAAATTCACAAGCCCAATGATCATAATTTCGGCATGAATTTAATAATTCTTCAACCATCTTTTGTGCAGTTTGAGATGTTTCAGATCGACTATCACATATACTAATCAACGTTTGATATCTTTGCATTATATAGGTGGCCATATTCATTGCTATATTACCGACAGGCATATTACTCGCGAACAATGACTTGTCAGATATATCAGACGCTTTTGATTTACTAACATCGCTCACATATGCACTACTTGAAAACATTCTGGACTTGATTAAACTTTGAGCTTTTACAACCAATGATTCCATCGCCGGTTGATGCCCAATCAAAATGATTCTGAGTTGGCGGTTACGATCAACTTGACTGGCTAGTTGATTCAATTCTTTTTCAACTACGTCGGAACTAGTGATTTGGAAGGAAGAATCTTCCAATTCAATGGTAGACTGAGAGTTCAATGTTGAGATGATAAATGATTCTTGTTCACCAATCCATTGAGTTAAAGAGCTACAATCAGTTGAAAAGTTTGACCATTTATCATTCCAAACACGAAAATGTTCTAGTTTATCGGTAACTTGATTGAAAAATTCTGTAACATCTCTTTTTATATCAATAATGTAAGTTTCAGCTGGTTCCATTCTTAATGGAGTCATTTGACCCAATTCTTCGATAAGTTTAATAACATCAGTTAGACGTTCTTCATACTTTATTGAAACAGATGTCTTAAACGCTTCTAAATCACATGTTGTTTTGTGAAATAATTTGCTTAATTTGGTAACTTCATCGTTTAATGAAACATGAGATGATGAAAGAAGACTAGTTTGTGAGCCATATGTCTCAGTTTGATTTATTAAACCCTCTAGTTCACGACGTTGACTAATTAGCCATTGGAATATTTCACATCGTTTACGAACAAATTTTTCGCACAAATTAAGAATAACATGATTCAAATGAATTAAAGATTCTAAACGACTTTTTAAATTATGATGTTGTTCCAATATATCATTCAATCGTTTAGAAGCATCTTGTCCTAATGAAATGACTACATCATCTGAAGTAGTACCATCCTTGGAATATTCTTTAAACACTTCATCAATAGAGTTTTGGGCATGTACAAGTTCTTTCAATTGAATTAATTCTGTTTCGCTATATCTACGCATTTCATCCATTAAATTTGTTAAAATGCATAACTTTGAATTAGACCATGCATTTAATTGATGTACTGCAAAATATTCATCTGTTTTATGCACTGATATATCATTAATCAATATGGTAGACAATGAGTTTGTTTCCATTTCCATAGTGTTTAATTGTAATTCAATTGTATGTAGCCAACGATTCACTTGTTCCAAATTACTATCTAATTTGGACCAGCATAAATATTTCTCACTAAGATTAGAATGTATCATCTGTAAACTGATTTTATATTCATTATAACGATTAAGTAGATTTTCAATAGCCAAATTAATATAATCAATAATTTCAGATTTTCTATTCAATCTGCACTGTTTATCTTTAATTAAATTCACAGAATTAGGAATAAGATTAAATAATAAACAACGTGCTGATTGTTCAGTTTGTTCTCGCAATTCAATTCCATGCTCTTTTAAATCGATTTCTAATTCTTCTAAATTTGTCAATTGTTTCGAAAGTACCTCTTTATCATTGGCTGCTTTAATCTCTTTTTCGGACATATTTGGATTGATACAACTAGTATGAATAGTCTCGATAATTGTTTGATGGACCCCACCTGGTTGTTTGTTATCATCTGTTGTCACGACATAAAGTACTTTTTTACTAAGTGATTCATTTATAGTTAACCAATTTTCAGCTTTTTCTAAATTTGTTATAAACTGTTGCCAAGATTCCAATTCTTTACTGAATTGATTTTTCAATTTTCTCATTTTATTAAGATTAATTTCATATTTTGATTTCAGTTCATTAAAACGATGCGAAAATTTTAAATCCAACTTTCCGGTTCGATGATAATAGTTGTTTAAATCTTGTTCAATTTTCAATAGGTGATCTTTACCTATATCAATCATGCATTGTAAACAATTATCCAATTGATTTATTCGATTTTCACAATTATCTACTGATTGTCTCAAATGAAACCAATACAAAGCAGTAGAATTGTCAACATTTAAACTTGAAGATTTCAATGATGTGATAATGGTATCACCGTTATCATCAAATGATTTTGAGCGGTAAGCCGATAAATTAACTACAATTTGGTTCATTTCATCTTGAAATTTCGTCAACTGTTGTTCAAAATAATTTAACATAGAATCTAGCTTTAATTGTTCTTCTGTTTCATTGGTAATTGTAATTAATTTATGTGATACCATTTCTCGTAATTGTATTGATTCATAAATTAAATATCTTGCAATACAATAGGCATAATGTTGTACATCATTCGATGATGATTTATTAATATCATATAAATGATAAAAAGAATCAAGATCAATGGCTTCTTTTAAAAGTTCTTCTAAATTCTGAATAAGATTTTGTCCATCTTTATTTTGATCATATTGATCTGGATTTCGATTTTTTTCTGCAACTTGGCCACTCACGTCTTCTACCTTTTCATTCAATGTATCAATTAATAAATCATTTAATTGTTTAGCATCACCGATTTGCTCAACTAGATTATTTAAAATAAGACAGCGTAATTTAATTAACGATTGGACGTCTTGATTTTCTTCCTCAGACTTCATCAATACATCACATTTTGGTATGGAACTTATGGATTGATCGAATTCTGTCTTGATATGATTGATACAAGACAAACAGGTTTCATAGTTCTTGGTAAATTGATTTAATTTCGTTTTGAACTTGTTACCAATCGATATTGTGGTGTCTAGATGATTTTCTATTTGATTACTTGTTTCAATAGATTCATTCATCATGCTGCACAATTGATTGTAGGCATCAGATTGAATTTCGGTACACTGACGCTGAGAACTATTTAATTCTGATTGGAAGTATAACAATTTCGAATGTTGTGCGCGAGCTAAATTCAAATTAGACTGACATTGTGTAAGGAATTTACTAGTATCTTTTGAATGACGTTTGAGTTCATTTAAAATTATTGAAGTCTTTGAAGAATCTTTGGAAGTATTTGGTGATAAAATATCGGAAAGTTCAGTAGGTGTATTCATTGACAGCCATGGACAAGATTCATGCCATACTTTCATACGCCCACTAAATTCATTAAACCAATTGAATATATTTGTCACTTGTAAGATTAAGTCAGTCCAAATTGTAGTTTTGTGTTCAAGAGTTCGTTGTAAATTCAATAGATTATTACCTAACTCTTCCCAATTACGCTGTAGATCTCCCATTCTTTGTTGTCGATTATTATGACCATTATGATTCATGAAAGTAGATAAATTACATAGACGACTGCGTAACTCAGTAAACTCAGCACCAATCACTTCACGCCCCTTCATAATATCATCTACTAACATCAAATTGTCTTCAATAGTTTTAAAAGATCCGTTGTTATCATTTTCGTCGGAAATTATTGTTGACTTTTCTAACTCTTCACTAAAAAAACTAAATTGTTCTTTTATTTTTTCCATACGCAAACATAACTTCGACAAATTAGTTTCTGCATTCTGTATTTTGGAATTCCATTCTGTGAAAAGTTTTAAACGAGTATTCCAAAGATCTGACATTTCTCTGGTTATTTTCTGTAAATAATTAAATGTGACCATGAGATTTTTTATGCAATTCAAAGCTAAATCATACGAGTCAGTTTTCATTTCTACTGTTGTTGTTATTGTATGCACATTATCCAAATTGTTCTCATCCAGAGTTGCTGATTCTTCAGAGCACAGCTGATGATGGTGATTAGGTAGACGTTTGAGAGTAGAATTTAAAAGATCAACTTGTGATGCTGACTCATCCAGCAATTCTAAAATTCGTTGTTGTTCATGTCGACAACTTGACAGACTCTTACTAGATAAATCACAGTATTTGGGAGCATCTATGCTGAATTTCACCTCCAACCTATCATTAATAAGTTGTAGTAATTCCAATTTCTCGTTAATTTGTTCCGGTTCATCCACAAGCCAAGTAGACTGTTCTTTCAACCAATTTTCAATACGACGACAAGTAAATTGTAAAGTATCACATGTTACTTCAAATACCTGCCATGTCTCTATAGAATCTGACAAAGATTTAGTGATAAATTCAATTCTTTCACGACAATCAAACCACATTTTATACAGTTTAACACAGTACATAGGTATGGTTAAAAAGCTCTCGTAAAGTTGCTGAGATTTGTCACCGTCAGTAATTTCAATTAATTCCAAACTCTCACGATTATTAGGTATATATTGTTGAAAACAATTCATAGCATATTTATTCATATCAGTGAAACGATCGTTAGCTTCTTTGTCCAATAAGTTTAAATCCTGTTTTAATAAAAAAAAATTTACAAAGAAAAAACAAATCTTAGTAAATTTTCCAAAGGATATTGGGATGGATGAAAATCAGTGATTATTCAAAGAAAATTGACTATAATACAACAATATTGGTAGGAAATTTAAAAGGTTTCTATGTAAAACAACATTGGTTATAGGTGAAATACAAACACATGCCGGTGTATCAGTTAGAACGTCGTTTGACCAACAACAAAATAAAACATAATCTAGAATAATTTTAATGAAATTGAATTCTCTGAAGAGGGAAAAAGAGATCACTTTCTGGAGTTTACGCTGACGAATGATATTGTATATAGGAAGACAATGGAAGTCATGCTATTCAACTGTCTAGCTCAAATAACGTAACTTCATCAAAATTATTCACTTCACCTATAAAAACATATAAAGTAATGCCACATATAGATCTAATTTGTTTTACAGGATAAAAACAGGATAACAAGACCAACAATATGAAGAAAAAAGAAATAACTAATGGACTAAATATTCGGGAGAAAAAAAAAAACAACAAACTAAACATTGGAAATTGTGAAATCGATTACAAGGGATATGATTTCAAAGATTCCGTTTTTAATGATTTGCAGATTTTCACTGCGGTATCCACTACTTGAGATTACTTACATGTTTTTGTTGATAATTTTAACAAAATCAAATCAGATACACATAATAAAAGATAGAAGAATCATATGTAAATTAGACTTTGAAATTGATCCTATGTATAAACCTATTATAATCCAGAGTGGATGATCAGTCATTAAAAATGTTTGGATGTTCTATAGACTAAAGTCTAAACATAGTGATATATGTCACATTAAAATGTGTACAAGAATAAAAATTTAGAACTGTTAGATACAATAGAATTATTTTCTATCCTTTAATTTACGGGGACAAAACGATTCTGCTGATGATATATGGTGAAAACCAATTCTCAAAAGTGTATTTTTTTATTCACTGAATGGACATTATACTGTGTTCCACAAACTTTTGCATTGAAATTTATGAAGTATTATCATAGATTCTAGTAACTTTTATTCAGTTAGCTAGTACAATTTGATAATATTATCGTTTTAAACATATTCATAAACATACAAATGAGGTTGAAGAACACATCATACATGTACATTATGTATTGACATACTAAGAAGACCAAGTCACATTCCAAAAGTTACTTAACCAATTGTAAGAAATACAGTTTATTACAACTCAACTCGATTCAATAAACAAAGCTCAACAACAATCATGACAACAGAGAAAGATGAACAATATATAATTAACAAAACAACAAGTAACTAACTTACAAGTCTTTTCTTGAAGATGGGAGAAAAAAACAAATGAATTTAAAGCGAGCATATTATTAAACTAGATGGAAAGATTGTGTTTCTGTAATAAACAATATATATATATATATATATATATATATAATATTTCGCCTACAACAAAAAAGAAAAGGAATTTGTTTACCTACTTTCACTAATTCAAGTCTAGTTTGTAAAACATGTCTATCTCCAGAGAGATTGGCATAATTTGAAATGTTCTGTTCCAATTGCTTGATCCATTCACTAGTTGAACTAATATTAGACATTAATTTATTAAATAAGTCTCTACAAGAATCTGTTTGTTTAACAACCACTTGAGCACGTTTAACTAATTCTGAATAACGAGATGTGATATTGTCTAATTCAATTAATCTACGACCACTACGACCGTCATCATGTGTTACCACTGTTGTTGTCTCCGTCGATGTTGTCATTTGTTTTCTTCTCTGTGTTATTGGAACTTCAAGCGTACAGGCTAATTTTTCCAGAGAGTAGAGTTTTTCGCTATTTGACTATAGTTTGAAATAGGAAAAATAATAACATGAGAAATAGTTATGTAAAATGTGAATAATTACATCAACTTATCAAATACATGTTTTCAAAAATCATTTACATATTTTAAAAATTCAAAATTGAAGATGAAGACAACAGATGCTTTCAGCTACAGTCTAAAATAATGTTAATTCAATCGTTGCAGTTTCCTCTTACATTTGTTCATTTATCGTTTCAATTTAACAGTGAAAAACTAGTGATGTTAAGTAGAATTGTACGTTTAACATGACCCATTTGTTTGAATAAAATGGTCTGGCTATTAATCAGCGAAAATCCATAGAACTTAAGATTTGTGCTAGCAAGTACTAGTCAAACAAGGAGGCGTATTTGTGACTATTATTGAACTGGTGATCTGGTGTAATTCAAACTTATATCACAAAGCGTTGTAGTCAGGGATCCATGGATAAAGAGTCACCTGTTAATTGCCTTCAAGTGAGTATTATCTGGATATAATCCCTACGATATTCTGTCATTTGGACCAATAGCCTAATTAAAACTGGATACATAGAATTTGTTTGGTATTTATCAACAACTAGAAAAACAAGATATTAGTTACTACACAGACAATCGTTGCTAATATCCCAGTTGATGATTAGTATACATTTTATTTGTCTCATAGTGTCATACTGAAAAAGTTATATTGAATATTACTTAGTAAGTTTTTAAACTCATTAGAGCTGATTAATGTAGATTTTGGTGATCCAAATTACAATACAACAATGTTTCCAAATACATGGACCCCCTCCCCTCTTACATAGCAAGCCCAATGGTATACAGTAGTTCTTGCAGAAAGATTTTGTCCCTTGGATAATTAGATTTGGCAGTGAATAACCAAGTTGTCTAATTGTTTCCGACCTTCAGCCAAGAAGGCTTCTCTACTTTTTAATCTCAAAACAGAAAAAAGGTTGCATGATCGGAAGATCCTTACTTCAAAGGTTAGATTGTATAGAAAAAAACTAATTTGAGGGATTATGTGTAAAATTGAAAGTTTCTAAAACCTGATCAGTTGACAATACTTTTCTGACTTCTTGACGCTCTACTGAGGAATTACCTAGAGCTCTTAGCAACACTAAATAAACTAATAATTCCAAAAAATGCAAACAGAAAATTGAAAAAGAAAAAAAACGGGAGGTCACGGAAAGTTTCATATATATTTTATACATATATCAGTAAGTCAGGATTATATTAAAATACTTATTTGTAGTATGTTGCTGATGTATCTCTTATTAAAATTTATTTAGTTACTTATTTTTATTTGAACACATAAACATTGATAGGAGGCACCAAATACGTATGCGCCACACAATACCGATGAAAATGCGGAGAGATAAAGAATATAAAGTGCGTACAATGAGAAAAAAACAGTGAATAATAATAATAATGGGAGAAACAGTTTATTTTGGAGGAATACAACCAGCTTTCTTCCAAACCACGACACTATGTCGTACACTGTCCACCTCTTCATTTTTCTATAACCGGTCACTTATCAACCGGAGCTTTTTCCAGAACGTCATCGATGGCAAAGTTCAGGAGGAATGGTGAGATTGAGTAACCCTACCTAACACCACTGCTTGAATGGAACGGTGGAGAGAGATGTATGTATGCCCTCACTCAGCCTTAAGTGTTTATATATAAGGACTTAAATATGTTAATCAACTTTTCAGACACATCCTTCTTCAATAGACAATCCCAGAGAACAGTTCTGTCCAACGAATCGAAGGCGGTCCTAATATTAAGTAACACTACGATTGTTGACCTATGATAAGTATGGCGGTGTTCTGATATTTGACGGAGGAAGAAGATATGTTCAATACATCCTCGACTAGAATGGAAACCAGCCTGCTCCTCGCGATTCAATCTTTCTCGGGTATTGAACAACCTACGAAGTATGACAGAAGCCAATACGTTTGGACGCAATCATGAGTAGACTTATCATCTGATAGTTAATACAAAACTTAATTTATAAATTAATTGACCCCATCCCCATATCGCACACAAATCATTGATTATTATTATTATTATTAAAATCAAAATTTCCCATTCATTCAACTTACTTGAATTAATTTCATTAATAATTTAACATTGATTGAAAATTGATTTAAAAAATCAATAAATATTGATTCATTCCATTGAATCGATAAAATCACTGATATATCAGAAGAAAATTTTAATTGTATATAATTTAATGTTATTTCATTAAAATCAATATTTAATAATTGTAATTGTTGATAAGAATTTTCTTTTAAATTATTCATTTGATAATTATAATTACATAATAATAAAAATGTCTCGAATTTCTTTAATTTTATTTCATTATCATTAAGTATATTAGAAAATTGTTGAAATTCATCAAGAAATTTATTAATTAAATCAATTTTATGATTTAAATAATCAATAATTAAAGGGAGATGATCATTAAAAATCAATGAATATTGATGATTAGCTAAACGAATTAATTTTTGAATAAATAAAATACTTAAATTTAATGGTAATTGACGTTGTTGAATTGATGTTATTGTTATCGATGATGATGATGATGACGATGAAGACGGTTGATGTTGTTGTTGTTGCTGTTGACTGGATGATAAAATCATAAATGTTATAAAATTCTTTTTTTGTTGTTCATTTATTAATTGAAGATTATTTGATTTTTCCATTAAATCAATCAATTTTAATTTACCTTCAGATTCACCTAATTTATAAAGTTGATCTAATTTTCTTTGTAAATTAATGAATTCATTATTATCTAAATAACCATCTATGTTAAATGCATTTATATTATTGACAAAATTAGATAATTCACCATGATCATCATGAATAGTATTTGCTTCACTGTCAACAAACCACCAATGTTGCCAATTCTTCCAAGCTTCAATCATATCGTTTAAACCAGTTAAACCTTCTTTGTTTATGTTTAGGATTTCCTTTTTAAAAAAAATAAAAATGAAATAAAAAGAGAAACAAACTTAAAACATTAAGCTAATCTCGAGAGTACGTTATTATTAGTGAAGAAAACAAACAAGTAACGTAATACAATAGTCTATAGTAATATAGAATGGTGTTGAATAATTATCATGAATTGTTTACGAAATTCAGATATTGAAAAAGAGTTATGAAATAATCGCCTGGTGAAAAATGTTAAGGCGAAGATAATTGGATTCAGAATTTCACTGGTTAGATGTGTTATTAAAAGGAAGATCTTATAATTTATTTCAAGGATCAATATATAGTAAGTCAAACTGTAATAATCAATACACGAATTTTCAAAGTTAAGTCCCATTTGAAGCAAAAGATTAACCTGACTGAATCCCTATGTACGAGGGCTAAACGAATTTGTAACGAATACATAATCGATATTGAACTTGATAAAATAAAACAGATACTGATCAACAATGGGTATTTACTTAGATTCATGATTTCAATGAAATATTTTTGTTACAAAAAAGTAAAAATTACTGGATTATATAAATTCAAATCTCAGAGAAGCGATACAGTTATGCTTTTCAGTCCTAATAGTGACCAAAACCGTCTGGTTTACCTAAAAATCATTGAATAGATTAATTAGTGTAAGATAACGGAAGTGATCGTCGAGATTTGAAGAACGTTCACATTACGAACAAATACACAGGTTGATAACACTATGTAGTGTTGTAAAATGACTTACTCTTAGTTTATGACTGTCCACCAGCGTGAACCAATGATCATACTGGTGAAATCTTGAAGTCTTCTAGACGATCAAGATATCTTTAGTATGTACTGATTTAGGATTTTATTTCTCCAATTATTTGAAATTGAATATGCCAAAAACCATTGAAATCGCAATAAACGTTTGTCAAAAATACAAAAACAAACCAATAAAAGAAATAGATATGAATTTTCATAACTTACATGAGCTTTGGCTAAGATCTCTTCCACATGTAACAATTGATTCAGTAATCCAGTGGGGGTGGGAAAGATAATACTGTTAATCGTTTTCAATTCATCTTTGATTCGAGGAATTTCTTCTTCAATTTGTTGAATGAAAGCCTGTATTTTGTGTTTTAAAGATTAAAAAAGTGATTAAAAAACAAAGGAAAGGCAAGGAAGGAGGAAAAATAGATTTCAACACACACAGAGAGAAAAGGAAACTGTTCCGGCTGATAAAAAAGTGTCTAAAACAGCATATCTACTAGGAACAGATTTATATATTTAACACTGACGGCTAGCGATACTGATCAGTTAAGGTAAATGAAGTAGAGTTTGAACCTTGGACCTATTTGGCTGGAAGATAAATCCTCCAAAAATAATGAGCCAAATCGGATCATCTATCATAACAGTATACCAGTTCATATCACAAGAAACATATTGAAACGAAACATCCCGATGGGGATTATTTGGACAATAAGAATCTATGAAATTAATTAGAAAAAGGAAAGAGACATTAATGAAGGAAGCCAATTATGCTATAAGTCAGGATCGAAGCCAACATACCCTGTTCTTGATTAGAAGATTAAGTGTATATATTTTAATGGATTGTGTAACTATTTATTCGGTTTGTCACTTGCAGCTTCCTACTGATTTATTACCCTTTCTCGTATTGCTTGATGGACAAGAGTATAGGAAGCGATTTTATCTTAAATCGAGTGATCGCAAACCGTAACAATTTTAGTCATTTACAAAATGAGTCACACAGATTCTATGAACATTGCAATAAGTATAAAAAATAAACAGAGGAGACAGTTTGTTGTCAATTAATGGGTATCCGTATAAATCATAATACAACTTACCTCCCACCAATCCACAATACTTTGTTGAGCAATCATAAGTTTGTCAAAGATGACAACATAACTATTTTCACCTTGATTATTATTATTACTATCAACTTCATCAACATATTGTTCACTTAAACAATTCATTGTATCCTTTTCCAATTCATTAAAATCCACCACACTAGTAGTTGAACAAGGTCCTAGACAAGCTTTTTGTTCAATTTCTGTGAGTAATTTACGTAGAGATAATTGTTTACAATTAAATAGTTCCATTTGTTTTAAATGTTGATACATCGTTTGGTGTGTAGTATTCACTTCAGTTTGTAATTGTTCCCAACTCATTTGAAACTGTTCAAGTTCTTCGCTTAATTTTTGTATTAAATTAGAATGATTCGATTTTAAATCATCATTAATGTCAACATCAAATTGTTTGAATATATTAAACAAAGAGTCGATCGTTGAATCTAACGATTGAACATTGTACAATGCATTGCGATATTCATCAAAATATAGATTATTTTGATTCAGTTCAGTTTGAAATTCCTGTGAAATATTAAATAATTACTGTGATCAGATAACAAAAGATCGTATCATTAACATAAATGTTCAGTTTGTAAAACGTTATTTGCGAGATCGACTGAAGATAACTATAAAAAATCATGGAGCATTGTGAAAAGTTTGTCCCTAGTTTAAGATAAGTACTCAGTAGTATGTATCAACGACCCAGCCATATATATATACCCGCAAACCTTATATTTCAATAAATATTTATTTCGAAAATCAGTTGGCTTATTAACTCACTATAGATAAGATAGGGTAAGATATGCATAACTTGAAAGCATTGAATAATGCAACTGTTTATTTTAGACCCCACGATTTTTGATTACTACTGTTTGCATTAATATCCCAATACCATCCATATTGTGTAATATAACCTTTTAAACTTTCTCTGAATTCACAATAATTAGACATACCGCTACACAATACTGATAAATGTCAGCAAATTAATTCTTATTTTGATGGAGTTTTGTTCTCTGAGCTGGATGGTTTGGTCGTGGAGCTTTCATCGTTCTTCTGAACGACATCATCAGCACAAACTTCAGATTGAAGTGAAGTGTTCGATTTTCTCCATATGTGTTTCACAGCTTGTTCTGTGCACCTCGATGTTGATTGGTTCTTGTTGACCTTAAATTTATCATTGTTCACTTCTTTGTTTAGGTTGTGTCTCCCATTGTTTTGATTTTTGTTCTTATATATATGCATGATTTTTCTGATTGGTTGATAAATTGGATTGATTTCAATATGTTTGTTGATTGCTGATTGACCTGAGTGCCAGGCTTCTAGAAATTCTCTGGTGTTTTTGGAGTTTCCTCTGTCTAAGATTTCTACATTTTCCCAATCGAATGAATGTCCGTAGTTATCCACGTGTATTGAAATAAGTGAAGAGATATCATGGCGTTTGACTGCTAATTGATGTTCATGTAGGCGTAGGTGGAGGGGGCGTCCGCTTTGTCCGATGTAGTGTTTGTCGCAGTTGGTACAATTTATTTTGTAGATAATGTTTGATTTGTTCTCCTTTGTTATTTCATCTTTTGGTTTGCATAAGATTGATTGTAGTGATTTTGTTGGTTTGTGTGCCACACCTATCCCGAAGGTTTTCAGCAGTCTCGTTGCAGTTTCTGATATTCCTTGTATGTACGGTAGGGTGATCCTTTTACTGATTTTTGTGCTTGACTTGGGTTGTGATGCTGTGTGCCGTTGGTGCTTTTTGATGAAATTGATTGGGTAGCCGTTCTTTTGGAATATGTCCTTCAGGTATTTCTCTTCATTTCTTCGTGCTGCCAGTGTGCTGCAGTGTGTTCTCGCCCTCTTGAACAATGTGTGTACGCAGTTGATTTTGTGAGCCCTTGGGTTGTTGCTGTTGTAGTTGAGAATTTGATCTGTATGGGTTGGTTTCCTATATACTTGAGTTTCCAGTTTTCCTGTATCAGTTCTAGTGATCAATATATCCAAAAATGCTAGTTGGTTGTTTGACTCCTGTTCCATTGTGAACTTGATGTCATTGAAGACGTTGTTGATCAATTTGTATGTGTTTTCTAGTTCATCCTTTTTGACCATGACGAAGGTGTCGTCTACGTAGCGAATCCAAATTTTTGGTTTGATCACTGGTAATATCGTGGCTTCTAGTCGTTGCATCACTGCTTCTGCGATCAGTCCTGATATTGGTGATCCCATTGGTGTCCCTTTTGTTTGTTTGTAGATTTTGTTGTTGAATTGAAAATATGTCGTAAGGCATAAATCGATGAGCTCCAGTAGACTTTGAATTTGAAGCGTCGTGTATTTGGTGAGATTTGGGTCGTTGTTGAGTAGTAGGGATATAGTTTCTTTTGCTAACTGTGGTTCAATTGAGGTGAACAGTGCTGTTACGTCGAAGGATATCATGAGTTCGTCGTTGTTGATTTGAATGTCCTTAATTTGGTCCAAGAATTGTGTTGGGGATTTGATGGAGTGTTTGGCTGAGTCTACTAGATGTCTCAGTATTCGTGAAATTTCTTTTGATAAATTGTACGTTGGCGTTCCAGGGAGTGCTACTATTGGACGTAGTGGAATGTTCGGTTTGTGTATTTTGGGCCTGCCGTAGAATCGAGGGAGTACTGGTCCACTGGATTTCATTCTCCATTGGTCTTGTTTTGTTATTTCTCCTGCTTTGACTAGCTTGTTTAAAGTCTTTGAGATTTGGTTGTCTAATTTTTTGACGGGATTTGTGTCCATCAGTTTGTATGTGCTCTTATCTTTGAGTAGTTCTTCGGCTTTGTTGACGTATTCTTCTTTGTCCATGATTACTGTGGTGCGTCCTTTGTCCGCTGTCAAGTGTATAGGAAACCAACCCATACAGATCAAATTCTCAACTACAACAGCAACAACCCAAGGGCTCACAAAATCAACTGCGTACACACATTGTTCAAGAGGGCAAGGACACACTGCAGCACACTGGCAGCACGAAGAAATGAAGCGAAATACCTGAAGGACATATTCCAAAAGAACGGCTACCCAATCAACTTCATCAAAAAGCACCAACGGCACACAGCATCACAACCCAAGTCAAGCACAAAAATCAGTAAAAGGATCACCCTACCGTACATACAAGGAGACTGCTGAAAACCTTCGAGATAGGTGTGGCACACAAACCAACAAAATCACTACAATCAATCCTATGCAAACCAAAAGATGAAATAACAAAGGAGAACAAATCAAACATTATCTACAAAATAAATTGTACCAACTGCGACAAACACTACATCGGACAAAGCGGACGCCCCCTCCACCTACGCCTACATGAACATCAATTAGCAGTCAAACGCCATGATATCTCTTCACTTATTTCAATACACGTGGATAACTACGGACATTCATTCGATTGGGAAAATGTAGAAATCTTAGACAGAGGAAACTCCAAAAACACCAGAGAATTTCTAGAAGCCTGGCACTCAGGTCAATCAGCAATCAACAAACATATTGAAATCAATCCAATTTATCAACCAATCAGAAAAATCATGCATATATATAAGAACAAAAATCAAAACAATGGGAGACACAACCTAAACAAAGAAGTGAACAATGATAAATTTAAGGTCAACAAGAACCAATCAACATCGAGGTGCACAGAACAAGCTGTGAAACACATATGGAGAAAATCGAACACTTCACTTCAATCTGAAGTTTGTGCTGATGATGTCGTTCAGAAGAACGATGAAAGCTCCACGACCAAACCATCCAGCTCAGAGAACAAAACTCCATCAAAATCATCCACCTGAGCTACAAATCTTCTCCACCATCTCAAATTAATTCTTAAACAGACTTTATTTCAGCGGAAAACATAGGCATTAGACTATATTTTAATTTTGATGTTAAAATATTACTAATTGTATGATAATTGGAAGGAAATGAATCTTAGCTATTCACTCTAACTTATCACACTGTAAACGTTCACTTCTTGTTGTTATTATTTTGAGAACCGTGTTCTTTTTTTGTTTTAAAAAATCATTCACATACTCAAATACATCAAAAACTGCACTCTATCAACCTTTAGTTCGAAGTAATAGATTGTCAAAATTTCACTCCCGTGTTGTAGGTTATTGCCAAACAGCTTCGTTATCAAACGTAAATGCATCTTCAGAGCTTACTCAGTTGTCAGCTCACTCTTCTGGCAAAAGTGAGCTCTACCAAAGAATTTAATCAACTTATAGTTTAATCAGAAAATTGTTTAATTATGAAATAATTAACAATGGAAAGTAAAATATTCAGTGGAAGAATAGTTTGATATGACTAAATACTGCTTACATCTTGAATTATTCATTCTAGTGTAACAAAAAAGCTAGGTTCGCACAAATGAAATCACATTAGTTTTAAGCCTATAATCTTTACAGGGTTTTCGTCACCAACTAACATCAACCTTAATCCGATGAAGTTTAATCACTGTTGTTTAGAAACTTCCTGTTAGATGCAAACCTAACAAATATGGTTGAGTTTTTCAATATCACAACGATGAAAGAAGATTTGAAATACTGATGAAAATACAAAGGTAAAGTATGAACTACACTCACTTTTAGAAGTGATAAACAAGTTTGAGCTGTGTATTGATCTAACTGATTTAAAATATGACCAGAAGGCGATACTGGTGACGACTGGTTACTGGGTTCAGTTACTACTGCTTCCCCTACATCTGAAGTGTTAGGTGTAGTAGTAATATCAGTTTTCAAGTTGGTTTGAGAAATTTGCATGAATTTTTTTGATAGTCCATTAATCCAAGAGCGACAATGAATGAATTTTCGTTCAGATTGAGACCAGGTGGAACTGATGACATCGATTGATTTAATGACCGCCTAAATGGGAGAAATTGTCATTGTGTTCGATTATCAGTATATTCATAAAGTAAAGACTGTTACAAATAAATTATGAAGTGGTGTAAATATCTCATCTTTGATAACTGAGTGATCACTAGGTGGTGACCCATGTCATGCTTGTCCAGCAGCTTTTGAGCGTTGATAGATGTCTGTCAGTCAAGCATCATTGTGCTCACTAATCTAAATGGTTCTACATAGTGTGCATATGGGATGGTCGGAGATAGTCATTAAGAAAATCTGAAGGGTCTAATTTTCAAGCTAATTGACACTCGTCCGTAAGATGTACCTATAATCTTGCAGGAAAATGGTGCTTCTTACGGAATTCACCTTTCAAGATACAATTCATTTTTGAGTGGTTAACATTACATAACTTACTGAAAGAATCTATCTATCTGTATCACCTAGTCATCTTTCAGCGGGTAGAGTTACTACAACAGAATATGAGTGTACGTTGTCCAAAAATCTTTATGGAAATGTACAGCAAAGCTTAACATGCTATACTCTTTTTTCGAAAAAGAAATTTAGAATGTCAAATACATCTTTTTGGAAAATAGCTAAGAATTTATAAAGTGAACCAATCAAAAGTTACCAGATAACAATGCCACGTTGTAGCAATTAAAAGTCTGATGATAAGTGTATGTTATTGGCCAAGAAATGGATTTATTTTCTGAGTAGACATGTAAACGAGTGCTCATGTTAGTGAATCGGTTTGACCCAAAGAGCTTCATTCTTCACCCCTAATTTCCTCACTCAGTAGCCAGCTGTAGCTTGCATATAGGAAGTTTTGTGTATTTATAAATGACTCGGAAACCGTGTGTCATAACAAGAATAAATAACCAATTTCTCAGTCAGAAAATTTCCAAGTTGTTTGTTTTTAAGTATCTGTTTAACCTTAAATTTTTTCACTGATAAGAATCAAGTGTTGGACGATAATCGCACCGATCACCACTTCATGAATACATACAAACAAATACACAACAAATTACATGAGGTCAATCATGGGATGGAGTAACTCACTTGTAATACCACTGTATTTATTTATTTATTTATTTATGTATTTGAACACATAAACACTGGTACATGGAGGCACCAAATATATATGATCCACACAAATCATTCGATTTGTGTGAGGGCTGGAATACTGCTAGTGCGTTCAAGCCGAAGTACGTGGCTTTAACAAGCCTTTGACGTAAAAGTCTAATCTAAAAGTATGTGCAGCAACATTAGGAGATGCAGTCTCATGGTGGTCGGTGACCAAAAATAGGTTCATATGCCATTTATTCCTTCAGGATCCTGGAGCCCATATGCAACATTGGTTCGGAGTCAGGGTTTCTCAAATCCCCTAGATGGACCCTCCATATCTACCACCGACCCGGTTGAAGCGCCAGACACTCGCATTTCGTCCACACAATTTCTCAAACAACACCCTGTCGCGAAGAGGCATTGACCAGGACTTCCCTGGCAGTGGCTGTATACGCGTGGCCATATGAGAGCATTTCGAGAGGTAGAGATGACTCCCCAACCTCGGCCGTACTAATATATTTGGGGGCTATAACACCATGTAATTATGTGGGCCCGAATATCACTTGGAAAGACAGTTGTTAAAAGATTTTAAATATACACTTCATCGTCGAGTGCTAACTACTGCGAAACTAATAGTTCGAAATCTTTGCAGATCGCTTACAACTAACTACGCAACACTATTCGATTAAAGTAATTTAGCCTCATATGTGGCAAAAAACCTCTGGAAGAGTCCGACACTACGTATAATGATGACCTTAAACTTCACTATTGACATATATTAAAAACTTACATTAATAAATTCAATAATCTCTAGCAGTTTATTATTTCGTTCTTCAAAAATAGATTGAATCGTGATTGATTCAATGGTAGGTAATTGTTCCAGCAAACAATGATCCTCATTTGTAACTGATTTAGATTCAAATGAGAAATTTTTCTGATACAATTCTAAAAACTGTAAATGCTCAACTTTCAAGTGTTGAAATTCTTTGATTAAAGGCTTGAATTCATTTATATAATCTTGATGGATTTGTTTGAATTTCTCAATAATTCCACGCCAAATATTAAGATATCTTTTAATTTCTTGAATTTGAGTTGAACATAAATTCATACTTTCAGATTTAAGACGATTAGAAAGACTGTAGATTCGTTCATTCAAATTATTATCAATGGATGTGAATAACTCAATACGATCATTGAGATTAGTTAAATAAGCTTGTAATGTGTGTATTTTATGTTCTAAATTTGTAAACTGATTTTGATCTTTCCTAATTTGTAATTTGATGATATTCATGTTTTCTGGACATGTATCTTGTACGACACTATCATAAGTCAAGTTGATCTCATCCAATAATCTGTTGACTTCATCTAAATCTGTACTGACATGTGTTTGTATAATATTTACGCATTTAGAAAGTACACTACTTACAGGAAATCTAAGCAGTGTAGTCTCATCATTCATGTCCATCTCTAAATTCAACATATACTTAGCACAATAGAAAGTATTAGCAATACATCTTGTTAAAATTATCTCAAGATTTTTCAAAGATTCAATTAAATTCTCATGCCGAGTTATAGCACGCTTCCATCGAGTTACATTTAAATTTACTCTTTCCAATGCTTGATTCATATCATAATGAAGTGATTTTAAACTTTTGACTAATTGAACATCAACAGGATACATTTTAACTGGATGTGATAATGGATTCAAATTGAGATCTGTTGACTCTTCAGTAATTTTTTCTGATTTCTCAGAAACAAATGATGTAGCAGTGTTACAGCAACAATCTTTTAAGATGACATTTATTTCTGAAATGTGTTCCGTAGTTTCAGTTAGAATATCCTGGGCAAAGTAGTGAAAATAGATGAGTGTAAAAATAACATGCAATAACATTCTAGATTTATGAGAATTATTTAGATTTTTGAATCCGTTATAGTTAAACGCTTCAGTGTGGGATTTATTCATACTGGTATAATACGAGTAATAAATTAACTGCAGTTTGACCACTCTATGTTGTATTCGTCAATCAACAAAGCATCGTGATCACACCCAATGTTTTATACATGAAATAAAAACCCATACTTCCAGGAAATTGATTTGATTCTCAAATTGGTTTCACTAAATCTTACAAATGCTTCATGGACTCCAATAAACCTACATGTGCAGTCTTATCGGTCTTTGTGACAAATATAAAATAATACTTGTTGTAAACCTAACATGGCTATTTTGTTTCTGCTCGTTAGTGAGTAATCACGAGAGAGATAAAAATGTGTTACACTGGAAATCTCACTATTTAGCTCCATAGATTCCGTTTGCAGCTTTTAGGCAGTGACCAACTTTTATTCTTTCGATTGAAAAATATGTGGATATGAAGGTCTCAGGTTTCCAATTCACACATAGGCAAAAGCGGTATACTACAGTACAAAGTGTCAAACCAGGATAATATAACTACTCAGTGCTATTATCTGTTTTCATCCAGTGATACTTGTGACCGTCAATTAGGGAGCAGTGAATTATCGATCGGACCAAGGACGCGTAAAACATGTGCGAGCAGCCTAGAGTTATGATTGGTCCTGCTTCCTGCCTAGCCCAGCCAGTTAAGTCCAGAACACCAATCCGAGCCTCTGCAATACGAATCACTATATTTCAAACATACTGAGTTTATATACCAATCAAACAGACCACAACGTACCAATAAAATATGCAAAAACATTTGTACAAGAATTAGCCAGATGTGGCTGTGAATGAGGGAGGTAATAATTAATATACTGGGTATAACTCAAGAATGGTAAAAAGTATAATAACAGTTTAGGGGTCGACATAAAGCTTATAATAAGAGGAATATGAATATGCATAGTTTAGTTACTTAATAATTATACAATAGAAATATACGTTTAGTATTGGTCCGTAAATAGATCCCAAAAGTTATCATTCATTATTCTTGTTGGGACATAACACACATCTAGCTCCGTGTTGTTGTCAACAGTGAGACATGAACCTAGTACTTCAAACGCCAAAGCGTTATTCGCTGACTTACTTAATTTATAAATGAATGGTAATATCAAGATGATCGGTTGAGGATGAGATGAACATACACCAACAGGGACTAATCGATTGCAGAATCCAACATAAACAACGAGAAGATATAAACACTTACAAACTAAACTACAGTGACTTGTAAGAATAAGATCATAGTAAAAAAAAATTACAATCCATAGTTATTCAAAATAGTCTACGAGAAAATTAGGATCTACTGAAAGTTCCTTTGTGTTCTACTTCAGGATGAATTATCCTTTATCTCATCTTCATGATAAGAGAAGCGATGACATTTGATCTTTTGAGTGAAAATAAGCATCTTTCAAATTTTATAAATTATTTATTTTAAGGATTATTAACTTATAAGAATTTATGAACTGGAATAAATAATTATAGCGATGTCAATGACGCTTAATTTCATCATTACTTCTGTAAAAATATATTTCTTACCTGATATTGTACTAATAATGTCTTTTTAGACTCTAAGTCAACAGGTAACTCCGTTTCAATTGATTCTACTTTAATCAGCAAGTGAGAAAACCATTCTTTATGTTGAACGATCTTTTCAGACATATCTTTCATTTGATTAAGTATCAAAGATAATAAAGCTGACTGTTGATCAATTCTTTCGGTTAATTTACTCAATTGATTTTTCATTGAAATAATTAATTCACTTGCCAAATTTTTCTCTGGATTATTTAAACTAATTAAACTATTGAACATCTCTTCGAGTATGTTCAATTTTTCGTGGATATTCTTTAAGGAAACATCTCGTGTTTGTTGATTTAATTCATTGATTTTATACTGGACTAGATCACGTGTCCATACCAACTCTTGTGAATTGACCACTGATTTATTATTATTATCCATCACAATATGAGATTTCATGTCGCAAAAATCTTCTTCCAGAATACGAAGATTATCTGAGAGTGTATTGATCTCAGATAATAATGACTGAGCTAGATAATTAAATCCAGTGTCTTGATTAATGATTTTTTCAGTTTTACTTATCAACTCTTTGTTATAATTTATCAAATTGCTATAATCTGTGTTCAATTCAATATTTGATACATTAGAAATAATTTGTTTGATGTCATCAGAAATGACTGATTTATTTACACGATCGACTATGTAAGTTGTATAATTTGAAATAACTAAAGATTGACGTTCTTCAAATGATCTTAAGTGTTGACTGCGTGAAGATAGATTCTGGAATACTCGCTATGAGGAAAAATAAAAGAGAAAATGTTGAAATGTTAAAAACAATTTTATGATAATAAGAAACTTTTACGAATTAATTAGTTAGGTGAATAGTAATCGTTCATCGATGGTTTCAGTGTGACTTGACAATTGATCGATGAGTTACTGATCCTAAACGTTTTCGCATTTTATCAACTTTAGTCATAATCATGATTGTTTTGATGAATTGAAGATGAGATTTATATCATAAGAAAGATTGTATCAATCAAGCTAATATCTATTGTATTCGGTAGAAACACAAAATTTAATCATTCAGTTTTGTGGTTTTAATATTTTTACACTAATCCATTTGAATCAAGTGAATTTCACAGATGAATTAGATTTTCATCGAGCTTTATATTCTACTACACAGATATACATTATAAAAACAATACTCACTGAAGAAGAGATGACTATTCTTAACTCGCGATTGATCCTATATCCGAGTCTCAAAAAGAAAAGCAATACACAAGGTGACTCACCCATTTTTTTTCCAGTCACTTTTTAATGACCTTATGAAATTTAAGTAACTGACGAATTACTTTCAATAAAAATTCTAAACCCAATGAGAAACTATGAGAATGGATTTACTTCAGGATTTGATTCAGTCATTAATTTATATCCAAAGTATATCCCGGTGTAATCAAGGTTAATTGGTGAATATCTCATTTTTATTTGGAATGAGAACGTTACCATTAACTAATTAAACGCTGTGATTAGTGAATTTAGCCGATGTAGAAGTGAGGCAGTAATAGAACATCCATGGTAATGAATAAGAATTGTGCTATTGCATAATCAGATTAGAGTGCGAAGTGTAGAACGTTGAATATAGACTTAAACGCTCAATAGTTTCAAAGTCCATTATAAAACTTAAAGATTGTTGAGTTCACTTCAATAAAAGGTAGCAAGTGAACACTGCTGAAATGTTTTAAGCCAGGTCGGAGCAATAGCTGTTTGATCAACAGTGTGTTACGACCTCCGATCATTTTTATGTTCACTTAATCAGGTTACAAAATTACAGAGTTCGCTAATTACTAATTGGCTTACGCAGATTGAACTAACAGTCTTCTCTTTAACGAATGATGCAAATGACTGAAAACTACGACCAAGAAATCCTAATGACAATTCCGGAAAGATTCAGAACAGTTCAACAGTTTATCAGTCCAATAAAAGCTTATAAATAGAACAATATGAAAATATCATATATCAATTATTGAATAATTACACAGAATGAACAAATTTATTAATTCACTGTATAGTTTAAAATGTTCCACTATTTTCCAGTTTATCCACTATTATCTAACAATATAATTCCTGATTTTTAATAAACTCTCTTGTTTAATATCAGTTATGATTAGTAGTAAAACAAATAATTATTATTTAATAGTTGAGTTCATGAGTCGCTCTAAGTTAGATTGCCATTGGAAACCTGGCAACACTAGACGGCCGTTTCGCCCTAGTATGGGACACCTTAGCAGCACGCATCCACCGTTGGATGCCGGTTCAGGGATCTTGAGGTTAGGCGTTCGTGAGCGAGACCGAAGGTCTTGAGTTAGAGTCCTGTGTGTGGGATTGTGGTTGCGGATTGCTGATGAGTCTCATGCTAGAATGAAACGACCATCTGGCGGTTCCAGGTTTTTATTGGTAGTCTAGCTTAGATGGACTCATGAATTCAACTATTAAAATTATTATAATCTCCACAAATCCCCATTCTGATAATAATTATTTACTCGGAAACTTTGTAAAATTGATTGTCTTTCATTCATTAACATAGACCATGATGATAAAATTGCATTTAATGAAAATAAAGATGATCTCAAAGATTCCGATGATGTTGATGATGATGAAATGATATTATCAAATGATAAAACCACTTCTAATGGTTTATTTAATTCAATTAATTTTTCTTCATGTTCATTTAACCAATTTTTTAATTCATATTTCTCTTGATCCATTTTTAAATGTTCAATCATTGTTAATTCAATTCGATGATATAATTCAACAAGATCAGTTGATAATTGATCAGCTGATTTTTTTAATTCAATTAATTGTTCATTCATTAAATTATATCCTTTTAAACTAGTTGTTAATGAAGTAAGTTGTAATAATTCTATACAAGATTGATAAGATATTACAGTGAATCGATCAAGTTTATTCATTAAATTTGATAACCATCCTAAGAAATGATGATAAATTTGATCAGTTCTATTCCATTTTGTTTTCGAAGATATTTCATGATTATTATTATCATTATTATTTAATGTATTAGTTAATTCCATTTCATCATTAAATGGACAACCTTCAATAAACTCTGATTTGATCATTTGAAATTCCATTGAACATGATTGAAACGTTTCTTGAAATTTCAAATGATTATCTACTGCTAATTGCCAACATTGTGTTAAATCTTCACAATATTTCTTTAATCTTTTCAAATGATTATTTATATAATTTAAATGTTTATCTAAATAATCATTATTTATTATAAGAATATTTTGTTGAGATAAACTTGTTTGTTTAATTCTATTCAATATTGAAATTAATTGTTCCCGGGAATCATGTAACAATTGAATGGAATTAGAACATTCTGAATGATTTAAATCATTTGAAATTTGTTTTAATGTTTGAACATAAAATAATTTACCATCTAAATTATCAGGTAAATTCACTATACCATCACTACCAATTAACATCATTATTGAATCTGGCATAGAATTACATAATTGTCGTGTTGAAAATTGAATAATTCTTTTTTCTTGATTATTCATATAAGTTTGTGACCTTGACAGTTGATTTAAAAATTCTTCATTGTAATGTTGATATTCTTTTAAATTTTTGACAAGATCATTAATTTTTTGTTTTAAATTAAGAAATATATGATTTTTAAAGTTAGTAATCTTTATTTGGAAGTTCTCTGGATGTTCTACTTCTTTTTCAATTGATAGAAATAATGAATTTAATGTGTCTAATTGACTTTCAGCATTATTCATGATAGATAACCATAATTTATCAATCTTTTCAATGTATATTGATAGATTATTATCTTTATTAATAAATTGAGTCCCTATTGATACATCCGAATTGTATTCATTATTTGATGTAATAGAATAGGATTCACTTTCTGGAATTAAATGTTCAATTCTTGCAACGATATCTTCTATCATATAAGTAAGTTTTGTCTCTGTATTAGAAAGCCATTCTTCAAATTTCTGATTATGTTCCATAAATTTTTTATATCTTTCTAAACGATTTTGGTGTAATTTTAAACGTGTATTTACGAAATTCTGAAGTGATTCAAAACGTTTTCGAAAATTTTGAATTTCTTCAGTAGGAAGAACTACTTGATCATTATTATTAGTAGTAGTAGCAGTAGTACTAATCATATTATCTGAATTTCTTCGACTGAACTGATTTCCACAACTAATTACAGTGTTAAGAAGACTTTCATGGGAATCAATATCCTGTAATCGTTGCTAAAAGAAATATGATTATAAAAACAAAATTATAATGACCATATTGGCGTGAATAATAATAGTAATAATAATAATAATGGAGAAAACTTCGACATGTAATAAATAGGAATCTAAAAAATATGACCTGTTAAATAGAGTAAATCCCTAGAACGCTGGAACAAAACTTTAGATATATTTACGTATAATGACACGGAACTGCTTTTGATAAGGTTTACATTGTTTTTTGAGCTATCTACCTATCTAGAATTTACATTCTAATCTGGTATTGACTAATTGGTGAACTGTTTGAAATAACTAGAGCCAGGATTGTAGAGAGCGAGGAAGAATCTAAATTAAGACAGTAAAGCGTATTAAAAACTGGAAAACTACACATCCAGATGTAATGGCTGTGGTTAGTGTACTATTCATGAATGACCTTAACTCAAAATCGAACAAAATCTATTTAACTTTGACGAATTGAAGGAATCAAATGATACATAAACTATTACAGTTGACAGAAATACAGACTTTAACAAAATGATCATCCTCTTTATTTGCATCAGCACGAATCATAAAATTTGTTTATGATATATATATATATATATATATATATATATATATATATATATATATATATATATTCTTCAAATCTAATTACTGAAAACAATCATGGGCAAATATTTAATTCATAGAAATCTCGGTAACAGTTAATTACACTAAGGAATCAGCCGAAATATTAAAGAAGTTTCTTTTGTCGATATTGTCTACAAAGATAATGAAAATTTCTTTAGAACAGAGAATTCAACACTACTAATAAGTAGAAATTTTTTTTGTAATTTTTAACAGTTTTCATGCATTGCCTTAAGTGGGTGACCGTCTCACACCCGGCACAGATTGAACTCTACTGGTCACCGTTTCTCACTTATTATCAACTGAAAAAAAACAAAGAAAATATATGATAACACATAATCACATGTAACATGTAATGTGTAATAACATACTTTGTATAATGTAACAAAGTACATTTTACTCGTCAAATTATCTCCGACTTCATCTGAATCAGTTAATTGATTCACTTTCCAATCAAATTCCACCATGTTCAACCATTTTTCTAAACGTAATTTTGAATCAACATAAGACGTCCATTGATTTAAGTCAAGTTGTATTTCATTTAAAACGGTCCCAATTTCATTTAAATAAACATTGAAACGATTATTTAACATAGATGAGAAATTTAATAATTGGTCATTGAATTCTGATATAAATGTAGAATGAAATGATAATACATTCTCTGTAAATGATTCTATTGATTTTGATTCATCTAATTTGGTTTGATCATTATTGATTGATTGTTCCATCTTAGGTGGCAAACTATAATTATTTTTAATTTTATTGTAGAATGATTCCGATGTTAAAATCAAATTACATGCAATTTCAATGGTATTTTGAGCTAGTTGTATTTTTGCACGTCCATCGTCAGATATTTCATTGAGGTTCTTTTGTCAGAGAGAGAGAGGGTGAATGAGAGGGAGAGAATGAGGGAAAGTGACGTAAATAATGGATGAGACAGAGAGAGAGGAAAAACACGTTTAATGAAGCACATAAAAGACAGATAAGCTGTTTGATAAAAAACGTTGTAGTACAACTTATTGGTTCATTGAAAGTAGTTTGTCTGCAATAATTAATAATAAATATGTTTTAAGAAATGGTCAGATAGTGTTTTAAAACTTTCCAAATGTAGCATATTAGGCATGTGTAATCTTATCTTCGTGCATTAATTTGATATATGTTAATACACAAGTATTTTGTAAATTATAATGAATGGGAAGGAAGTGATCGACTGAAGTTGACTAACATTAAATGACTAAACATGGATGACATCGGTCAATAATCCATCAGCGTGAATATTTCAGTCCTACAGGAGGTGAGTCGTGGCCGAACAGCTCACTGGTATGGCTTTAGACTGTAGAACTGAGTATCAGAAATTCGAGTCCTAAAGGGAGCATCACTTCCCTCAAAACTACAGATACATCTTGTTGACGTATCAACTGGCATGAAACCTAAGTCGACGAGGGTTTGTTACCAACTGCTGTTAGTTATACACATTACTAACCAATCAAATTGTTGTTTAAACGCCCATCACGTCAACTTGGTCTAAAGTGTTTTTAGGCTATCCCTGTTGCATGTGACCTGCCAATTGAAAGACATTATTATCCTATTGTATTAGCATGACTACAACTCATATTTTTTACTCATCTCGATAAGACACACAATACTGGTCAGTATGTTTGTGCGTTTCACTTGATAACTATAATTCCTTTAATTATCGTACTAATCAAGTTGTGTATACATTTAGAAACAGATTAAGTTTAAAGCCAAGTTGTCCTTGTTCTGACTATAGCTTTCCCATAGACTCTGGGACGTCATTATGGCGTTCACAGTTCTGGTATAATATCTGTAGAACAAATTAAATCCTACAGCTATTTCCCAACAACTGTACACGGAAAAAAATCCATTTTTTATCCTCTTGAACTTTAGAACTGTGAGTAACTAGTTGACATGTTTATCTGCATTAATGGTTTTTTCAACTCTATCAAGTGATGTTTGTTTCTACAACTAGTATTATTTTAATTTGAATTAGCACAAGATCGAATCAGCCATGGCCAAATTCAATCGTAGTCTACCAGAGCATCAAGGTCATAGGAGGAAATGAGTCAAATTCCATGGGATATCTCAAGTCATTTCAATGATTTAATGACCAATAATATATTTTCTTCAACTCGTGATATGGAACTTTATTAATAGTCTGAAGACTTTTGTTCTTTTACTTGGCTGATTCCAAAATGAAAAACTTTATAATAAGTTTCATGCATAGTTTAGGTAAATGATTTACGAATATTATTATTTCAACTTAAAGACAGTTTCCGTCACGAACTGATATCGAAGTTGAACGTATCAATACAAAAACTATTTACTTAGTAGCAGGCATTTATGAAAACATTAAAACTTCATGTTATGAAACGACTGAAATGTTTTAGACTGTTGAATGAATATTCGTCAGTTCGTAATCTTAATAGTTTCATTTCGTTTGTTATAAAAACAAATGAATCAAATAATGTCTCACACCTACCATGGTTTACATTTAGAATATCTGAAAAACATTCCAAATGGGCGACTATTATCACTTCATAGTGCTTTTTTCATAGTTGGTATTCAAATCTTCTTAGACCACCCATTAAATAATGAACAATCAATATGGTATACGTATGACGTTTTACTTTCATTTTCAAACATAAAAATAGGTTTGATGAGTTATATATTGATACCAATTTCCGCTATTCTACTGAATTAAACAAAAACATGTGCAATAGCCCTTTCCTTTGTTGGATTCGTAGTTTTAAATCAAGAACTGACTGTAGTTAAAAAACCATTGAAAACAAAGAAATTCTGGACAGTTGTCTCATCCATGTAACTCCGCCTGGAGTCCCTCTGAGGGCTACTGCCGGTCCCAAGCCCGGATAAAGGAGGAGGGTTGGGCATGGAGTTAGCGACTCCATACCGCGGAAAACTAACACGCTAAAAAACGCTAACCAGAAAAATTATTCAAACCTTTTAAACTCTGCCCTGGGAGTCAGAAGGTCTTCATTTAGAAGAGTTATGACGTCTCATGATGAAAGCCGAGTTCCTTCGGAAGTCACGAGGCCAATGCCCTTTCTGACAATCAGAGCAAACATTTATTCAGGTACGTGGAATACTCGTACAACGTGGGAGACCAGGAGAGTCTTCCAAATTGCTGCAGAAATGAGAACACACAACATAGAGGTACTTGGGATCAGTGAAACACATTGGACGAAAGTTGGACAACAACGACTAGCTTCAGGGGAGCTTCTTTTATACTCCGGCCATGAAGAAGAAAGTGCCCCACATACACAAGGAGTTTCATTGATGCTGTCCAAACAAGCACAAAATGAGCTTATAGGATGGGAATCTCATGGACCAAGGATCATCAAAGCCTCGTTCAAAACAAAGAAAGAGGGCGTTTCAATGAACATCATCCAATGCTATGCGCCTACCAACGACCACAATGAAGACGCTAAAGATCAATTCTACAATAGGCTGCAATCAATCGTCGAGAAGTGCCCAACAAAGGACCTGACCATTCTGATGGGAGATTTCAATGCCAAGGTTGGAACGGACAACACTGGATATGAAGATATCATGGGACGACACGGACTTGGAGAAAGAAACAAAAACGGTGAGAGATTTGCAAACCTATGTGCCTTCAATAAGCTGGTCATAGGCGGCACCATATTCCCACATAAACGCATACACAAAACCACATGGACTTCACCAGATCCCTCTACACATAACCAAATCAACCATATTTGCATCAACAAAACGTTCAGGAGGACTATAGAGGACGTGAGAACCAAGAGAGGAGCTGATATAGCATCAGATCATCACTTGCTGGTTGCCAAGATTAAATTGGAACTCAAGAAGCACTGGACAACGGGGCGGACAATATCACAAAAGTTCAATACGGCCTTTCTTCAGGATACTAACAAACTCAACAAATTCAAGATAGTCCACAGCAATAAATTCCAGGCCTTTCAAAATCTACTCAGCGGGGAAGAAACTACTATGGAGAGCAACTGGAAGGGGATCAAAGAGGCAATCACTTCAACATGTCATGAGGTCCTGGGTCACAAGAAGCACCACCTCAAGGAATGGATCTCTGTTGATACACTGGATAAGATTCAAGAAAGGAGGAACAAGAAGGCAGCAATCAATACCAGTCGAACAAGAGCAGAAAAAGTCAAGGCATAAGCTGAATACACAGAAGTAAACAAACAAGTGAAGAGGAGCATCAGAACTGACAAACGTAAATATGTGGAAGATCTAACAATGACGGCGGAAAAGGCTGCAAGAGAAGGAAACATGAGACAACTGTATGACACGACAAAGAAACTCTCTGAAAATCAACGTAAACCGGAGCGACCAGTGAAAAGCATGGAAGGCGAGGTAAACACCAACATTGAAGAACAACGAAACAGGTGGACAGAACACTTCAATGAACTCTTGAATCGACCAGCCCCACTGAACCCACCCAACATCGAAGCAGCACCCACAGACCTCCCAATCAATGTTGGCCCACCAACAATTGAAGAGATCAGCATGTCCATCAGACAAATCAAGAGTGGCAAAGCAGCAGGACCGGACAGATGTGAAAGCGCGGATCGGTAAAAGAAGAGCAGTATATTTACAACTGAAGAACATCTGGAACTCAAAACAACTGTGAACTGACAACAGGGTCAGGATTTTCAATACAAATGTCAAGACAGTTGTACTATATGGAGCGGAAACTCGGATAATTACGAAAGCCATCATCTAGCAGACACAAGTGTTTATTAACAGTTGTCTACGCAAAATACTTCGGATCCGTTGGCCAGACACTATTAGCAACAACCAACAAAGCAGATCCCATTGGAGGAAGAAATCAGGAAGAAGCGCTGGAAGTGGATAGGACACACATTGAGGAAAGCACCCAGCTGCGTCACAAGACAAAGCCTCACATTGAATCCTGAAGGCCAAAGGAGGAGGGGAAGACCAGAGAACACATTACGCCGAGAAATGGAGATAGACATGAGAAAAATGAACAAGAATTGGATGGAATTAGAAAGGAAGGCCCAGGACAGAGTGGGTTGTAGAATGCTGGTGGGCGGCCTATGCTCCATTAGGAGTAACAGGCGTAAGTAAAGTAAGTCTCATCCATGTACGAAATAAAACATATGCTCCACGGTAACTGATGAGCACGAATTAACCATAATTATTAATTTAAACCACCAGATGCTCACTTAGTGATCGAATCTTTGGTGATATAGTTATTTCATATCTTCAGATATCCGCAAATGTCAATTCACGTTTATGAGTAGTTGTCACTAAGTGATACCATTTTATTATTTTGTATTAATAATCGATCAGCAGTCATATATATATATAAAATTTATGATAATTGGTTTAAACAATGATAAGACTACAGAAACAGAAGGGGAATACAATCGATTCACTTTTACCTAAATCCCTGACTTGGAAAAGAATGGAAATTACATAAGAAAATATAATAAAATGTAATTATAAGAACAAGAACTGAACACCATTTTGAAGATACCCATAAGCTTACATGTATTAAATCAAGATATTTTTGAGCAGTATCACGATTAGTTGGTGTTTCTTGTCTTTCTGTGATAATCTGATGAAGTTGACTTGTAACATCTTCAATCCAATTGTTCGCATCATTGCATGTACGTTGTTGAGTTTCTAAGGCAGAAGTCACCTCAATAGTATGATTAATAGCCTTTTCCAAACATAACTGTAAAACATTTAATCTAGACTCAATTTCCGTTAGTACAGTAGATTTATAAATAAATCTTTCATTTAATTTCTCAGGACTATCGTTTTGATTAATGGAATCGGTTGATTGATTATTGAACTCATGAAACAATGATAGATTACATAATTTAACTAATTGATTAAATGCTTCATGAGCTTGTTTTAATTCAGTACTATTCCCGTTTAATTGGACAAGTAAATCCTAAGATTATAACAAATTACAGAAAAATATAAATAAATGATGAAATAAAGTGTTATCATTAATTAGAATAAATAATTGTTCGCGCACGAGACCGAAGGCCCTGGGTTCGAGTCCCATGTGCGGAATCGTGGACGTGAACTACTGAGGAGTCCCGTACTAGGACGAAATGCTCATCCAGTGCCTTCATGTTTTCAATGGTGGTCTAATACTGACCCATTCATTATATCAATCTAAACTTAACAATTTCACAACCTTATACTGAAAATAAATAACACCGTTGTGTTATGAACTATGCATTGGTCAATAAGTATATTGTAGTGTCTGGTGCTATTTTGTGACCATATGAGTCATTCTAACCGCCGAACAAACCGATCCATTCATTCTTCTTGATTCATACACTTTGACCTTGTCGATTATCCACGTATTCACCCTATTCCTCACACATTTTTGGCTGACTATAAATATTGAGTCCCGCTTTACCAAAACGAGTTAGCGAGTTGCCTTCTTCACTTAGATTTCCCGCTTCTCATTCTAAATGTCTCTCTGGATAAATCCCTCTAGCGCAACTCGTATTTGGCTTTTTATTATATGCAACTGACGACTTCAAAATAGGATAAGACGCCTATTTTGACTTCTATCGCTACTTTAGCAAAAAAAATAACCTACTCATCAGAAGTTTCTAATCTCTTGTTCTTTTTCCACTAACAAAAAGTCCTAAAGTTTAAATTTATTGGGTACACCAAATATAATACCATTAACTCAAATAATATCGAGTGTTTCTTACTTGTAATTTATTAAGACGAATTTTACACGATTCAATAGTAATGGATTGTTGCCATAAAATAATTTGCTTAAATCGTTCTTCATAAATAATCACATTTTCGGATAATTTAATTTCATATTCTTTAGACTGTATAGCAACTTTTTGTGCCGCATCAAGCTTCAACTCGATCTGTTTCAATTCACTATACATATTGGTTAATTGACTGTCCCATAATCGAAGCAATTGACTTATTGAATTATCAGATTCCATAAAGATGGAAGAAGCATCAGAGGAGTTGAGTTTTGTTAATAATAATGATATTGATAATGATGAAGGTGGATTATTGTCAGTTGTTTCTACTACTTTAGTGAATTGTTCGACTTTATCTTCAACGGACTGTAAAAGAGATTCAGCTGTTGGCAGTGATGTCTGCAAACCATCAACTGATGGTTGTTTTTCATTCTTCACTTGAGCGTCCGCATCGTCAACCTCATCATCTTTTATATGATCAGATAAACTAGGCTCGATGTCTATATAGTTTGAACGTAGCATTATTTTAGCTAATTCTTTTAAAATGTCAAGTTTAGATTCACATTGAACTTTCTTAGATAAATCCTTTACATAGATAGAATAGATAATAATGATTTGAATTAGTTATCCTACACTGTATGAGTGGGAATACACATACTGTAAATGATTGATTCATAGAAAACACACTATCAATAAAGTTTTTCAGTCTATACAGGGATTAGTTATAGACAGTGACTGCTCCGAAGGAACCTCTCTAACCAAAAGAACTATACAACGGGTATGTAGCTAGTGATATCCTACATGATAGAATAATGAGGGTGATTAAAATGACAATTTAAGAAGCTAATCTTACTTAGTTATTCTCTAGTCGACTAGTGATGTCTACTAAAACGAAGAACTAGTTAACTGATTATATCTACTTGATGTATATCTACCGACTCAATTGCTTCTGTGGAAAAAGCTGTAACCAACGCATGACCAAGTTAATTAACGAATGGAACGAGACCCGCCCATGTAACCTGGGAAGGTTACAACACACATGGTCATGTAGCAGATAAATGTAAATCGTTCCATGTGATCTAACGCTCACTACCTTCGCAGTTCCTCAACGGTTTTGCATCTCGTTTTTGACATATTGTAAAGGCTATAAAGGGTTCCAGCCCGAAACTCTAAATTATGTGCTCAGAAGAAACATTTAACATTCTCGTAGGACTTAGCAAACATTTTCATTGTGTGTTCTTGAGTCTTCCTATTTTGCTTTTGCCTTCAGGATTCCAAGTCAGGGCATTATGAGACAAGTCTTAACCCGGAATCCTGAAGGCGAAAAAAAAGAGGAAGAGTCAAAAACACATTGCTTTGGGAATTGGAGGCATATACCAACACCATAGTGAACCTTGAAGCTCAGCAGTGAGCTCCTACAACCTCATAAGCGGGGCCAAACTCAGGACTTTCGGTTCCGCTCATGAACGTTTAACCTCTAGACCACTGAGGCCGCATCTGACGATATTAATGTTTAAAATCAATCAATAAATGATCTTGGGTAACCCTTCATTCACCGGCGGCGAAGGATGTCCCATATCAGAACGAAATGGCCATCCAGTGTTTTCAGGTTTTCAATGGTGGTCTACCTAAGATCAGTTCGTGATTCCAACTCTTAAAATATCCATAATTAACTTGTCAGATGTCTCTAACATGGTTAAACAAAAATGGTTTCCACTTATAGTCACAAATCTTCTACAAATAACCTACGACTTAGCTAAATCCAGGTAATCTGCACGGGATACACATATACCAACAAAGATTGATCAAACTCCAATTACCACTATTAAAAACGGAATAATTTAAACCCTTCAAATTCATAGTATAAAGGTCATAACCTTTAAACAAGTTAATGGCTTTCTGAACTCAGTAGTATTTGAAGTGAGAGATACTTGATTCAAGTAGCAAAATAAACATCAACGGTAAGATCCAGTTATATCAAGCTGACGAATCCAATATAGGTTGAAAAGGGGATTCCGGATTCTTACTGGTACCTACAATACGTCTATTCTATGAAAAATTATTGATCTTTTAAGTGATTAACATTTAAACAAATACAAAGAATACATGTTAAAAGGACATTTGACGGTTGGTTACTGTTCAGATATATTGAATATCGAGAGATAAAATAATTTCTTATCAAGTTCGCTATATTTTTTCGAATCAGAAACACTCACGAACGTAATGTTTAGCAAATATACACACATATACTAATGTGGTATTTCGTAAGTAATGTTAGGACGAAAGAGTGAGTGAATGAAGCGATGGAAAACTGACTCGTTAGATTCGTTTGTAGTTTTCATTGGAAGACGACATGTTTAAATGGCAAGATGGAATAGTTTCGGTATAAATAGAGATGATCGAGAAGAATCAAGATTTATATAATTATTATTCGTTAAGTGATTGGTGAGATCTAGGTTTTCCATTTTCCGGCATTTATTTCCAGTCTTAAGGAAATGATGCTCTCTGTTGGACTCAAACTCGTTCCACCTGCTGTCATACTCACAGACATTGACAATGTGTTATTTGAGTCACAAAAAACACTGTCGGATTGAGATTATCGGTGAAATAGCGAAGTCAACCGAAATATCAATTTATTTAGGCTAGAAGTCAGACTATGAACTGATCGATAGAATCTGACCAGTGCTAAGGGATATACAATATGATGTTCGCAATTTCACAATGACAGATTAACATAAGTATTCTATCTTTACAACCGTACACTCTAAAGACATCACTAATCCGATGATTCATAACAGTTCATGGTTTCTTTCGAACTCAATCGACTACTAACAGATAACCAAGTAGTGAATATAACAAATAAAATATAACCACTAACTTCTACAGTTGCACGAATTGTATTCAAATTAGATGACAACACATCTACGGATAAAATTCCCACTGATTGATTTGTATCAGTCAATAGTTGCTTTGAATCATTTGGTTTTGTTATAATATGCATTGGAAGTGTAGCTGAATGAATTTCATTTACTCTTGAATGTAAATCATCAAACCAATTATGAAAATTTTGTATAGCATCAAAAAAGATATGACTAATTTTTGAATGTAAAATATGCACAGATTTTGTAGATCTTGCAACTAAACCTAATAAACGATGATTTAAAGAGACTGATTCACTTTCTAATAGAACAGATGCAGTAAATAGTTCAGTAGATGTATTCTCATTATTGGTGGATAAATTCGCTTCTTGTTGAGTTATTTTTAATGGTTGAATAGAACGATGATGATAACGACTTGGTCCAATGGCCAATAAATGAGCTCTATCATGTAACCATAATGAACGATCACGTAATCGTGCAAGATTATGACGAATGCACTGTGCTTTGCATAATTGTAATAAATAATTATTTGCTTGTATATTAATACTTTGTATATCAGTGAGGCTATATTGTACCATCGTAACACTATTTGGATCCTCTTCAGCATTACAAATAGCAGGATCAAAACAATATGTTAACTCTTTACTAATTGATTCTAGAAGGGCATTAAATTGATGTAGATCAACTTTTAACTGTTCACATCTTTCATATTCTTCATTCCATTGTTGTAATAAATGATTTGAAGATTTTTGTAATTTATGTAAACGCCATTCTAAATTATCAAATGTTTTTCTCAATAATACACGATCTCCTAAATCAGCTTCGATACGATCATTTATACTGTTTAATAAATTTGAGTAGTAAACAACTTCTGTATTAAATGTATCAAGAATTAATTGAGGATTTTCAGTATACTTTAATTGTTCATCAGTTGGCAATATTGAATGAAGATTAAATGGCGATAGGATAGCAGAAGTCGCTGCATTCGCTGCCAATTGTGAACTACATGTTTCTATTTTTAATTCATTTGTTTCAATCCAATATTCTAATTGTTTAAAACCATCTTCTAAATATATAAATGCACTACGTCGAATATATAATTGTTGTATGATAGTTTCTAAACGAAAATGTAATCGTTGCCAACGATTAATTATTGCATCACGAAATGGATCTAATTTTATTTGTTTCTCGGATAGTTTATGTTCTTCATCCATATCCTCAATTTTATTATTATTATTATATCTACATATTTCTGTTTGAAATTCATTAAATGTCTGTAATGCTAATGAAGATGATTGATTTAATTGTATAAAATATGTATTTTGTTTATTCATTAATGAATCTAATGCAATTTGACATGGTGTCAGTTGTTGTTCTACCTCTTTGACATTATCCACACTTAACAATCTACATAGATCCATACATTCAAACATTGTGAATTGTGATGCAATTTGTTCAGGTATTGGTCGTTTAACATTTTTATCAGAAATATTAATTTGTTGATCATCTGTAATCGTTTGACTTTGTTCAGTTGAATTTGTATTACCGAAAACTGACTGATGTTCACTAGCTGGAATAAGACCACTTTGTTTTTCAATTTCATCAAGAAATTCTGTCAATTGATGCAAACATTCTGAACGTTTTGATAATGCTTGAAATAATAGTATACTATGTCGACCAATTTCACCTAGAGAAATTGCACACAAACGTACTGTTTGTACAGCTGTATTGTATAAACTATCAACATTCGGACCACGGGCTGGATTTAATCCAACAATTCGTTCACCTGCCCGTCGAAGATCACTTAATCTTTGAACTATAGTGGCAGCTTCACTTGGTAAATTAGTTTTATCAGTATTATTATTATCATTATTATTATTACTAACATCAGTTTGTAATGCATTCACATCATCTGTAGTAGTGCCAGCCGAATTTAATTCAACTTGCCAATTTAATAACTGTTGACCTAAACGTGTCAAACGTATACCAATAGGTTTATCGGTTTTTGATGGATCACCTAATTGACTAACTGTATAACAAGCTCCTGATGAACGATATTGTAAATCTTTAACTTGTTCTAATAATCTATCACGTGCTTCAACTAATTGTTGCCAATTTTCACATACACCAATCACATGTAATAAATTAGCTTTTAATTTTCCATGTAATTTATCACATTCAGAAGATAATCTAGCAATATCTATAAAAAAACTAAATGGTTCTAACTGTAGTATTGTCGACTGATCAGAAGTGATTATGGTACCACCTGAAGTAGTTGTCGTGGTGGTGGTAGTGGTGCTAGTGGTTAAAGCACTCGTTGTGGTTGTCATTGAAGTAGTAGTACTGAATCCAGTACTAAATGACCAATTCAAATCAATATTAGTGACAAACATAAGACCAACTGAAACAACAGCCACATCAAGTTCTTTTGGTCCAATTAAATTCGAATCATTCGGTGTTTCATCGAATTCATTTTCAATGATATTTGATCGTGTAAAATCTAATGTAACTTGCCAATTATTGATTAATTGTTTTAATTTATCAATTTCATCTTTTAAATTTTTATATTCTGATTGATAGACAATACCAGATTGTATTGTTTGTTTGCGAAATAATATACGTTCAGCATCATCTGCGGCAGATTGAAATAGATCAATTGAAGTAATTGGCTGTTTACTACTAGTGTCAGTAGTAGTAGTAATAGTGGTAGTCTGAATAGAATTATCGTCATGGTGAGTTAAATTTGTAGATTCTGTGACATTTTCTCCTATACTGACTTCATCCTTATTGATTTCTTCTTCATTATGTTGTTGTTCTACAGAGTCTTCATTTTCTTGAACAGATGGTTTTCTATCATCTTCAATAGATTTATTCGATGAATGTTTTTTCTTCTTATCTACATTTAATTCTACAACAACTGAATTATTTTCAAATGTTTTTAAACGTGAATTCAATGAATTAATCTCTTGTATCCAATTTTGACGACAATATTCATATTCAATAGTTAAACGACAAAGTATTGTACGTTGATTAAGATGACTGATAAGACGATTTAATTTACTTAAAAGTCGAATTAAACGTTCATGTAACTGACGATTAATTTCATCATTTGTAGTTGAATCAAAACTATTTTCCTTACCTAATAAATCAAATGAAACAGAACGTCGACTACGTGACCGATCACTAGTAGGTCTACTATGATTACTTCCAGGTCTATTACTCCCTGGACGACTACCCATTTTATTGTATAAATCATTTAAATCCACGTCTTCACCTTCAATTTGATTAGCTAATTCTTTTAAAGCAATCATTCGTGGACCAGTAGCTTCAATTTGCAAAGTTTTTAATTGTTCATATGCTTCTGATAAGTCAACACCAATTAATTGTTGTTTATCAGAATCAATTTGATCTAAAAATAAGTAATAATAAATTAATCAAGACAGGTTGCATTTCATACAACAATCGGATCGTATTTTAGAATGGAGTGGTATGGGGTTTATTCATATACTTGTGCTTTGCATTATAGGCTGAATTCGGCTAGACAAACATTGAAAACTAGGGATAATTGGATAGCTGTTTTGTCTTAATATGAGACCCTTCAGCAATTCACATCTACGATCCCGCTAGACACCGAATCTAGGACTCACTGTAAGCGCCGTTGTCAACGATTATACCTATGAGACAGTTACCACTGTTAGAAATGGATAATGATTTGGCAAATACTGCCGACTGACTGAAGCTGGAGACGTGAATCATTGTATGGCAACTCAGTGATATAAAAGGTTGAACGTTTGTTGTTGAGTTATCTGAAAATCTTGGGGTCCGCTACTTAGCTTAAGTCAAATTATAAATATGAACAATGCTATAAAACAATTTAACCGACACTAAAATTTATTTGATTCGACCTTAACTATAACTTTATATCCAACACAATGAATAACATTAGAATAAAAAACACTTCATAATATTATTAGACAGAAGAAGCAAAGTCAGTAAATAATAGAAAATGGATCAATGAAGCAAGATACATTTATCATTCCCATTACAACTACATACCATTTCGTTGTTTCATAATTGAAGATGGTTTATGTAATACGCCATAGGATTTATTCGTTGTAATTGGTGGCCTTGCTGCTACCCAAATTCGTGTAAGCTTTGTCATACGTTTCTCTGCAGACATAATCCATTGTAATAGTCTATCTGTATCACGAAATAAACGATCACGTGCATCTAATTGATTTTCTAATTCATTATTTAATTTTTCACATTGTATTCGTACACATTTTAAATGTTCCTCTAATTCTCGATATTTAATTGCTATACTATGTGGACTGATAGCAATATTAGTGAATTGTGTACTATTATTAGTGTCATTGAATGTGGATACTGTTAATGATGATGACAATTGATCAGTAGATTTCGTTATTTTTGCCGTATCCACTGGTAATAAGGTTCGACATTGTATTTGAGTTTGTGCTAAAATTCGTTTTAACAATTTTTCTGTTTTAAAACTGAACGCTTTCAAATAAGACTCAGCATCAAACAGACGATCTTGATATGCACTAGCTTTATTCACTTTAGAATCTAAGTCACTGGTATTATTATTATTAATTGGATCAGTAGATGAATCTTTAGAGTTTTGATTAGTTATATCATTGATTATATTGTTTAATTCTTGTTCTACATCTTTTTCTATATTAGTTATTTGTGATGTAAACTGATCAGCTTCTTTATTCCATTCTGTCCACATATTAAATAAATCATCTAAATATTGAGATTCCTCAATTAACCAATAGTTAACACTTTCCCAACGCGATTGTAACGCTTCATTAGCTTCCTAGATAGATCAGAAATATTAAAAATAAGAAGAAAGACAATTAGAAACGATGAGGTTAGTATTATACATAGATTCGATGCTGTACATTCAATGGACAGAATATTACATTTCAAAGACAAACAATGATACAGTGTGAAAAAAATGTGATTTAAACTGTTCCCATTAATGTAACTGAAAAACATTTAGATCATTCTGTTCTTGTTATTTTAACTAGAATTAAAAGTGAAAGGTACTGTCTTCGAATTCTGAAGCGGACATCGACTCTGGAATGCAATATCTATGTGAGGAGTCCCAAGCAGAACGAAACGAGTGTTTTGGGTTTTCATGCTAGTCATATTCCATTTTCCCTATGTATTCCTGCTGCTGTAGCGTTACAATCTTGAAAATTGATCATTATTCCATTGAGCAGCAGTTCTTCTTGTGCTAAGTGTTATAACGGCTCAAATATTGTGAAAGATGTAATATTTGCAACTAACGTACCAAGAATTATTGTTAATAAGTTTATTGAATAAATATCAAACAATCGGATTATTATTGTATTCCTATATTTTCCTGTTAGTTAGCTTTCAGTGGATGTGTAAACTATTGTTTTATGTTTTACCCTACATATATTACTATTAATTAATGATGGAACTATCAATTAAATTCTCGATTTATGGCTTAGTTTATGACCATATTGTGATCTATTGCTTATGCTGACGTGTGATCAAGTAATTATCCTAATACTGAATAATTGCGTCATAATAACTCCAACAACTCCGTAATAGAAAAGACACAAGCTTGCTAACTTTGTCTTCTCATTGAACGCTGGGTTGAATAGAGCTCAAGCTCCGTAGTTGCTCACTGATAACGTAGAACGTCATTGATCGTAAACAACGCATTATCTGCTCTTAAAACAAGTAACTCAACTACGCGGGAACTAAACCAAAGGCAAAAATTTATTTTATGAAAGATACGACAGTTATAGTACGACTGCGAGACATAACCTATTAAAGTAGAAGACATATGTGAACTGAAAATATTTGATCATAGGTGTCTTCGAAGCAGTGAGCTACAGAGCATGTAATTTCGAGATTTGGCTCAGAGTAATAGGTCGAAAGTGTAAACTCATCTAGCAGACCATAAACCTTAATCAACTGAGGTATCTGCAATATCAGTAACTGGTCATTTTATTACTTCTCGAAAATTCACCGTAAGATCATCTAACCAATTGCCGTCTCCCCATATAACAATGGTTTTGTTCCGGTAGTAGTAAATCTGAAACAAATCAGAACTGCATTACTGAACAAAATCCACATGTGCTCACTAGTGACTAGCTTCGTGAGGGAATTCTAGGAGTTCTATTGAACAGTGACCAGTTCCCGACCGTTGTTGCTATCTTGACGTGGTGGTCGAGCTTGCCTATCGTGATGAAACAGTCGAGCTATACTGGATGGAACAATCGTTCCTCAAGGTCCTACCATGTCAGACAGGTCGGTTGAAGAACGGTAAGACTAAAAGCAACAAACCCAAGGTCAGAAAGCGATGTTGTACTGCTGACTGTACAGATATGTGACAGCAGTAAGGTGTTTCCTTCAGACAACCAGCATGACAGTGATGCTGCCTTCCCACAAGGAGGGGTGGGGTTAGAAAACGTTGACCCTAAAAATACACACCTCGCCTTGTCCCAAGGATATCCGTCTCCGGAGGTAAGGTCTCAACAAGTACGTAGCCAACACGAAAATTAAAAAAGGGTCGTGTGTGGCTGATCTCAAGCAGTTGTTCCCTGGGCACTGCGGTCACGCTCTCAGGTCACCAAGACCATTTCTAATCCGATTCCCTTTTCAGGTACCTCCAGAACACCCCATTCACGGTGTGGGCAACCGGGAAGTGATAACCGCCCTCACATCTCTAACAGCACTCAAGACCATTATATTCATAATCAACCTCTGTCTTCACTTCCTATTATTCCTCCTACATCGACTTTCACCTCTAAACTTCTTTTTTCGGCTTCCCCCTTAAGTTTCACCTTAGCTAACGATTCTAGTACTCAAAACACTGTTCCAGGTCTACTGAAACCTCGCTACAAACTACACATTGGAGACTTCAACGTACGCACCCTATGTTAAATCGGTCAGCAGGCTTCCTTGGCTAAAACCCTAGAATCTTGTACCATCGATGTATGCTGTGTCTCCGAAACACGCATACAGGATCCTAATGTGGTCATTCACTTGACCTCACCTCGGCAAAACGGAGAGCCGACGAGATACACCCTCCGTGTATCTGGTGACCCGATGGCAAGTTCTCGTGGACTGGCAGGAGTAGGGATAGCACTAAGCATGAGGGCGGAACAAGCACTGTCAGAGTGGTTCCCCGTTAACAGTCGTCTATATGCTGTTCGACTAAACGGCTACGTAAGAACTCGGAAGGATAGGGACACACGTCGTTGCCTTTTTGTCGTTTCTGCCTACGCTCCCACTGACTGCAGCTCAGATGAAGTGAAAGATGAATTTTACAGCAAGCTATTTGAACTTCTTCAGAAAGCTAAACGTTCAGACATAGTACTCGTAGCAGGTGACTTTAATGCCCAGATAGTTAGTTTAAACCAAACAGAAAGGCATTTAGGTGGATATTTTAGTATTCCGACACAGCGAACAGATAATGGTGATCGTCTGCTGCAACCATGCTCAGACAATCGTTTATTTTTAGCAAACACAAATTTTAAGCATAAGGAGAGACATCGTCTAACATGGCGACTCCCTACACCAAACCAACGATGGACTCAAATAGACCATATTGCCATCAGTCATCGTTGGAGAGGGTTGGTACAAGGTTGTCGCTCATTCTGGAGTACCTGCTTGGACTCCGACCACGCCCTAATACGGGCACGCATCTGCTTGCGCCTCACTGGACACAAAAAAGCCACAGTAAAAAGACCCATTAGAACCGAACTGAGTAGCGAGGAAACTAAAAGTAGGTTCCAGGAACAACTGAGGTCACGATTAGGTAGTTCTGAAAACGAGGTTGACCCAGTTGTTGCTTGGAAAGATATACAAACAGCTGTGAAAACAGCAGTGACATCTATTAGTGATTTAAACCTGAGGATAACAAAGAACCAATGGATTTTCTCAAGGTCTATTGCACTGATGGATTCTCGTAAACTCATCCCATCAGGCTATGAACACGATGAAGAGCGACAACAAATCAGATCTAGGTTAACCAAAAGTCTAAGGAACGACCGTGAGCAGTGGTGGGTAACGAAAGCAAAAGAGATGGAAAAGGCGGCGGCTATAGGGAACACAAGACAGCTCTACAGACTAATAAAAGAAACTGGAATTAATAAGTCAAGTGTAAGTCAGACTATTTCGGAAAAAGACGACACCCTCATCTGCTCTCAGTCCAGACGTTTGGAACGATGGGCGGAACACTTTAGGGAACAGTTCAGCTGGCCTTCAGCGACTCTACAACTACCCTCCATTCCCAGGTAGCGTGAATGGAACATTGAAGTAGGTCCCCCAACTCTTGCTGAAGTTCAAAAGGCTATAGTTAATCTGAAACGAGGAAGGGCAGCTGGTCCAGATGGACTGGCTCCAGAGGTCTTTAAGTATGGTGGTCCAATTTTAGTGATTAGGTTGACTAATATTTTAGCTAAAATCAGGGAATTAGACGTTATCCCATCTGACTGGTCACAATCACTTATCGTCCCAATATATGAGAGAGTCAAAATCATCCTGTATCTAAAATACTAGCCTCGATAATTATCAAACGCCCAACTAAGACTCGTGAACTGCAAACACGAGAGAATCAAGCTGGCTTCAGACCTGGTCGTGGCTGCATCGACCACATATTCACCATTCGTCAGGTTCTAGAACATAGGCATACTTATCGGCGTCCGACAATGGTGGTCTTTCTTGACTTAAAAACAGCATTTGACTCGGTAGACCGCGAGATTCTGTGGCAGTGTCTGTCATCGAAAGGCGTACCTCAGAAGTACATAAATCTTGTGAAGGCTGTTTACTCGAACACTACTAGTCGAGTCAGAGCTTATGGAGAACTGTCATCTACTTTTGCAACCTCAAGTGGTGTCCGTCAAGGCTGTCCACTCTCTCCATTTTTGTTTAACTTCATCGTAGACCTATTGTTGGAAATAACACTCTCGTCTACTGAATTCTCGGGTATCGATATCCTTCCAGGAGGTACACTTATCAACTTAGAATACGCAGATGACATAGTCCTGTTTGGTGAAGACGCTGATAAAATGCAGAGTCTTCTGGTAGCACTGAGCAACAATGCCAGAATGTTTGGAATGCGCTTCTCTCCCTCTAAATGCAAGTTGCTTCTTCAGGACTGGTCTGCGTCAACACCTGAACTAAGGATAGAGAGTGAAGTAGTCGAATGCGTCGACAACTTCACTTATCTTGGAAGTGTGATCAGCCCTAATGGGTTGGTATCGGACGAAATCTCAGCACGGATTCGAAAAGTTCGTTTGGCTTTTTCCAACTTACGTCACCTATGGCGAAGGCGAGATATCCGTCTATTAATAAAAGGACGAGTATACTGCGCGGCAGTCCGTTCTGTTTTAATTTACGGCAGCGAAACATGGCCATTAAGAGTAGAAGATACTCGTAAGTTACTAGTATTTGACCATAGATGTCTTAGAAATATTGCTCGCATCTGCTGGGATCACCGGGTAAGTAATAGTGAGGTTAGACGCAGTGTTATGGAATGATGATGGTAAATCAGTTGATGAGTTTGTAAATCTTCATAGACTGAGATGGTTGGGCCACGTGTTACGTATGCCTGAACACCGATTACCACGACGTGCAATGCTAACCGGTGTTGGGAATGGTTGGAAGAAAGTTAGGGGTGGCCAAATCAAAACGTGGCATCAGTGCTTGAAGACACTAACTTCTAGTCTGAGCCATGTTGGTAGATGCAGACTACTTGGTTGGGGTTCGCGTGACTATCGTAACCAATGGTTAGAGACTGGGTGACATGGCTCAGAATCGATCACAATGGCGTAGGTGTATACACTCTCCGTCTTCCCTTAAACTAAGAGATTAAAATCACTTCATATCTTTCTTTCTATGAACTAATTCTTTCTTCCTGTACTATATCCTTATTGCAATCTTTCTTTCATATATTACCACCACTGAATTAACTACTTTTATGAATCCGGTGTTAATCTTGTTGTGTTAATGAGGTATGTCAACTTGGACCAGTGTATATATGTGCCTGATCCTACGTTGTAGCTGACTGACTACAGTGACCAGTTGAGCTAATCCATGTCGGGTAGAGACAGGTATCTACCTCAGTACAACGGAAGATGGTCGCGCAATTTCGTGGGTTGGTTGATGTTAGACACTATCACCATTGGATGCCGGCTCAGTGGTCCAGTAGGTTAAGCGTTCACGCGCGAGACCGAAAGCCCTGGGTTCGAATTCCGCGAACGGGATCGTGGATGTGCACTGCTGAGGAGTCCCACAATAGGACGAAACGGCCGTCCAGTTCTTCCAGGTTTGCAAAGGTGGTCTAAAATCAATCGGTTTATGATCTCAGTCAAAAACTTAATAATCTCCACAACCCCTATGCCAGTAACAAAATTTATAAATTGGAACAAACGTTTAAACAAGTTCATGAACACAGTTTAATCTAGTTGTCAGTTTACGTGACTAGTTTTAAATAAACTAATAGAGGTACACCAACGATGGCCAATTTTACTACACTACTGCTCGATTTTGAAGGTTTACACTCCTGATATCTCTGAAATTTTACAAAACAGAAAGTGTAAAGGAACATTACATTCGGTTAACGTGTTTGATATCCATTGGGATTTCGGATTTAAAAGTCATTAAAAGCTATATTAAATATGTGTGCAGATGTAATGACAAGGATTGGCAATTGTGGGCAGTATCCCTACAGTTGAACAACATATAGAACTCAAAATAACTGTCAATCAATATTCAAGTCAGAATCTTTAATACGAACGTCAAGACAGTCTTTCTGCACGGAGATGAAACTTGGAGAACTACTACAACGATTATCAAAAATGTACAAGTATTTATAAACAGTTTTATAAAGTCTACGTAAGATACTGAATGTCCGTTGACCGGATAGCATCAGCAACAGCCTACTGTGAGAGAGAACAAACCAGCTTCCAAATGAAGAGGAAAAGACACTGAGTGGATATATATATGTATTACATAACTGTCAAGTAACTATACGATACTATATATAATTTACATTCCGTTTGACCCATTAACTACTATACGACTTGCTGTTCTTAATTTATTCCCAGACTATTAGTTACAGTCTCCCATACTCCTAGCCACCTTTGGCTCGATCATGTACAATTGTTATTTTTCAATTTATGATGTGATGCGTTTTGGTCTGTTTGTATAAAAACTACGTAAATCTAAAATATAATATTCGTATCGTGGATACTGACCATTGTGTTCTGAACTCAATGAATTGAAGATTAATAAGGATGTTTTAGAGTTGAATAAAGGGTATTAGTACTGCTCAGTGTGTCATTGGTTAACTGAGGAACGAATTTATAGAAATTGATATTCTGGTTAACGGTTTTGTTGCCATAAGTCCTAATACTTTGAATTGAAATTGAAGAAATAAAATCTCAATCTACAATATGATGACTTAAAATTTAGTGCTTACAATCCTAACGAACTAATAAACTTCTAAATAGATATATGATAATGATATAATGATAATAGTTAATTATATTCATTCATTCATGACAGAAATAATAAAAACAACGCGTAAAATAACATTTAAATTATTTAAAAAAAACTGAATCACATCGATAATTTAAAACAAACAATAAAATATTGAGTTTAGATTGATATCATGAGTGGATCAATGTTAGACCACTATTGGAAACCTGGAAGTACTGGACAATCGTTTCGAGACCGAAGGTCTTAAGTTTGAGCTCCATATACGGGACCGTGGATACACACTTGCTGAGGAGTCGAATACTAGGACGAAACGGTCGTCCAGTATCTGTAGGTTTTCAATAGTGATTTAATACTGATACATTCATGATATCAATCTAAACTCAACAATCTCCGTAATTTTATACTAATAGTAAATTATGGAACAATAAATAAATACTAAAAAGCATTTTTTTTTTCTTTTTTTTAAAAAAAATAAATAAAACATACTTTTAAATGTGACCAACTAGTTAAATTACTAGCCAACCATAGTAGTTGATTACGATCTTCTGTATATTTTGATTTATGTACAATTTGACGTGCCTGATGTGCATTACGTAAATTAATTAAATCATCCAATGAATTAATAAATGATGATGATGATGATAATGTTTTGGCAATATTATCTATTTCTGTTAAATATTTATCAATATTTGGCACAAGATTAAGATATTGTGATAAATAATCTTTTAATGTATTCAATGATTGTGAATGTTGATTAAATGCAATTTGTAATGCTTTTTGTCTTCGATATAAACTAAGAATTTTATTTTGTGCTTTAGATATTTCTGAACTAATTACTAATGATTCCGATGAATTATTATTATTATCATTTATTTCAGTAGTATCTAATGGTGAATAATGTGTTAATTCTTTAAAAATAACATTTAAAGATAATAAACGTTGTTCAGATAATTGTAAATCTTTTAAATAATTATTTACTGATGCATACCATAATGCTAATTCAGCGGCAGCAGCTTTAGCTGATGATTCAGCAGAACCTAATTCAGTAACATTTAAATTACCTTTAGCTAATGGTTGTACACTAGTTATATTGGATAAATTTAATTCAGAATTATTAAGTAATTTGTCAACTTCACTTGTACTTGTATAAAATACTTCCCATTTACCATTAGCTGCACGTAAATTAGCTAATTTAGTATTTAATTCTTGTTTAGCTGTATTAAGTTGATTTTCTAAATATTGAATTGTTGCATCTAATTCTGAAGCACGTTCTGGAGTTGATCGCATTTTCATAGTTTGTGCAGCAGCTATTAATGCTTTTAAATCTGATTCTGCATTGTTTAATGCATCTAATTGTGCTAGAATTGCATCTGTTTGAACACGTACAGCTTCTTGACCAGCTTTAGTTGCTTCTTCAACACTTGCTACAATAACACCAGCAACACCAGATGCTAATGAAGAATTAGCCCATAATTTTGTTTCATCATCAATATGTAATGCATTAGTAACATTATCAATATCAATCGTACCATCTTTACCAATTAATGCCATAGTAAATGCGGCTGTAGTGGATGCACTTGCATGACCATTAATTAAATGTTTTGTACCAGTTAATAAATTTGCAATACGTTGTTTGTGTTCTTCAAATGCTTCAAATGCTTCAGCAGTTTGACGTAAAGATTTTAAACCAGTTTCAGCAACTTTATCAACTTCAGCCCAAGTAGCTTTTAATTCATTTTTAGATGGTTCAATCCAATCTAACATTTCATCAGTTTTAACACTTAATCCACGTTGAATCATAGCTAATAAACTAGCATCTCTTTCTTCAGCTAATCTAGCTACCATAGCTTCACGTTCAGCTAATATACGTTTAATTGATTCCAAATCATTTGGCAACATTTCTGCATCTTCTTGTACAGCTTGTTCAAATGCTTCACGAACAACAATTGCTTTTTTACGTTCTGTTACTGCATTGGCACGAAATTCCAGTGTCTCAGCTATTAATGGAGCTAATTAAAAAAAGAGATAGACAGATATGCGACCGATCGATGAGGCAGTTTATCAGTATAAAAGAAAGAGTAGAACACGTTGTTTTATTTTAAGTGAGTGATAAGTCTGTTTTACGTTCCCTGTCTCTATTCACTTCTCCAACTCTTTTATGTATTACTTTATACTACTTATTAATATTCAGTAAACAGTTGCAGTCCTAACAACTACGCGCATATTGTAGCGCAAGTTCATCGCAAACTATTTTCATATACTTATACTTATAACGTATACATCCAAACAACCAATAACTATTAAAAAAGACACGATTCAATAGTTAATTTAGAGAGATTAACATAATTACTGCCTAGTGATATGAATACTTATACAACATTACCTGATTGACTTACAAAAAAAAAACCCAGACAAATAAGTAATTTTCAAAATGGTTATAAATGGATAAAATACAATAATTATTTTAAAGGTGTAATGTTCAATCAATCGAGCGATTGAATATAGAAGTAATGATTAATCCATGACACTTGCTTCATTTATTGATTTTGAATGTGATTAGTAGTGTAAGATTACACATTTACACTATCATTACATTACAAAATGCATCGTTCTGATTGTATTATATGTCCGTAATTTAGTTATATTTAGATATCATTTTACGATATCAACCTGATTGTGATCCTAACGGCAAATGAATAAACGAAAACAATTAATTGTATGGATGATTGTAAATTGTTTACTACTAATCCATACATTCAGTCAGTCAATCAGTTATAAGCGACATAGAACCTGGGTACATATAAGCATCGACCGACATTACCATATCAAATGAAATAGAGATGGAATCAACACATTAGATAGTAAAGAAGTTGAAGTAATGATAATGTCTATGATACTGATAATATGGTTGAAAATAAATGCATAAAAGTATAAGATGAAGCAATATTGAAATTCAAGATCCATAATCCCAATATGTCTGAATGAATCTGCAATAATTCAATGGATTTTCAGTCGTTCGACTTGAAATGTGATCTAATCAATAGCCTCAATTATTACGTGAAATCCAAATGATTATTGAAAAATTAATATTTCTTGGTTTTTCTTTGACAATCATAGAATTATTATGTTGACATATTGACAGATTATTAGAAATTCAAATTCAAATACATAAAGTCTACGTCTTAACATATAAAGAGAAACTCAACAGTCCTTTTTCACAACTCATTAAACCCACTAACTTCAACTTATGGACTAGCCAGTATCGCAACACCAGGCATTCTTAGATAGGCCTACTGTTGTAGGCGAAATATTTCCTTTCATGTAAATCCGGTAATCTAGATAAGTACGAGTTGTATATATCATTATCTAGCATTTCATTAAATGAAGCTTCATAAATACATTTAGTCTGTTTACTCTGTACAGCTGGTTGGTAAGTGATTTAGGATGTATCTCCAGCCAAAATCGACACAAAGAATAAAGAATCTTTAAGTAAAAGTATATAACACTGAATACTTAATAACCAATCAGAAAATAGTGTTTGATAATAGAGCAATTAACAATGAAAAGCAAAATAATCACAGTGGAAGAATAGTTTGACATGACTAGTTACCGCTTACATTATGAATTATTCATTGTAATGAAACAAAAAATTTAAGTTTAAATAAACGGTGTCGAGTGGGTCAGTGTTGTGAGTTACGCTTATAATCCTTCCAGGGTTTTCATCATCAACTAACATCAGCTTTAATCCAATGGAGTTCAGTCATTCTGTTGTTTAGAAACTTAAGAAAATTGAGGATGAGATTTAGAGTTGAATTAAGAGAATATTATCTGACCACTTTATTAAAAAAAAGCTTATTATTGTCTCGGTTAAAAGGCAGTCAAATTGTACAGCATTGGATAAATGTTAGTTAAATATTTTCAATAACTACACACAAACGCATACATATACATACACAAATCCATGTATACCCACCTCGAGTTAGTACAGAATCCATTTCACTGCCTAAATCTTTCAACGCTCCTAATGCAGCGGTTAATGCAGCTCGTTTTGATGCAATCTCTCCAGCTGATACACCACCGTCTAATGATAAATCAACTAACATTAAATTTAATTTATCAGCTAATGCATTCTGTTCATTAACCATACCAGTCATTTCTTCAAATCTCGACAACATAGCACGATAACGTGAAGCTAATTCAATGGCAGTTTTTTCATCACTATTCTTTGTATTAGATGGATCACTTTGTAAATGATTAAATAATTTTTCAACTTCATTTGTCCAATCTAATAAATGATTTAATCTAATTATGTAAATGAAAAGATGGTTGAAAAACAAAGAATACAAATTGAGAAATATTCTTTTCTAAACAAATTATGAATAGAAATTTAAAATTTACACTTGATAGTCACATTTATTCATGATCACAAAAGACATTCATTGATTTACAACCAAATCTGACTAGATAGATATGTCGGATACGTCAGTAGATACAAAATAAATGCTGTCTTCCAAGGTATTTCCACTATCGACCAGTTTTTGACAAAATGGATGAAAACTAGTGTCTGACAAATGAAGTAGGTTAGTAGATAAGGAATAAGAAACTTGAAAGAGTTAAGATAATGGAGCATGGACATACTGTAGATGTCGATTACAACATCATCATACATAATAACACCGTTTTAATTTACATCAAAAATTCTGTAAAATAGTGCTGTTCAACGTTAGCACGTTTAAGCAGATCATAAAATGACTGGAGCACTGTTCACTCTATTTTTAAATGGTTGTTTGCTTAAAGTCAATCCATGATGTAAATTATCTTCCATCCCAATAAATAATCAGTTGTTGTTGAGTGAATGATTTTCAGGAAACGGAATCCTGAAGTTCCAGTGACAAATTTCGACTAGTGGAGTCCAACAACATTGGAAATGAGACAATTATCACTTTTTATGATGATCATTTGATGTCAGCTGAATTATCTGATAATAAAGTACCCACATTGAAGTCTTTATTCGATCACTGGTAGGATGTTAGTATACACTACTGACGAATCTCATACTAAAATGAAATATTTGTCTATTACTCTCTCATTTTTAATCAGTGTTTGGTTTGCACAAAGAAAAAACAACATTCGACAATAAATTTCGACAATGCAATGTTATGGCTTACTTTAAGCCTGTCTATTTGATCTTTTAATTTTCATATAAAAATGTCTTAACAAGTATATGTATTACGCAAATACATCACATTATTCTGAAAAACTTCGTCTTCTTATTGCATTACCGAAAGTTATCAAAGGGACTAACTGTTTTAAATATGACAATAATTTTATTCAAAAACATAACTACAAATACCGTTTGAACCAACTTGAAACGTAAGTCGGGAAACAGTTGAATGATTGACATTGACCTGTTCAACAACACTAATAAGGAATAATTAAACCCGTTAGCAAATATGAATCCAACTCTATCTCAGTGATCAACAAAAGTCAAATCATTTTAAAGTCTAGGCTCAAATCACTTCCTATCAAATCCTTTTGGACAAATGGGGATAATTTTTTTTTCCTCATTTTTTTAGTTATGTTGAATAAGAAACGGATATCACTACTATTTTAACATCTACCAATAGAATTTTAGGGAACGAGAACACAAGTGGGATACAACCAAGCGTACATAAACAAAAAAACTACAGAATTTCTTAGTAAAATCTGAGAACTATATAGTAAACAATTCATTTGCAAAATATCAATCAATTGTTTCAGACTTGACTATTCCTTCGTTTCCATACCAATCACTCTGTGTTCTCGTTCTCTTCTCTTCTCTTCTCTTCTCTTTGATCTTCTTGGCCTTCTGCCGCCAGACATTTCACTTTTGATTGGTGGTACATACTACTTATATCTGTTGACGTCAGTAGCAGACACCATGTACGAATCAATAAAATTAGAATAACAATCCAGCTCAAACAATAAAACTTCATCAAAACTTACTTATCATCAAAATCAGCCCATTGTTCCGGTAGATTACGTAATCTCACAGCTATTTTTCCAACACGTTCAGTTAATAAATTATATTCTTGTAGTAACTGTGTTGTACGTTTACTATAATAATTTGCATCATTTTGAAATAAACAAGACATTTGTTCATCTAATTCACGCATTTCACGTAGTATATTTTCACAAATAGTATAAAATTCTGAATTTTTAAATGAAGACTGTAAATAAAACCACACAAATAGAATATCTTTGCATCAATATCAGAATGGGGGTTTGTGTAAATTACAGTAATCAAAGAGTTGAATTCATGAGTCGATCTGTGCAAGACAACTGTTGAAAACCTGGAAGCACTGGACGGCCGTTTCGTCCTAGTATGAGACTTCCCAGAAGTGCATATCTACAGTCCCTCACGCGAGACTCGGACCCACGATCTTCAATCTCGCACACAAACGCTAAACGTCTAGACCAGAGCTGAAAACATTGTGGACGATCGCACAATACCATGGATTGGTTGAAGTTAGACATTAACACCGTCGGATTCCGGCTGCTGATGAGTCCCGTACTAGGACGAAACGGCCATCCAGTGCTTCCATGTTTTCCATAGTTGTCTAGGTGGAATCGACTCGTGAATTCAACAACCTTCGTATTAATTTAAAGAAAAAATAAATGATTTGATAATCAAAAATAGATTCTTTGTTCATTTTTATTTCAAATTAACAAAAATAAACAACCTTCAACAGTGAATACTCAAGAACAAATACTAACAGAAGACAATTTAAAACTAATTGTCTCGAATGGACAGACCATAAGGAATCTGTACAACCGACAATAAAGAATAGGATATTATATATATTCAATTGTGTATATACATATATATAAGGTCTTATTCAAACGATTAGTCACGCATAATGAAACTAAACAATTCACTTGGCATTGCTCATTTGAATCTTCTCATTAATGTTTAGGACTGCAATTGATCAGTCTCTTATTGGGATATTTGCATACTATGAGGATTGCTTCGATATTACTTTAATTCATAAACATTATAAGTAAAGACAGATGCTGGATAGCAATGGAATCTAAGGCGTGCATTTTGTCCTATCCGGACTTGTCAGCTGAATGTGCTTGCATCCCAAAGTTGATGTTCACTCCGGGACTCGAACACTTCTTTTCACTTCAAACGCCATCGCGTTATCTGTATAGCTACTGAATCCTGATTATCAGACAAACAATACCAAGTGAATTTAAACTTCACCCCATTACACAAGCAGGTGGCTATCAGGACTCAGTAGATTAGTGGATAACATTATGGCGCTTGAAGCGAATGGTACTGGATTAGAGTTCCGGAATGAACGTCAGCTCTGGGATGCAGGTACATCTAGCTGACGAGTCCGAAACAGTACCAAAAACGCGTCCTGTACTCCACTGCTAGCCACTATCCATCTTTGCTTATGAAACTAAACAGTGAATAATGCTGATATTAGCTGCAGCAGGTTAGGTGATGATGGTAAATCAGTCAATGAGGCTATTAACTATCGTGTGATACACAAAAGCTACTCACGTCTACATCGTTTAAAGCAATGCTAGCTGGTATGGAAGCAGACTGAAAGTAGTTAAAGTCCAGCTCTATATCAGAAAATTGTATGAGTTCATGAAATCAATGAGTTGTATCATGAAGTGTAGGTTTCATGATGAAGGTTCGTGTGGTAATCTTAAATTTACGTGAGAAGAATGAAAACATTGAATGAGACTGATTACTGCGGTACAGATGAGTTGTAATAATAATAATATCTGTCCTTCAATGTCATTTTTTACTGTCACTGTTAATAATAATAATATTAATATCAATAATAATAATAACATTAATATTGTTATTTAAACTACAATGGTTCTAATTTCCCCTTATTGTATTTATTTAAAATGTGGTAAGTCTTATATTAATTATGCAATGATAATATGAACACTTGGAATCGAAGATTACTTGCACCAAAATGAAAGTAATCTAATTTTTCAGTGGGTTTTATCGCAATTATAGTTGATCTATGAGAAAATTGTCAATATCCAATGTAAATTGGGTAAAACTATAATTTATGGACGACCTTTGAAGTAACCTAGAGAGAGAGTACACTTACTAACTAGGACTAAATGACGATTATAAACCAGTGTAAGGAATTAGAATTATGATTTACAGTTGGTGATTAGGGTTAGGAGTTAGATTTAGGGTTTTCATCACGAACTGATATAAACTAAAATGCCAAAACGCTATTTTGCCAAATGGATGAGTGAGTTTCGCGCCAAAATCCAAGTCCAGTGATCTTACATCTGATTGGTTACTTCATTAATTATAGTCTGGTCATAAATTGACTTATAACTATTTTAACCATTGTCAATAAGTGATTCTTTTTTTAAAATACCGAATGAATTGGCAAACTATTTAAGAATATATATTGAAATTTCAATTAGCCCCCATCACATTTTTTTCCATTTATAGGTGGATTTGTAAGAAAAAAAACTAGAAAGATGAGAGATTGAGTTACCTCATGATCAGACAATATACTAGCCAAATGTTCACCAGATGTCATTCGAAATTCTTCATCATTTAAAATTTTATTAGTATTATCTAATTGTTCACGTAGACGAGCTTCTAATAAAGCATATTTAAGTTCATATTGACGTCGAGTAGCTTTAGACATCAACTCCTGTGATAAGAAATCATAGGAAAAAAAACAAGAAACATACTGAGATCAATATCTCCACCTCCTTATCTTCCCAAATCGATTCAACACAAACAAATCAAAACAATAAGGAAGATAAAAGAATGTGAATAAGCAAACGAGTATGCAATAACCAATACATAATATGTGTTCGTTATTAGCTTAAAACGATAGTTTGTGGTTAATTTGTTAACGGCTATCTCGGCTCAAGAGCTCAATGAATAACATGTCATGACTTGAAGCGAAAAGCACAGGGTTCGAATTTCAGGGAGAACATCAAGAATGTGATATAGGTATATCCAGATGACGAACCTAGGATAGAACGAAACGAGTGTCCTGCATTCCCCTACAAACCACTATCCAAAGTTGATAAAAAGATGAACAGATAGATCTCACATGGATTAAGTAACCAACCTAAACTAGGTTAAAAATTCCATTATTAGATTCTACCACGGTAGCTGTAAAATCATTACATCATCAACTGAGAATCTTTAATTCACAGACAATGTGATGATGATGATAATAATAATAATGATAATGATGATAGTAGTAATAATAATCCAATAACTTTAAGTCTTGTCGTAGTATCTTCTTGGATAGATGTTAAGGTTGAAATCAAACAAGCAGATTCTCGTCATCTTAACTAATTTCTAGTTTGTTTACATTGGACGACTCATCACCTACCTTGAAATACAATAGTGAAGTAGAATAAATATATAGAAATGGAGTGTTTGGCTGTAAATGGTTCGCATTAAATGACTGTGATATAGTAGCCGATAGTAAAGGATTATAATTGATATGATAAAAAACTTATTTTATATAACCAAATATCAATGTTTTATATTTTCCCCTAAAACTCGATTCTCGTACTACACGTTATTCATTTGCCGCGTCCCATTTGCTCTGATTTCCTCACTTTAAAAATTAACTTCTCCTTACTTTTCTACTCCACACTGTTTTTGTGTATCTCGATTTTTACCGGAAATCAAACAAACTAGAACTTAAAATTTACTTTATAATGGTCTGGATAACCCTGTTGTTGATATTTTGACTAAAATTTGATCAGTCTTAGCTGGTGTGTGTGCATCCTGTAAGGATTGCCTCAATATCATCGTTATCACACAAGTTTGTATATAATAAATAGAATGCGACTAGCGGTGAAACCCAGTAAAGCGTTCCATTCGATTTGGCACTAGTCAGCTGGATATACCTGGATCACAGAATTGACGTCCACTAGGGAAAATCAAATAATGGGATTATCCAAACAATTACAAATGAAATTAAAATTCACACCTTTTGCAAAAATGAGTGACCATATGAACACAGTACATCAACAGATGATGCATTAAGCGCCTGGAGCGAAATGTACTATGCTTGAGTCCCAACGCGAACAGGAATTCAAGGATGCAAGTAGATCCAACTGAGTCTCAAATGGGACGAAACACACGCCCGAGATTCCTTTTCTGGCCACATGACATATATTCTGTACAAACAATAATTTAGAATCTGACTATTTTAATAATTAACATTTCCTTTTTTAATACAACTCACATTAAAGTGTCAATGTGAGTCAACATTGAGCGAACGTTTAAGTCTATCAGAGTGATAACTACAGTACAATAAAAAGCTACTCAATAGAGTCATTGAGTAGTAAAACGTTTCATAGAATTTGTACGTGATTAAAGTTGAAGGTTACTCAACTGATTTAACCATTGTACACAAAAATGGTTTGAAATGAGAAAATCCTACTCCTTTGTGAAAAATTCTCTTACTGTGATGTCTGGAGATAACATTCAAATATTTGTCAATTAATATTCGGTCTTGGAGGGACTTCCAATCCATAAATTCTCAGATTAGTAATATATACAATCGGTGAACCTTATGTAGTATTTAACCTCAAAAACTTGAATCAATTAATCATTGTTAAAAAAAGTGACTAGCAAACATCTTTGAACAAAATAAACTGAAATATTCTTACATCAAATCGATCACGGAATTTAGTCACTTGATTTGCTGCTTCCAACAATATATTCATACTAACTTCATCTGGTTGAATAATTGGATTAGCAGAATTTTCAACCATATCTTCTTCATTACCTGAGAATAATTCTACTAATCTATCATAACTTCGATTCAATTCAACTAAACAAGCTTGACCAGCTGTTTGTGTTTTTCTTAAAAATTCTTCATTTGCAATTAATTTATCTTGAATAACTTCTGTATTAGGCAATTGTTCTTCAAAATCAAATGATACATCAGTCTGAAATAGACGTTCTGCTTCGTCTAACCAATCAGTTATATTTACTATAGCATATGAAAATGATTGTTCAGCTGATTTCCGTCTATCTAACTCATTTTCATAACATTTAGCCACAGTACGCATAGCCTAAATAAGAAAAAAGAAAATAGGAAAGTAAACATTAATAATGAGAAATAGGAGAAATGTTAAATGATGTATCCAAAATATCTTAGTGGGTTCAGTGCAACCACATTTTGGTCGTTGGACCCTAGGTTCGAACCTGACTCCACTGAGTTTCTGGTTTCAATCACTTTAATGCTATCTTCCCATACGATTGGTAGGTAACCAACTTACAAACAACATGGTTAAACTACATTGTTCACAGCTTCTCAGACTTTCGAAATTAGTCATTGGGAAGTATGTGATTGCCATTAGTATGAGAGGATTATAAAGACCTGGGATTTCTGAGTCGGATCACAGAGAGTCTATACATAAACACACACAGCTACCCAGTGGTTCCTGGTTCCAAAATTGGTTCAATTAAGGTCAGTCTATTATGTAAACTATTAAATATCTTCAATTATTCAGTAAAGCAGTTTTTTCATTTAGGAACTATGTTAGGATGAGAGATCTCCACACGATTATTCCAGTTTCTTTTTATTAATCAATTATGGTGTTAAAAATAGTCTTCTATAGAAAAATAAGTACTGATGAAATAACATTTCCTAGAATTTAAACAATGTAACACTTCGTTTACAGATTATTTTTTCACGGATTGAGGTCAGCTGGAGATGTACGTATGCTATATAGTGAATACGTTAGTAGCTTGTACCTAGTAGTTATCAATCTCTCAATTTGATAATATCCATACTTTTTTCATTAACGTTCCGAATTACCCCGTTATGGATAAACAGGACTGAATTTTGACCAACTTTAGTTAGTATATGTACATTATGAGCGACAGGTCAGTCAGTCAGTCAGCTACAACGTAGGACCACGCACATATGTGCATCGGTCCAGGTTGCCATACCTCATCAGCACAAGATGAACACTGGATTCATAGCAGTGGTTAGGTCAAAGCTGGTAATATATAAGAGAAAGATTGCATATAGAGATATAGCACAACCAAGTGTATAAGCGTACAATTCGGCAAGTCCGTCATCGCATTACTGAACATCATCCGTCATGGTTAAACAAAGGACAGGTAAAAGTGATTAAAAGTTCTATTCTCTCTCACTTGGTTGACACAGGTCATCAAGTCGAATTGAATAAAGCTTTTAAGGTTATCTACAATATCCCATCTAATTTGCCACATGGTTTACGAGTGCGCCTCTTGCACATTGCGGAAGCCATCGCAAACCATGTTCACAAACCTGACCTTTGCATTCAAAAGAGATTCGTACAACCACTTCCCCTGCCCTGGCCATCAGTTTAAGATTTCCTTCAAAAGAACTATTTTTCATACTTCTTCCATTTGTTTTTTTTTAAACTTTTGTAATTTTATTTCTGTTGCTTTTGAACTTAATAACTTCTCAACATTCATCTCTTGATTCTTACGTAACTACCATCCTATTGACCATCCGTTAAAATTCTGTTCCTTCTTTGTTTCTTACATTACGCAACTTAGCAACTTCACTTTGAATATTAATAATCCTCTTAATCAATGTTAATTTAAATGTCATTATGTAATTATTACGTAACGTATCCACTCGATGAGTATTATATTATTATTGTAAAACGTATATATATTAGTGTAGAGCCATGATGAAAAACTAATTGAAAAGAAATTTCTTCGCTCAATTTGGTCCTTCTTTATTTACCAAATGGCGAAATGGGAATTTTCACTATATCTAGGATTTGTCAGTTCGATGTACCTGCATACCAGTGTTGATGTTCATATTTTAAACTCAAATGCAGTGCTATTCGTTTCAAACACTACCGTGTCATCCACTGAGCTACTACTGACAGCCACAAGCTTGCGCAACAGGCGTCAATTTTTAATGGCGATGGTTGGTAACTTTCGATCCGATATAATTATTAGTACGGATTACGTTGAAACGTATACAAAAACACTAATATTCCGGCGCATCCAATTGAAGAGTCTCAAAATAGGGCAAAATGCGTGTCCTGTATTCCACTGTTAGGAACAATCCATCCTGTTCGATGTAACGCCTACATACCCATTTCTATTCATCTCCAACTTCGTGGACATTCACTTAATAAAAAATAATACCAGTAACAATATTCAACTTTCTATTTACAAAGTAGTTTTTTATCTTCCAATCACAAATAAAAAAACAAATTAAGGAAAGAGAATTAAATTACAATTATGATTTACTTATTTAATTTTCTACTTAAGCTGTCAACAAGCAGTAGTCGATTGATGGTCGTAAATATCATCTAAGTTAATCAACCGTCTACAAATTAAACTTAAGAGGGAAACACAGAAGGACAAATGGAACTAATGATACTACCCCCTAGTACTACTACTAATAAAAATAATAATAATAATATCGGAAATATGAAATTAATTGTAAAGGAATTGATTATACTGTTTTGAAATCATATAAATTTTATGAAAGAGTAAGAAGGTAAATGAGAGCACAGTTATTGAAAACTCTATAAAAGCTTTTCCAATTCAATGGATTTGCGAAGGAGGTAGGGAAATTGGTGTGTAGTTAAGCAGTTGATGGTAATAATCAATAAGTGTAACTCAAAGTTTAGAACATCAATATGTCTCATTGGTAAACTACACTTAGGCCAAAAAAGACACAACTATTGATCAATTTAAAATTATTAGCTATTTAGTTTAAATTGTACACAAATGTCATGTCAGTAGCATCGATGGAATCTAAATTGAAGCTAGAAATCAAAAGTGGAGGCACAAAATTAATTCACTGCTGCTCTCCTTCTTCTTCTCCGCCTTCTAAATATATAATATCTGATTATATTATAACCCTCCAGCGGAATTGTAAACCCTATGTAATTAGCTTTATGAGGGCTGTTGAATTGATAAACGCACATAAAGTTAGCGAATTTAAGCAGTTTGTTTTTGCGATTCTAATTATTGACTGAATTCAGCTTCACTACAGTGAACTATTTTTGTAATGAATATGTTAATTTTTGTGTCAATATCTCACCAGTAACACCATTTTTGAATTGTATTTCCAAGAACAGAATAGATTAAAGGTTGACCATTGCAATAGCTTGAAATTGCTTACAGTACAAGACGATGAAGTTGTTCTCTATTTGAAATTGATGAATTCAACGTCAGGTGTTCCAAAATAAAACTTCTAAACAAAGCATTACTAAACAAATTAACTACATAGAATAGGTGAAAATTCAGTTCATCTCATCGTTATGATAAGTAAAAAAAGCAATAATTCTAACAAGAACAAAGCATCAAACTCACTTCAACTTTACGACGAGCTTCCGCAGTAGCTAATTCCAATTGACTAATATCAATATGTTGCAGACCAGATTCCTTTAAATCATTCAATCGTTTCTCAGCTTCAAGTAAAGCTTTTTCATGCTCTTCTAAGGCTGTGAAATGACCCTACATGATAGTAAGAGAAATAAAATCTAGATTAAGATGAAAGAAATATGAAGAGAACAGTTTATTACTCTCCAGTTGCGATTAACTCTTCGAAGGAATTTTCTTTAATATAACGATGTCCCACATGGAATATTAAAGACAATAACAAATCTTTAGAAAACGTCTACAACTCGTTTTAAGCTGACGTTCGTTTGTGGTTAAATAGCATCCTTATTGTTGTTCACTTTATATTACAATATAAAAGTGTTCGAGCCCCGTGCATGGGGTCTTGGATGAACAGTGCTGAGGATCCTCATGCTGGGACGAAACGGCCGTCCAGTGCTTCCAGGTTTTCAATGGCGATCTAACGTTGATCCATTCATAATATCAATCTAAATTAAACGAATGAGTTTTAAAATTTCAAAAATACACCTGACATTAAGTAAGATTTGAACAGTCATTCGTAATTTAAAGTTTAAAACTTAACAGTTATAACTTAAACAAAAAACAAATTACCTTCAACTTTGACATAGCTTCTTCTGTTGTTAAATTAGTTAAATCGAGATTAGTTTCAATTGACCCAGAATTTAATATTTCCGTCGAAACTTCACTATCTTGAGCCCAATCATTAATTGGAGCTAGTTGAAGAGCTAATTCTACAGCTTTCTTAGTTGCTGCTTCAACTTCATCTAATCTTGCTTGAACAGAATAATTAGCTAATCGATCTAATTTTTCACCAGCAGCACGAACCGCTGCCATAACAGCTTCAGCTTGTTCCATATCCGCTTGACCAGCTTTAGCAGCTGACATTAGTTCCTCAGCAGCTTTTAAAGCTTCCTATTAATGCACACAAGAAAATCGGAACCATTTATTAAGTGGGAAATATGATATTCTATTTGTATTGTATATGAAAATATCAATGATATGTGTATTCCAAATGAAATATTACTAACAATTCTTTCTCTAATGTCTAGAAATTTCAAGTATCCATAAAATTAAAGCACTGATCATGTGACAATCTGAATCAAGTATTATTTTTAAAAAACACGAAATAATTGGACGGAAACTTGTTTACAATAACTTCATCATCATCAGGTACAGTTTGTTAAGTCTTGGGATTTGTTTGGTACAGGATACGGTAATTGCAAATTATTGTTAATTGGAATAACAACATTAAAACAGCTGTGGTTTAAATTTATCATTCCTAGCCGCCCCTACATTAGTGGACAGTTTTTCACACCTCACCGCTTTGCAATTCTCATATCAGTTGTCGAATAATACTGAGAATTTTAAAAACGATATAGCCAGAGATTATTATTTAAAGTTTAATATAAAAGCCAATAGTTTGTGTGATGATTATCATTCTAATAATAGTGAGCTCTAGTAATCACGCCATCACTTGTTTACATTCGATTTCGAACGCAATTACAGTCAGGGAGAATTTATTTCTCAGCATGTTATATCTTCATGCACATTTAAGTGAATAAAAGTGATCACCTCGATCATATCAAGCACATATTTCAATAACACAAAAACCAATCACTATATTTTTTTACGTTATTGGTCATACCCTCAAAATTTGTTACTGTGGGTAAAGAAAAGAACCCATTGTTGTTTTATTGTCAGACGATTTAGAGTGCTACTTGGTGACGATTAGATGTAAAAATGTACCACTATATAATTATTAAACGAATGCTCTTGTTAGGAAAAGATTTTATAAATTAAATTAAAAATTAATTCACACTAACCAAATAATCACTTCGAGCTTTTTCAAGTAATTGTTTACGAGCTTCTTCTAACTGTTGACGATAATTAGCTGTAGCTGAATGAGCTTGATCTAAATCAGTAGTCTCTGGTAGAACAAAATCAGAGACCAATAAAAGTTCAGTTGATTTGATGAATGCATTCAATCGAAGCATAGCTTCAGAATTACGATTTTTTAATTCTTCAGCATGATCTAAATCGACAAATTTAATAACCTATTGGGGAAAAAAGATTTTAATAGATTGAAATTATTTACACCTCGATTTGATGATCCACACATATATACATAATGAACGTTAAGAAACTAACTTTTGTTACGAAAAAGAACCTGATATAATCAACTTAAGTGAAAAACACCAAGACATACATTGATTGATTTCGAAAGTGAAATACTTGAACGTAATTATCCCGAAGGTTTTGTATTCTTTAGTTGTTGATACTAAGGACCGGGAATAGATCAGTTTCAATTCGCAAATGTGAATCCTACGCGGTTCGCCCTGACTATTCCTTCCAGTCACAAGCTCTCATTATATTTGAATTGTAACTAGCAACAAAGTTCAGGACGACCGTTTCATCTGGTTCAGGATAACACGATGGTGTTTGTACTGATTAATTCTGGTTTTGTGCCTCCACTGTGAACATCAACATTTGAAGCTAGACATATATCTATCTAATGGTTCCCAAGTAGGTCGAAATGTGTAATTTCCAATAATACAAATGTTGTAACGGGTGTGTGACTGCAGGTTTTAGATACGCAGCGTTATTTATCGATCGCGATCTGTGACAGTGACACGGAAAACACGTACGGACGACCTAGTGCCCTGATTGGCCCTGCTTCGCTGTCCGTCCTAGCCCAGTTGAGTGAAGAACACAAGTCACAGCCTCGGAGTTATGAATCATTGTATTTCAAACATACTCTATTTATATACCAAGCAAACAAACCACATCGTACCATAAAATAGGAAACAACATTTGTACAATATTTAACAAGTGAAATAAACATCGACCAATAAGAATGTACATTTAAAGTTCAAGGACACCATTGGACTTAACATGATAATTATTGGTCTCTTTTTCCGACTATCCTAACAACAAATCTGTAGTAAACTTATATAGTTAACATGAAAAACTAGGCCTCATACGAATGGAAAAACTAATCAAATCTATAGATAAAATAGATTAACTATGCTATGAGATTTCATTTTTTTCTTCAAATCAAATAAACATATAAAACGAATTTTTAGTTAACTAACTTTTTGATATAGTCTTGCAGTAATAACTAGGTTCTGCATAAAATTATTCGAGTCGTAATAAGCGTTAATCAGTGCAAAGTATTGATTTAAATGGCTGGCTTCCTATTGAAGGTAAGTCGTGATTAGTCAAATTATTGATAGATAGATCTATCTATTACATAGTTTAGATCAACGACTGACCTTAGAAAAGTATTGAAAACAATGCAGCCCATGACAGCTGATTGTTTTGTACTACTATGGGGCTCCTCAAGAGTCAGCATCCACGAACTCGGAAGCTGTTTACAGTGTGATATATTTTTCCCCATACCCTTTGGATTTTGTCGTAATATACACACGCTGTGGTTTTATCTGTTTAATAATCGCTGGTTCCATATCTGAATCAGAGTTTGTGACACTAAGATTCACTAAGCAAAGTATACTAAGATATCCAACCACGTTTACAATACCAGTCAGAGTGGAATATGATATTGATTATTGTTCTTGGGTGATCAATTAGTGTGTGAATAATGTGTCCACAGCGAGATATACCATAGATCAAACTTAAATATTGCCAAACATTTCACTGTGAAAAAAACACAATAAACTACCTAAAAGTACAGATTAATTTACCTGGCTCCCAAACAAACTTTAACTACAACACGTAGTGATAATACATAGTCACTCAACTCAAAGTGATATACTGTTGAAATATAAAGCCCAGCGTGATCGCAAGTTAAGAAAACCATAAACATTTAATAACATGTGATTTGCAATTAGTTATTTGTAATGCATTCATATGTATTAAAAACGTATTCATAAAGACGATTTCATGTTTAAAAAATATGAGAAAACCACCCAGGTTTCTTGCCTACTGGTATTTACACCACCAGCGGTTATAACCAAATCACGGCTTTCGCATTCAGCAATTCAGATATACATGCACACTTATCAATATATGTTATATCTGTATTAAGAGCGGCAATTCAATCGTTAAAGCATTTGATTTTCAACCTCTACTAGGTTGAAGGTCCCACCTACTTTGGTTTGCGCAACCGGGAACTAAAAAATGTAGGCTAAAAAATGGGGCCACAGATATGTGCTTGGCTCTACATCTATATTTATTATCAAAATAGAGGAGTACTACTTCTGACCTATCCTCGTCTAATCCTTAAATTTTATTGAAAGATATAAATCCATACCTATGGAAAATCGGACACTTAAATGCATTAAAACATAACAGAAAGTAATCTATAAATCTATTGTAGACAGGAAATCCTGTACCTAGTAAGATGACAATAATCGATTAAGTACCTTGTTTAAATTGTCTATATTTCAACTTATCTCCAAATCCTCCCACTTACTTAAAAAATGTGATGATATTGTACTGTAATTAATGGAGACAATGGAGTATAACTTTTTCTCGCTTTTTGTCCAAAGTGGATTACTTCATGTGAACTGTACACAATATGTTGTAAAACATTTCATACAAACATTCCATAATCAGTGGTTGAAGACGTTGGTTAACATGGAGCTTAGAATCGATCACAGCGAAACAGATGCATTCATTCCTAATCTTCTACAGACCATGTGTTATGGTATTCTTTCTAGACATCGCTCTTCAGTTCGTTTTTTATCTTTTATACCATATTTTTCTCATTCTGTATTGTGGGAATTACAGTATTTCTCGTTTACCAGTATAAGCAATAAGGTCGAGGAACTGAAGTGGTTCCGAATTGTCAAATAAAAGCAATAATACTGAGGACTCACCAGAGCCCAACTGGACATAACAGTGAAGACTCATTAAATATAACCTGTTGACGATACCAGATACAACAGTGGCGACGTCGATATAACAGTCGACCATTTAGTTACAACATTTATATTGTGCTTTACATTTCCATCGACATTTTGTGCAGTAAAATGTGCGTACACACTCAGTAAATGATATCGAACAGTAGTAATCTTAACGAAATGGTAGAATTCTATTAAATAACGTTCTGATGTGTAGACGAGAATGATAATGATTAGTTGTCTGCTTATTCAGACATGTAGATATTCTGACAGGTGTCAGATGAGTTATATATTCCCCTATACTTAGTACTATTATACTCACTTATTATTGATTGTTCATTGTTGTTGGATTGTGTCTGGTTTCGGTGTGGAAATATATTTACATTGTGGTCAGGCTAATCACGTGTTCTTGATCTGAGTTGTGTTGAAGTCCTGTAGAATAGACACTGGAAGGGAATCTAGTGTAGATATTCGTCTAAGATAAATTAACGTCCCGTAAGTGTAAACGTAGAAACCCAACCGTTATAACATTAGATGAAATAAAACCGAGCGTTCAAGCACAAAAGTTGTTAACACTTTTATTTAATTCAAAGTAAAACGTACTCGTATATATACTACTTGAAGGTGGCCTCTTTTTATAATGATAAGCCAAAAACTTTGGCCGTGAAAAATGCATCTTTTTTATTGTTAACAGAAAGTTCTTCATCTGTGTGTTTGTGATTAATGTTATCGTGTGTGTAAAGTTATTTCTACGTGGAGGAACAAAGAAACAGAGCCACTGTTACGTGTAGCCATCACAAACCCTCACAACCTAGAAAAACCAAGGGGAAACTATTTGAATTTACGTAGCTTTTCAATGCATACTAGCTCTTACCTTTGTAATATTGGTTCGACACATATTTTAAATGTTACCACTAGCACCAATAATCTGTGAGATGAGGTAGGTTGTGTTATTCTAAGTAGTGTTCGATTCAAACCTAAATCTGTAGAAAGCTGTCATTGCTAGAATTAAAGATCATCATTGTAAAGAGCGCTACTGTCGCTAAATTACGGTTAGGTTGGTAGTAAAACCACTAACTTTTAGTCTTTTGGTTGGATTTATTCCATTCCAATAGTATTCTATATGTTATTGATTTCCAATGAAGCTGGAATTAGTTCCTTTCCTTTGCTTGTCAATTTACTCACTTGTAATGTCAATAGGACAAATTGGACTGATTAATTATTTACGCTAAGTTTAATATAATAATGATAACTGATTATTAAACTCTCTCAATAAATCTATACAATACTGACAGCCTTTAGAAGTTTTAAGAGTGACCTTGAAGCTGACTAATCGGGACGCAGATTTGTGAAGGAGGTCTAAGATACATAAAAATGATTAAACTAGGTAGGACTAAGAGTTTTAACAGGATTAATAAACCTTAAAATGTTAATAATCAATAAATTCGGCTGGAAATCATAGTGCCGATTAACCCAGATAAATCTTAACTCTTAATATGAATCCTCGTAACACTAATGCACCTAACCCAAACTCGAGCAACAAGCTGAACGCAATAGCCTTTTAAATTCGCGCTAATCTTTAACATTGGCTATCTTAATTTTGATTGATCACTTGAAGCCATTCATTTAGTATGGTTTTAAACCATTTTCTTAACTTAAATCTATTGAATGTTTTCGCTCTAGGTAGTTCTTACTTTAAATCAACCTTATAAATCATCAACACAGTCATGTTTGGAAACGCACAAACAAGAAAACATTTTACCTACATACGTAAGTGCCGATCTACCTACTTGCATACATACAATACGACACCGCATTATAATAGCACTTACTTCAGTAGTAACTTCAGTCCAATTTTTATTAATATTCTTCAATTCATTATCTAAAATAGATGATGCTGTTATATCACAGCTATGCATTAATTCATGTCCAAGATCATTTAGAGCCGACACACGTGTACGCCATTCTTTTAAATCATTATATAATTTTTCACGTTCTTCAGCACTTGTACTCTCATCGGCAAGTAGTTTCCTCACTTCCGTTAACCAGTTGCTTAGATGTAATTTTTCCTTTTATTAAGAATAAAATGTAGAAAAAAAGAAATGAGAAAAAATTTTTAAAAATAAAGATAAATTTTAGAATGAAAGTAAATTGTTCTATACATTAAATGGATTGATATTGACTAAACTACCTTGCTTATTAAATGACTGAACATAGTTATTTGAACAAAATACGATAAATACTGAGTCAGTTCAACTCCGGTCAATGTTTAATGGAACAAAGAGAGACAGGTAAAGGAATCAACGTGAAAAGCAAATCATGAACAATAGACGGTCAGAATGATGGCACTAATTAAGTTTTACATTACTAGCGAAAAACCAATCCCCTGTGTGCTATTATATTTTAAAATACTCAATCTGCTGAATTAATTTACACCGTCCCAAATCTATAATCAGCGCAAGAGTAGTGGTAAATATATATAATTATGGAAAATAGCTGTCTCATCCTAATATGAGACACTCAAGCAACGTACACTGATAGCCTCCTCCTCAAAGGAACAAAGTTGAATTTCAGCTCTCATAGAGAACACTTAAAAATCAAAACCACTGGATAGGAGTCTGGCGATGTAATTCCAACTTCAATTAAGTTACGATATAGTGGAGAGATCCTTAAATCCCATTGGCGACAACTGCTACACTTTATACATATCTGAACTTCACAGGTTATGGATTCTTTACTAAAACTTCAGGAACTCATCTCAAAGTAAGTAACTGTAATAGCCAACTTGCTCGTGGTCCACCAAATGCCATAGGATGTCGTTTCACGTACTGATCAACTCGTAGTGAGGTCATAGGTTTGTACTAGTATGGACTTTCATAATCAAGTAAAACAACTGACAAGTCCGACCTCGTTGATATTAGTCTGTGTCTATATCTTAAATTCCAACCAACTTCATCAATATAAGTACGTCAAACATCACTTGAAAAAAAAGTACAGTCAGTAAAGTGAAGGCCATTACTATTGTTTGGTATAGAACAAACTCATCATTGGGTGACTCAACAATCAATGGTCCTATTTAACGTATATCTCCGAGTGAACATGAGATGAGGTCGATTGATATCAAACATAATGCTGCTTTAAAATAAATAACCAATAAAAACAATACTTTTTAGAAAGGAAAAAAACAAACCGTTTCGTATAGATTCCATTTAACAGAAAGTTCGCCTAAATGTGTTTGTATATTCAATAGATCCGACCATGTATCTTTCCAACGTGTATTAAGTGAAGTTAAAAAGAAATTAGTTTCTTTTCGCTCAGTTTCAGCATAGTCAGTTAAAATGAATGCTCCACCACCGGTACTAACGGAAGCTTGTTGATTTACCATAGGACCTGATAATTTTGCATTGGCTTCCAATTTTTCACGTTGTTCAGCAATTTGGCACGCAATATCATCGCGTTCTAATGCTAATTCTTTAAGCTTATCCAAGCCAGTATCCATATCTTCAGGTATATTCATGGATGATAGATAATCCTTTAGGTAAAGGGATAAAAATAAGTAAATACAACCAGTGTTACTAAACTCAATACTTGGTGAATAATAAATTGAATTGTTACTAAACGAAGGTTTGTGGAGATAGTTGGATATCATCGTTTACATTGTTGATAGAATTAAGATAACAATTAAAACTAAGTATTGGACAGAGGTCTCTGGGCGAAGAGTTAATCTTCGTACCACTGAGGTGGCATCCAGCAGTATACATATTTAGCTTCCATAAACTGACGATATTGAGTAAAATCTGTTCAACACCACAAACGAATCAAAAGCTGTGTTGATTACTAAATGTAAAACTACACAATACATCGTAATTTGTGTGCTATACATAAATTAAGTCTAGGTTCTCGATAGATTTCTCTAAAATTTCATTATTTGGGGTAATTAAAGTCTATGGATTTTTCTTAATAAACTATTTATAGCCAGATGGAACATTTCGATATATACAAATGATTGTCTTGATTGTATTCTTATAGAATCATAAGTAGCATAGATAACAATGTCAACTGCTTACTGTCCCTGGGTACTTACAATTAAGTTGATAATATCCAGGTGACGTTTAGCTTGAATGTGTTAAGCTGTTGATGCAATAAATGTACATTCGTGATAAATTTCATGAGGAATATGGAAGACTTGAAGTGTTCTGACAACTCTGTTGTCTCTGTCCATGTTTGATTTCACTTCAATAATAATGATAATAATAAGTAGGAGAGTAAGCAGTGTAAAAGAAAAGTGTAGGTTGAATGATAAAGGCGATACCCAGACAAATATCAATGATCTTGATTGTGCAATACAGCAGTTTTATTTCAGGCATAATACTGATCAGGCTAAAAAAAGTAATCTATGCATTTCCATTGACCAAACTACAAATCGTTTTTTTTTAAAGTTTGACCTAGGATATCACCATTCTTAATGGGTTAAGAAATGTGACTTGTTTTACGGTTTGTGATATAATATGATCGTTAAAACAAAACCGATGAATTCGTCGATTCCAAATACTCAGGACTTGACTAACTGAACACAGAGCAAAACCTAAAATAATACAATTATATTTGCCAAATAAACTTGATGAATTTCGTTTGCTTGAATCTAAATAGTTTGGATTAGATGGCTATTGTTATTTATTCTATAGGGTATCAGAGAGATATTTATGTGGTCAACGTATTAAATTCTATTGTAGGGTTAGACCCAGTTTAATTTACTTCAGTTGGAGCCTCGTAGAATTTATATCTCTTTATCATGCACATGAACCGGGGTTCAAAGAGAGGCAGACAGAGTTATAGTATTAGATAAGGATAGATAGTTTGAAACAAACTCGATGAGAGATCTAGGTTTATGTTACGTTTACAAGATACACGATACAAGAGGTCTATATGCAAATGATACGAATTTTGTAGAAAAGCTTTTTAATTATGCATATCTCAACGATATGTTTTTAACAAATTACTCAACAGAACCTTATATTTCCCTCTGAAACTAACCAATTATTAAGAAAAAATGTTTTGATAAAACGAAGTTGCATCATACAACCCGAAGTTCCATCTTATAGAAACATTTGAAACGGATATACAATCAGATTAATACTTAGATTAGATTAATGAAAACTGTTCAACTTGAAGATCATTTAGCATTAGAGATTAATCACAGTTAGATTATCAAATAATCATTCATTGTTTCTTAAGTTTTCAATAGGTTACCCAATAGCAATTAGTTAATGATTTAAACTAGATTAGATTAATATTAATTTATAAATAAAATGATAGCTTACTTTAATTTCATTAATATGTAAATCTACTTCAGATGTCTCTTTACATTTAATTGTTTGCCAATTAATTAAATGTTCACGTATTATAGTTATTTTATGTGTTAAATCCCAACGTAACACTAAACGTTCTAAACGTCGTTTAGTTAATTGACCATTTAAATAAGCTGTGATAAAACGAGATTTCAATGAATCAACAATAATTTGTGGTAAACGAATTGGTAATGTAGTTAATACATCTGATGTTGTAGCATCTTGAGCAATTTCATTTAATTTTTCATTTTCTTCACTTAATTTATTAATTAAATGATTTAAATCTTCAATATTATTGAAAATATCCTGAAATAATGAGAAACCAAATGACGAACAATCATAACATTTTGTTGAATTCATCATGAAAGATATTCATTTATTAGTATCAGAAAGGGTTTTGTGGAGATTGTAGTAATTTCAATAATTGAGATCATGAGTCAATTGAAGCTAGACCACCATGGTAAACCTGGAAGCACTGGACAGCCGGTTCGTCCTATTGTGAGACTCCTCAGCAGTGCGCACCCACGACCCCGCCTCGCGGGACTCGAACCCAGGACCCACCAGTCTTGCACCAGGTGCTTAACCAACTAGACCACTGAGCCGGCATCCAACGGTGTTAATGTCTAACTTCAACTAATCCACGAAATTGAGCGACACATTCAACATTGTCATCAGTGAGTTACTAATTCACAACTGACCCGGTTGAACTCCACTGGTCACTGCATCTTACTAGAACTCCAGGATACATCTCTTGAAGCATATGTTGCTGAGGTGTCCCACAATAGGACGAAACGGCTGTCCAGTGCTTCCAGGTTTTCCATGGTGGTTTAGATTTAATTGACTCATGATCTCAACTATTCATTTATTGTTATCTACATGATATGACCACGTCCGTGAAGACGACTCTTATGAGTGACAGTAATATTATGTATATTAAACCTTTGAATGTTTTGTATAAACTTTAGATGTATGATTCCAGTTTTGAGATGGTGGAGAAGATTGGTAGCTGAGATGCATGATTTAAGTAGAGTTTTACTCACTGAGCTGGATGATTTGGTCGTGGAGCTTTGATTGTTTTTCTGAACAACATCATCAGCACAAACTTCAGGTGTTTGTGTATATTACAGTTGATAAACACAAACCAATTCTTTATTAGACAGAAATGACTTGTATTTTTGAAATGAAATTTATAGTATCTTATTAAGTAAAATCCTTAGCAGTAATTTCAGATGCTGAGGTCATTCAAAACATTACTCAATGTTCACTAAATGTAGTATTTTGTACTTCCTATCACTTTTATATTTATTAAGTGGATGAGTGAAGTTTATCAGTGCATTTATGCATAAAATTGCATTTTAATTGGCTGGAGTTTTCTTCACTTGTTTCCCCTAAAAATATTCAGATAATTGCAACACAACATGTCAAATGAAAAACACAAACCTGGTAAAAGTAAGGGCTTTGAATAAAATCTTTAACGAAAACTATACTTCAATATGCAGAACTAATCATCCACTGAATAAGAATAATAATGTGCGAAAGTGCTAAGCAAGAACCACTCGTTGAATACTGGAAATATTGTCGATAACTTCAGTCACTTTCGGTGACTTTGAAAGTAATTAATTATTTTCGTAACTTTATTTTAAAAGCAATCAAGTTTGGTAATGATAATTCATAATTATTCATGTTTATACGATAATTAAAGATATATCAGAATTATCTATCTCAGACGAGAATCATCAGTCGAAAATAGTCTCATAGTATAACTGATCAGACAACAAGAACGTTTTTAAAGTACAAACAATTACTGAATTCTCTTCAAGATAAGATGAATGTCACAGAATAACAGTTTTCTGAGAAAAGAATGTTCTTTAAAAAAATCAAATTTTTATAAAAGGTGTATAGTAGCCAATTAACATACAAAAGATATATCCATATATAGTGACATACTTCATGTTCGTTTAAGCAATTACGAAGTCGTGTTGCACGTTCTTCATGAGTCAAATTTTTCGCTTCTGGAGCTAATTCCAGACCAAGTTGTGAAGCTATCAATGCATCAGTTATTAGACATTTTTCTAATTTTGACAACCATTGACCAACTTGACGCCATTCACCTGGTAGAACATTATCTAAACGCCAACGCCATTCATCAAGTTCAGGTTTCACTCGGCTCCATTCGGCTTCAGCACGTTCTAATTCTTCTGGTCTTAGGCCAAGTAATAAACCTTGACGTCTTCTATCATCAAGCTCACGAATATAAGCAGCCATATTTTCATGTTCAAGTTGAGCTTGGAGAAAACTCTGTATGATCATAATAATAATAATAATAATAATAATAATAATAATAATAATAATAATAATAATAATAATAATAATCTGAATGGAACATACAAAACGTAAAACACATTTCTCACAAACAATTTTAATTAACTAATATTATTTCAATAAATTGTAGCTTACTGAATATTACAGTTATAACTGAGTATCATATTATTAATTCATTACGAGCTACAAATTCATTATACCCGATTTCAAGTCACACTTTAAGTATAGGTTTAAGTGATACTATCTGATCGGTCAAACCTTAAGTTGTTAAAGTGAAATTTCAACCTGAAACGAAGTAACTCAAAGTTGAAACTGTTATAATCACTGTCTGTAAAGACGTGTCAATCTAGTTATAATATTAATTTGTTGTAAATTGTTTAATCTGATTGTTTATCAACCCTCATTGAATAATTTTTGGGAACGATCTTGAATTCTTATTATGTTAAATTTTCAAATAAGAAGAGTTAGACGTGAAGTAGTGAGTTTCTAATAACTTATGAAATTATTCTTGTTGGTTTCTTTCAGTTGGAATTGTACATGAGTTCTGAGGTTTAGATGCTTAAGTTTATTTGATCATTTTATGTGTTGAGATGATTTCGACTTATATCATGTAAGGTCTAATGATGTTAATCAATAGTAATCTACTAAAAAATCATACAATGGATCTTTTTATAGAAACTGTCATTCTTATTCTTTCGAAGGTTCCTGTAGATGTCCAAGATACGTATTGAAATATGTGAAAAGTTAGACATATAAGAACAATCACCATAAGAAGTTAATAACTGCGAATTTCAACGAATTCACCAAAACCATCTAACAAAATCTGACATTAAATATGATGAATAAATGATTCACTACGTACAATTCACAGTCAACAATTAAGAAAATTTATGATTTAGACATGAAAACATTCAATGACATGATCAGCAGTCTGTAGGAAAAAATTTAACTTGAAAGAATGATTATTTCTGAATTTAAGTGAATCGATAAAATCCACTGTGAAATTATTTCATGATGAATTGACATTAAACCCTGTTGTTAATTTAAGAAGACTAAAAACAACAAAAATAGCTGTAAGAATTCCATTAGACTATATTTACCGATTGAGATCATAAATCAATCAATGTTAGAACACCATTGAAAACCTGAAAGCACTGGACGGCCATTTCGTCACAGCATGGTCGCGGAATATCGTGGAGTGGTTGCAGTTAGATACTAACACTTTTGGATGCCAGCTCAGTAAAATAGACGTTAAGCAATCACGCGCGAGACCAAATGTCTTGTGTTTGAATCCCGTGTGCGGAGCGTGGATGAGCACTGCTGAGTAGTCCTATACTAGTACTAAACGGTCGTCCAGTGGTTCCAGGTTTTCAATGGTGGACTAACATTGATCGATTTATGATCACAATCAGTAAATATAGTCCAATGGAATTTTTACAGCTTTTGTTGTTGTTGTTGTTGTGATCTCAATCAAAATTCAACAATCTCCACAACCCCCAACTGACATTTTTATTGAATTAAATGATCTATGAAGACACACATAAATTTAAAGTTAATTTTCACCACAAATAGATCTCATTCGAAGGACCATTACAAAATCGGTTATATTAAATACTCATTTCGTTCAAGTTTCGAACTCTTTCACAATACACACCAACAATTAAAAACTATATAAAATTCAGGATATAAGAATCATTAAGAGATTCTGATAATACTATGCTGTCAAATCGAATTCAGCAGTTGACATATTCAACTATAAACAATTTTTTAATATAGTCCGTTCTTTATTCAATGTCATTCAAGAGTACCTGTTTCACTTCGAAGACTAGAAGTTACCACATTAATTTTATTTAGGTCTTAGATTTATACTACTGTAGAAGACTTTACGAATTTCAATGTAACACCTGTCTTGTACCATTTAACTTTGAATGACTTTTCCACTGATCACTATTTACTACCACTGTGGTGTATGCTACTTATGTTCACAGATATAAGTAGTATGCAACACCAGTCGGAAGTCGAATACTTGTCACTACACTACTAGTTTTGAAAAATTTTACCACTTAATTTCAAACATTAAACTAAATAACATTGTCACAAATTACGACTTTTTTTCATATTCATAAAAGAAAACAATTTGAAATATACAATATTTACATAGAATTTAATGATTTAAACAAAATTATGATGAATAGAACTAACTTCAAATTCAGTGAGAAAATCTTGTGATTCAATTGGATTATGTCGAACTCGAGCAATTAATTCTTTAATCGTAATTAATAGAACACGTTCTTTTTCCGCTTCTGTTTGTTCATTACCCTTGAGAATGGATGAATTAGTTAATTATTAAAGTGGACAGAGATAATAAAACAAGAAAAAAAAAGGAAATACACGTACAGATATACATGACAAGTAAACAATATATACTCTGTATGTTTGGTATAAAAACAGCACAACGTTTAAATGACAACGTACACTGTGGAAAATAAGTAAATGTGCATAAATTCAGTGATGATTCAATGAATAAAGCAACGCTTCATTCAAGTCTGAAGTTTCATATATTTGTAAACAAAAAAGGATAATTAAATCAGCTCTTGCATTCATACATATTTAAGAATGTGTTATAAATTAGAGATATATAAGTAGGTTACAGGTTCGAATGAATTGAGTTTATAATGAAAATGTTAAATATGCTAAAATGTATTAGAACTTATTGTGAGCAAAAGTCTATAGTCTTATTTTACTTCATAAGAAGAAAACTAGATTTATAGAAACCATTTAAATTTTACATAAGAATTAGTTTAAGTCAATATCTGGTTTTACCAAAAGAAGGTAAGTGCTGATAACTACACGATTAACTGGACAGGAAATCTACAATAACCCTTGTAAGTTAAAAACATATACAACATACATGTTTACAGGATTTCTCTGCTGAAAAGACTAAGTAGGAACTAAAACTAACTGGCTTGTTGTAGCTTACCTTTTATTGAACAGTGTTATTATTAATAGCAGTTTTTCTTAATAAGCTATTTAATAAATAACCTTCTCTGGTGATTTACATATAGCTGAAGTGAACTGTACAAGGCAAGGAAGATTTATTAAATTACTCTTTGAAATATTTAATCTAATAAACCTTTAAACTGTAGTTGCAATATCGATATGTATAAGCAAGGATATATGATGGCTAGCAGTGAAATCTAGAACGTGCGTCTCGGCTTATTCGGGACTCGTTGACGTGAACGGCACTGTGTTTGAGTCCCGGAGTGAACACCAACTTTGGGATGCAAGCACATCTAGTTGACAAGTCCCAATAAGACGAAATGCACGTCCTAGATTCCTTTACTAGCCACCATCCATCTTTGCTTATAAAGCCTGTGAATTAAAGCAATATCGAGGCAATCCAAACAGTATGCACATATGCCGATAAGAGACTGATCAATTGCAGTCCAAAACATTAATGGGAAGATTCAAACGAACAATACAAAATGAATACCGAAATTTGTTTAACAACAAATGTAAAAACTTTGATTACAACTAAATACTCCGTACAGTCTTTAAAAAAAACTAACACGAACAACAATTTTATTTTGGAAAACGTGTGAGCAAAAGGATGAAGTTTCCAGTGGTGAGCTATCATGCATTATCTCAATGGTAACCGTGATAAAACAAACAACAAGCAATAATAATACTAGATAAATATGCACCTCTCCACCTAAATGTAGAACGGGAACAATATGACGTGTAGCTCGAGGTGGTTCAGCTGTTACACGAATATTTGCAATTGCACGACATTTTGATACATTTTTAGCTACTCGACATAAACGTAATCCAGCATATGAACGTGCACGACCAGATCGATGTGGTGATGTACTATAACTAGGAGGAGATGGAGAACCTGACATAGTAGTACGCGTATAACCTGGTGTTGATGAAGATAATGCAATAGCTGCATCGTCTGTAGGTGTAGAAGCACCACCAGTCCCAGAACTTACAGGACTTGTAGCTAAAATTAGATTATGTAGTGCTTCATCATCCATAGTTTGTGGACCACTTAAACTTGCTCGTCTGGCACGACGACGTTCCAGGAAATTAGCAGTAGTTGATGCATTCAAGATTAATGCAGGGTCAATTTCAGGGTCAGGTTCAAATGAAGCTAATCTAAGTGCTGCATGATATTCATTTTCTGTTTTAGATTCAGTTTTCATGTCGATATTTGCTGCTTTTAATTTCTGTTGCGATTGTAGTTTTTCCGAACTGTTAGTACTTGATCGACGTGAACCAGATCTTGATTTAATCTTAGCAGGAAATTAAATAGTGAATCAAGCAGTAAAGAAAAATAATTTATGATGATTTATTTTAAACTAATTTTGTGTTAATGTTTATGATGCTTACAATGCGACAAAACTAACTGCATAACTTTCTGATTTGGATCACTTTATGTATCCTATTCTATATGAATAGATAGTAGATTACAAATCAACAAAATAATTCTTGAAGAAAAGAGTAACGGAAGTCATTACATCATGTGCATTTTAATGATCAATATAAAATATAGTTTGGTCAAATATTTTTTAGAGAACATATCAATTTATAGGAAGTTTTTGACGCTAGAACGTCATTGAGGATCAGAGAATACTGAATAATTGTTTAACTATAGATGAAGACCCGTCAGTAGTGATCAGGTATGAATTATCTCAAACACACACATCGTTAAACTTAGTAACTGAAGGCTTCACACTGAGCATGATACCTTTAGATGACTGTTCGGATCCATTTGAAGTTCGACAATTTTTAAGCTAATAGGAATCCATAACAAAGTATATGTTCTGACAGCATATGAGGTTGTTAATTTTCTTCCCATAATTCCCAAAAAGAAATTAAAAAAGCTGACGTTAATACAGCCTACATAGATATGTAGAAGATATGTTCAGTCTATTTGTTCATCGTTTTACACAATCAAATAATGATACTACAACTGAACAAAACCAAAATGGCTATGTTATTGATGCCTCTCACTTCAAGGCAATAATCAAAATGAAAATTCGATTTTGAAGAAGTCCAGACAAGTTTTCTGGACAAAACGTTGAAACTATTTAAATCACTGAACTTATTTCAAACATAATCTTCACATATAATGTCTTCTCCATACTCAGAGCTCAATTTCTGTCAAACAATTCGTTCTAATATATACGAATATTCGTATAAAATGAAAAACTTTTCAAGAAAAAAATAAAAGTCAACCAACCTTAGGTGGATGTGAACTAGCGATTAGAATAAATTGTGCTACATATGTTATAATTGAACGTTCATCCGGTTTATCTACGTCAACATCTAGAATTAAATCAATAAATGTAAGGAGAATATGTTATTGTAAATATAAAATCACAGTAATCATCTACTTCTCGATAAGATGCTATTCAAGAGAAAGTTTATTTTTTCAATATGAGTTAATATATTAAAATATGAGGTAATATGCCCCCAAATTCCCTGGAGTGGGGAGAGTCAGCTCTCCTTCTCGAAATGATCTTACATGGCCACGCATATGCAGCCACTGCCAGGGAAGTCCTACTCAATACCTTCTCGCGGAGGAGGTGTTCTTTACGAAATTGAGAGGACGAAAAGCGAATGTCCGACACCTTAACCGGGTTAGTGGATAGGGAGGAGAGTTGGAAAACCTTGATTCCAAACCAATGGTGCATATGGGCTCCTGAATGAAAAAATGGTGTATGAACCTATTGCTGGTCACTGACTTCCACAGGACGGCATCTCCTGACGTTTCTACACTGCTTTGTTGATTAGACCTCTGGTTCAAAGACTCGAGGATTGGCCCCTAGGAAAACCACCTGCTCCGGTCTGAACACCTGGGCAGTATCACATTCCACACACAAATCAAGTGACTCGTGAGGCATATATGTATCCGGTGCCCCTTTTTATCAGTATTTATGTGTTCAAATAAATAAATGAGTTAATATTGTGGCGTATTTTACTTATGTTGGCAGTTTTAAGTAGTATGTAACACTAAACAGAAGCGGAATGCTTCGCAGCAAAAGATCGAATTGAAGAAAACAGAAAGGAAAACAATAAACAATTGTATAACAACAGAATTGAAAGAATCGTGAAACACGTAATGAACAAATGAAGGATGTGAAAATAATATATTTAATGTGTTGTTTCCATATTTTATACGAAAGCACTGTGTAATTTAGCGTTGAATAATGAATTGGTCTTCTCCAACTCAGTTCTTGTTTACGACAATATTAGTTAAAGAAGTATTGAAATTCAGGAATGATGAACAACAATATATGGACTATATAGAAGTGTGCATTAATGACTTCATTCAACTATGAAAATACTACAATCTCCACAAATCTTCCATACTAATCATAAGTATGTTACAGCGTAATGTATGAACTTTTCTAATCTTTAAGAACAACAATTCAGTTTGACACAATATGAAAATAAATTACCTTCAGGATCTAGTAATTTTGGTACACCAAGTCTTTGTTCAGCTACGTTGAAAGCAAATTCTAAATTCTCACGATTTTTTCGATGCATAACTTCACCCATATCAATAAGACTTGGATTAATGTTATGCACCAAAGCACAAAATGCTTTACCATCACGCCAAGATGAACCGAAGTCGGTAACTCTAATTTCTAATGTTCTTTGTGTAATAAAAGAAAAAACAACACGAAGAAAACACGTATGAAAAGTAGTAAACTGACGAGAAAAATAATCAATGAGATGAATGAAAACAACAATACATTTCCTGATATTCATATCAAACTACAGGAGACATATATGTAGCACACAAGGATACATATGTGACAGTGAAAAATCAGTAAGTGTTTGTGTGAGATCGATTGCTTGACTCGATTATGGCCAGATTAATAAGAATTATACTACTTACAAATCCAATCAATGAGTGAAACAAGCTCATGAAGAACATACATCAGAAGATAAAATAATTGATCAGTAATATATGATAAATTATTTCATAAAACAAAATGATATACTTGTATCTACAGAACATCCAATACAAAACGAACATGGTTAAACTTCATTTTAATAATAAATAATTTGGGGATACAGATTTCAAAGGTTATTTACAAACTGATACATCTGAGGCCTTAAAAGTAGGTATATTTATTATCCGTTATAACATCACTATGATTCAGTCATAATCATGCATTTTACAAACATACAATTGTTTATATGATTAAAGAACTAGGTTTTCAACTAGTTAATTGTCAGTTCACATCCCTGTCCTTCCAATTTAACCTGGATAGGCGATAGGAAGTATTACTTGCATTACCACAAACAATGTGACCTGAATCCTAGTACGTTAATCTGTACCTTTCAAATGTATGATCTCACTACAAAATGTTATAACTTACAAACACGCGAACATTTGAAAAAATGTAGAAATCATAGTTAAGAAACAAATTTAGGAGAACTTAAAACCAAAAACAAATACATCAATTCATTATTATTACTGATAATAACTTACGATTTATGGGAACGAAAAGACTGTTCAACCCAAGTTAATAAAGCTTGTCGAGTCCTGGAACCGGTTACACTTTTTGTACTATCCACTTGTTCAGATAAACTAGTCTCTTCAGATTTGCTACTAACATTTCCAGTGGCATCAGAATCGATTGATTTCGAGAGACTTTTACGACGAGATTTCAATGCATCTTTTAATACTTTCTGATGACCTTGAATCTAGTAAACGTTGAAAAACCGATTTTAAAAATAATTTCTGATTTTAATTGATAAACAGCATTGTCGAGACTATAATTTAAGGGCCGATCTTCGAGCGACGCTAAATTGGCCTTAGGAATGTCCACTTACTTACCAGGGCTAAACGAGGTTTATAAACCTGTGTTAGTAAGGATTATGATTTGCAGTTGATGGTTAGGGTTAGGAATTAGATTTAGGATTTCCATCACGAACTGACATCAATTAAAATGCCAAAACGCTATTTAACCAAATGGATGAATGAATTTCGAGCCAAAATGCAAGACCTGTTATCCTAAATCTGATTGATTCGTCGATAAATCATAGTCTCACTACAACATTTCATTTCTCTAAAGAAGCAATTAATATGATAACCCAATAATTAATGCAATGAATCTATACGTAAAACGATTATTGACATTACATGGGATAAGTTTATAATACTGTAATCCATAATTTTTATTGATAATAATTGATGCCTTTTTATAGTGAAGATACTACTGATTTTTTATAAAACTAATTCACTAAATATTTTGTCCATTTGTTGCTGGAAAAAAATAGACAACATGTACACAGTTTGTTTAAACTAAAAGCCGGAAATGATTCTGGTCATTTCAGCAAGGAAATGAATGAAAAAGAAAAACAAAACATGGACATATTTAATCAACTTGAAGTGAGTTTTCACGTGTTTTCTTTTTAATTCCTGACTGACTGTATTTTGTTTTGCTTAACTCATATATATCCTGTTGAACAGTGTACAAGTTATTTATTAAATAAATAACTTGTTTGTACAACGTACACTAACTATACAGACGCAATTCTTTATCTATGATCTGTAAAGAGATTATGCTAATATGATATATAGAAAACAATTATTTATAAAAAGCTTGTATCAATTTCCTTTTGCGACAGAACATAATCTATATGTATATATAAATATATATATATATATATAAGTTTGAAAATGGTTGCCATGACAACCTGTTACCGATAAAATTCAGTATAATTTACCACGTATTTTTTGTTAACTATCAGTGTTATAATCGTCAACATACACGCATACGCACAGACATCCCTGAATTCAAATTCATACCCAGAAGTACTGATGTAAACTTTAAATAATATGGTGTTTTGTCATAATAAATCATTCCTAAACGCTCATGACATTGTTGTTGTGTCATTTCCTCCCTATATTATTTACTAAAGACAATTCCTTAAATATAAGACGGATGACTGTTACGCTCCATATATATATACTAGTAGCAGTGTTTTGCCCCTATATATTTATTAATTTGAACACATAAACATTGGTACATGGGGCCACCGAACACATATATGTCACACAAGTCACTTGATTTGTGTGCTGGATGTGATACTGCCCAGGTGTCCAGGCCGAAGCAAGTGGTTTTCCAAGGGGCCACAACTCCAGCCTTTGAACCAGAGGTCTAATCAACAAAGCAGTGTAGAGACGTCAGGAGATGAAGTCCCATGGTAGCTGGTGACCAACAATAGGTTCATACACCATGTCTTACTCTAAAATGTTATCGTCACGGATTATGCATCTTGCCCTTATTAAATATTTCAGCATCGTCCACATCTTTGTGAGTAATCGTTCAGTTAAAAAGTAATTTATGAATCGGATTTTTCCAAATAATACAACCTTATTTCTTTGAAACGTTGCTTCTTTTGAATACTAACCTAGCCACAATTGTAAATTAGTGTGCTAACTGTGATTATTTTCATGTTATATGATATCAGAAATAATTCATTTAGCTTACTTGATAAAATAATATGATCGACCATATAAGACCTAAAACAATCGCTGGTTTCCCGTCGACCACATCTGCGGGATTGATATTTACAAGTTTTATCTATAATGAACAAATATTTAAAAGAAAAACAAACAAATAAACATTTTTTTGCTTATTGATAAATAACTTCAAATAGTAAGTTAAGTGCATTTAGAAACTTTATAATAAATTTTAATAAATCACTCAGTGACTTTCATACAACTGTAAATTTAGTTTGACCTACACGCTAAACACTTCGAGAATAAAATTATTGTTTTAAATTTATTAGTTGAATTCATGAGTCAATCTAAGCTACACCACTACTGAAAACCAGGATGCACTGGACGGCCATTTTTTGTACTAGTATGGGATTGCTCAGCAGTGCTCATTCACGATCCCGCACACGGGATCCGAACGCAAGACCTTTGGTCTCGCACGCGAATGCTTAACCTCTATTTTACTGAGCTGGCATCCAACGGTGTGTGTCTAACAGTAATCGATCGATGATCTTGTGTAACGCCTCATCCATTGTCTGAGGTAGATTCCTATCTCTACCCGACACGGATTGGACTCCACTGTTCACGGCTTCTCACTAAAATGTTTATATACATGTATGTGGTGAATGCTAATTATGTTGACAAATATAAGTAGTATTTAACACCAGTCATAACTGGAATGTCTCGCAATAGAAAATTGAGAAGATCGAATTGACGACAACAGTAATGTAGACAGAGTGTAATCGTAATAAAAGTAATGATAAAGTAAGAAACAGTTGATGGAAGATGTGCAAATGAAGTATTTAATGGATGGTTTTCGTATATTATGAAGACATTCTGTAATTTTCTATTAAACGATAAATTGGTCTTCCCCACCTGAATGTTCGTTCATTATATTATTATCTTTATTTTGGATATCTTCTTTTTGATCTACTCATAAGTTAGCTAGAAAAAAAGACTAAAGTGTAGTAACAAATTCAATCAGGTTTCAGAATGTAGTTAGTTTGAAAGTCGTGGAACATAGTTCAAGTAAGCATGTTGGCTATCGATCGTTTTCTTTTTAATTTGGCAATTTGGAAATGCTATAAATACGCACCGCTGGTTCGCAAGACCATTTTATTCGACTGTATCGCGAAAATGAAGCCAATTGACTATCAAAACAAGCCGGGTACTGTTATATTTTAGGAGTCAGTCATTTTAGCATAAAAAGTCTATACTGAGTGATTTACTTCTTACTCGTCCCAGTATTACCCATCATAAACTAATCACTTCAATAATGGATTAGATTATATAAACACTGGAAGATACTATGATTTTGCACTAGATAATAAACTGGTTTACCTTATTTGAGTGTTCATCCACTGTACATATATACATAATAACACCCTAAGTGGGATCAATAATTCCCTAATCAATGTCAGGATAAATTCTCACTTAGTTAATTTAGACATACTTTAATATGAAATACAATATTCTAACAATCAGATAAATTAATCTAAGGTAACATACGATTCACAAACAAACAAACGAAAAAAAAACGATAAACTTCACAAACTTACTTTACATGTTTTTTCTAAATAATCTAAAGCATTACGAACGTTGCTAAGTTTATGAGCTCTTTGTAGAATACGAGGATTTTCAATTTGCTAAATGAACAAGACAACAACAACAACAAAATGCATCATATAGAATAAAATGATAAAATGAATAAATTATATGTATACCTTTGATTATATGCTTTCATTTGACCTATTGACTACTATTACATGATTTACTATTCTTAAGTTATTCCCAATCTGTTACTTACAGTCTCTCATACTCACAATCACTTTTCGCTCGATCTTATATAATTATTTTTTTTTATGATGTGATCCTGTCTGATTTGCTTGTATATAAACCAAGTATATCTTAAATATAGGAGTCATATAGAGGAAGCTGGTATGTGTTCTGGAATGAACCGGATGGGTTAGGAGAGAAGCTACTATACAGAGAAAGATTCATATTTGATGCAAGACTGCTAGTACTGGTTGACGTGTCATTGGTTTGAGCACAGGAGCAAGGTCATAGAATTCGGTATTCTGATTGGCGATTTTGTCACGTGGCAAAAGTCATAATAAGAAATATATGAACGATGTAAATAATTTATTAGGTACAGGCCTGTGTATTTGACTATGATCTAAACTTTAGTTAGATACAGTTTTGTGATACTACTCGGATACCCAAATCAAAGTAGGCCAAACGAAGTTTGAACCCAGACCAACTTGGTTGAAAGTCGTTTTTTAACTAGCAGGACACCATAACTCTCCCATAGACTTGAGGTCACATTGAGACTTGATTGATAGAATCCGATCACTAATGAGCGATAGGTCGATTGTAAATGAGTTGGATTTCGTATTGTTTTATTGATTATTCAGCGAATAATTCTAATTTTAAGCTGTGTTTTGACAAATTAATTGTTATTATCTTTTCCCGTTCATATATTACAAGTCATTTAGACATAAATTTATTACTCAGATTAGTATAAAAATATGATCAAGTCATGTAACTATTGTGATTTATTATTTGTAGTACGTTGTGGGTTTGTATTTTATTTAAAGGCCTAAATAATAAGAGTAGTCTTGGCCACTTATCTGATCTTCTATTTTATGCTATTGAAGGTTTGAAGACATGAGAATTTCTGTGAACTTCCGATGCAATAACGAACACTATAGCGTTGTTAGTAGACTTGGTGTTAGCAGGGTAAGGCAAAACTGCACAGCAAACAATAACATAATGATAATAAGTTTAAATAAAAGCTGTATCCATTATTTAGGTTACTGTAAATATTCAACATTTTAATGCTTTACACACTTCTCCTCTATGTTAATTTATTTAATTCACCTTGTATATTTTATTTCAGTTATCACTTACTGCTACTGTGATGTGTGCCACATATATCGATATAAATAGCATATAACGCCAGTCAGAAATAGAATGCCTGACAGCATAAGGTTGAGATCAAATAGAAGAAAACGGGAACGCAGAATAATTGGTATGGAAATGAAGGAACAATCAAGTTTGAGATAATTAATAGACATTTTTAAAATAAAGAATTGAAGGTATGGTTTGCACACTTGACCACCAGTGTTCTCGTTCTTAACACTACCATCTCTATTCCCATTTATTTTACCTTTATCCGATTTTCGGTTAACGCGCTTGTGTTAATAATTACATAAAAATCAATAATTGTAATTTCATAGACAGTCTAAAGCTCCTTTTAACTGTTTTTATGATTGATCGAGTAAACATGTTACACAACATGATACTTCATAGTTGTGTAGTAAGTTTAGCGTAACTATTGTCAAGCTATAGTGAGTAATTAGATTATTCATTTAGACCAAGGCCACTGTCCATATAAACATGTTGAGATTAGTCCGTCTACTAATAAATTTACACACATAGTAAGTATATTAATTCAGTATTTGGTATTATAACTTCATACACAACCTTATATTATCCCAAGGTTCAATTGAGTTGATAAATCATTCAAAGTGTGCACAATAGCTCAACTGAATAAGTAGGTCATCGTGATTACCTATCTACATAGCTTTGACATTATTGTACAATAAATCTGCTAGCATCGCACGAGTGAGTAAGTTACATGTTTCCTAACATAATAAATTCCAAATCTTCACAGTCAGCTAGTTAATCAATCATAGTCAACGTATAATCTGACATGAATGTCTATGTATTCCTCCAAGTTGCTGCACTTAAAATCAGCCCGGTTGAGAAAATTGAAGAAATCAAGAAAATGAAAAACAAGTATAAATGGGAATAATATAAACCAAACCACCCTGATTTCAACATAGTAAAATGACTACTTTTCAACATGCATTTCGTCAACAAACAACAAAAATAAGTGTACAATAAAGTAACCTCTCCCTCTTCCTCAACTAAACTTATGACGTCACTGCAATTCTATAATTCTGAATTGGAAGTAGTTGTATGCGGAAACGAAAAGCAAAATGCCAAAAATAATTAACAATTACTAACAATATTTTATTAGTTGAATTCATGAGTCAATTAAAGCTAGACCACCATGGAAAACCTGGAAGCTTTGGGCGGCCGTTTTGTCTTAGTACCAACTCCTCAGAAGTGCGCATCCACGACCCCGCATGCGAGGTTCGAACTCAGGACCTTCGTTTAACCTCTAGACCACTGAGCCGGTATCCAACAGTGTTTTAATCGACTCATAAATTCAACTATTAAATTACTACAATATCCATAAAACCCCTTTCTGATAATATTCTAATTAAACCGGAAACATCATGGTATAATGACATACAAAATATTGATGAAAATCATATGATACCAATAAAATAACTGATAAGGCAACAACTATAAAATTTACCACAAATATCCTATCAATATTCAAGTATCTAGCAGATGATGAGAAAAGAGTTTTATCACAGAGTAAATCTCAAAAGACTTGAACAAAAATGAATGAAACGCAACAAAATATGAAGATAATATAATGGACATGAACCTCGCTAATGAGTGTATAAAAAACTTGTATTATGGGTAGAATATGTTGAGTAGTGAGTGCAGATAGACATATTCATATGTGTCACACATACATAATAAACTATTTTGTATTTCAAATTGCTTCTTCACCGATCCCAACACCATACTGTGTCACCAGACGTTGTTATGACTGTTATATTTATTCCTAATTACGCAATCGAAATTTCAGTGTCTGAGTTCATATGATTTAGTCAACCTTAAAGCTTATTTATTTAAACATATAAAGATTGATACAAGGAGGCACCACACTTCGTCATTCGATTTGTGTGAGGGCTGTGATACTACCCCGGCACCCAAAACTGAAGTATGTGGTTTTCTTAGGAGCCTTTGACTCAGAGGTCTGATCCACAAAGCGGTGGAGCAACTTTATGAAATGCAGTCCTACGGAAGCCGGTGACCAACAATATGCTCATACACCATTTGCTCCCTCAGGATACTGGAGCCTATGTGCACTATTGGCTTGGAATCAGGATTTTCCAACTCCACTATGTGAATCCTCCATATCCATTAACCCGGTTAAAGCGCTTTTCGTCCTCTCAACTTCATAAACACTCGCGCCACGAGAAAGCAGTGAGTAGGACTTCCCTGGCAGTGACTGTATACGCGTGGCCATGTGAGAGCATTTTGAGAAGATCGGACTATCCCCACCCTCGGCCATACCAGGGCATTTGAGGGTTGCAATCAAATCTTAAAGTAACATTAACATTTATGATGGATATCACACAAACAGTATAGTATTGATCAGTGGTTCAAATTACACGCAATGACACTGATGAAACCTAAAAACTAATTACAATTGACACTTGATCGTTAGAATTCGATTAGTATTAAAATCTAGACAAACAGAACTTTAGTTACTAATCAGTTATCCCTTGATGTAAATAATTTAATCTCTTAAGACGTCGGTTTGGGCTTGAGTAGGTCAGTAGTGCCATCCCTGATTGTGGCACTAGGGGTGTGAGTTCGAGTCTCGTATGCAAAACTAATTTCCTTAATACTGTAGGTATATACATCATGCTAATGAGTACTGGCTAACATGAAATCTAGAATGAAGGGTTTCACTTCGATTGCCTTCAATCTAACGCTGAAATAACCAGTTCGTTAAAAACACTGGTAATTTAAAATTATTGGCATTAATAATGCACTAATTTAACATTTACCACGGTAGTCATCATCAACAGCACATCATAGATAGGATATAACTGGCATAGATTCTGGAGCAAATAAACTTAGGGGTAATTATAAACAATAACATAAAAATGATATTATACTGCATTACAGTTGGTTTCATAGCTAATTCGAATGCTTTCGCATCGAGAAGATGGTGACTTTACACAACCACCTACGTGAGAGATCATTTAATTATTATGTCTAGGGAACAAGACTATCATTGCATAAAAATGCTGATAAGATTAATTATTTCCAAATAGTAAGTACTGAATTAGTGACTAGACGATTCAAACTTCTCCTGTGAAGAACAGTTAAGGCAACTAGAATTTGCCTGCTTACCTAAAACAATAACAGATACCAATTAATGGATTAATTTTTGTATCCTATTAAACTGATTATGTCTAAAGTTATCACAAGAAGGTTGCAAACCTATGTCCAAATAAACCGTAGTTAGGGTCCTGTCTTTTTTTTCGTAAAGTGATTGACAACTTGAAATCAAGATCAGATCATGTAATAATATTAGTTCAATCAGTAGACAGTCTTAAGGATAAGCTAGATCTTCGTAGAAATGTTTGCTGTAACAATAAACACAAATTAAACGACTAACCATTTCTATCATTGGGAATTTAATTGAAATCACTAATTTCTCTAAACGAATTCAATAAGGTTCCTATCTGAATTTTGTGGAACAGTGGCATAATAGTTAAAATACACGACGTTCAACTAGTATGCCATAATTTCAAAATCTGACCCATCGTTACTTGTTGTGTTGGAAAAACTGATACTATCATTAGTCTTTGCATAAACAGTAAAGCTTAAAACCAAGTACGCCACTTATGTTTACAAATATAGGTAGTAAGTAACACTAATCACAACTGGAAGGCCTTGAAACAGAAAATTGGGAAGATCGAATTAAAGACAAGACAACAGGAATGTAAACAGTGAGTAGTTGTACTAACAATAGGAATGAAGGAACAATGAAGTTTATATGAGATAAATGATGTAAGATGTTCAAATGAAGTAGTGAATGGTTGGCTTTCATATTTTACTAAAATACTTTGTAATTTTGCACTAAACGATAAATTGGTTATCTTCAATTGAGTTCTCATTCACTACACATAAATCCGTAAATGGTAGGTGAATTGTAAAATTTACTCAAATTTTATTACAGAGAAAAAAATCCATTTCGTGGAGAATAAACAAAATATTTTAGAATATTCATTAGCATTTTACATATTTAAAATTAACTTATAACAGATTTATACCATCATAATAATTGTAACAATCATAACAGAACATTAATTGTAGCGTAATATATCCATATACCCATATTAACAAACAGTAATACATAAAACTGATCTGAAAAAAAGAAGTAATTTTTATGAGTCATTTAGCAGAAGAAATGCAGAACAGGGCGTTACCTAAGGTAACAACAACAACAGCAACAACAACACAAATTCATTACTGATCAATCAATAAATAAATGTAATGAATTATTTTCTTCCAAAAAAAATAGTAATAATAAAGCCAATTATTAAATAACAACACACCATTACATATATTTGAGCATATGTATAATCAAAGGATAAACGGTAGTTGGTTGAATAGATAGATAGATGTACATTTCTATATTCAATCAAAGCAAATAACATCATTCAATATTGATTAGTTTTTTTCCTCGAGAAAAAATAAGTAACACGCATATAATCCAGTTGTAATTGAGGTAGAAAGAGAGAGAGATAGATAGATAGCATTACCGTAATGCAAATCTGGTCATTGTTCAGATAAAGTTAATGATGATGATGATGGTGATGTCAAGCAGGGTATTTCAGTTAAATTTTTTTTTGATAAAATTAAAATTAAATAAATTCATTGAGCATACATCTAACGTACAATTACCATTATGAAATGAAACCGATGCATAATTGTTTTAAAAAAAATGAATAAAATGTAGGCGGGTAAATCAAAATATAATTTATTATTTGTATAATATGTTAACACAATTAACATTGTTATTGGTTAGTTAGAATAAATTGAGAAATCAATTGCGGTGAAAAGAGTGACGGGGGTGGGGACCAAAGAGAAATAAAACAGTTTATAAATTTTGAAAGGAAAAAAAAACAACACTTGCTATCTCTGATTTAGTTGTTATCCCATTCTCATATAATTATCACAAAGTGTTTAATAATGCGTAAACACTGTTTGGATGAATAAATAGTTACGGTCATTAATGATAATTCTAAAATGATTATTAATTGTAAATAGGGGATTTAGAAAAAAACAGTGATTTGCATAATTGGTGACATACGTTTTTGTATCATTCAGTTGTTTTAAGTGTTTGACTGTAGAAAATAATATTGAAATAATAATTAAATGAACAGAAAAGGGAATTTTTTGCAGATAACAAATTATGGTTACTTGAGTTGTATTACATCAACTTTGTTTGAAGTACTCGACTTTAAACTAGAAAGTTAAAAGTTTGATCAAGTCAAAATTGTTATGATTAGCGCTTTAATATAGAAATCATGCATGCCTCTATATTGAGCATATTACCGCCAGTGTTTTCTTATCAATGATAAATTAGTTACAGAGAAAAGGACCAAAAAAATACTGTAGGTTGAACTGAGTACCTCAATCATCATAAATTTAGATGTATACATCAGTTGTTTATGAATTATAGGCGTTCAAATAATTAAACATGAATCCCATTACTTATGTAAGGTTCAAGGAAACTGCTAGTATCTTAACTGAAGTGGAGTTTCGAACCCATGACTTACTACTAGTGACAAGTTAGATTATATAACCACTTAGTCACTACTCCGTATAAATAAAGTGATCATTTAGTTCAGTTGATTAAAATTCACTGAAGTAAATATATCCTAGATACTTTCATATATACGTATATAATCAAGAAGACTTATTCACAAATTATAAAAATACTGATATTTTCTAGCAAAGTTATAAATTAATTTTTTCAGTGCCACATTCAGAGACATTATACAATTGAATACACAATTGATTGATCGCACCAAATCTTTTTACTTTGTTCCTTTGTACTATTTAAACTCGGGTTAATTTAGTTTGTTTATTTATTCTCTAAGAAGTGGCTTGCACTGAGTTACGAAACGTCAGAAAATTTTTCTACTCATTGAGATATGGAAAACATATTATTTTTATTTATAATTGAACTAGATGTTAAATAACTGATTTTCTGCATAGAAAACAAAAGTAAATATATTGATGAATCCACTGAGGAATAAAGTATCCGAGAGATAAACAAAAGAATGATCGATATTGGTGTAATGAAGGATTTGAGTTGTGTAAAGAAACATAAAACTTGTTAATTAGGGTAAGAAAGAAAACCCTAAACTACTCTGACTTACTTTAAAGGCATACCTATTGAATATACATATAATAATATAAAGTAAACATACCAATTTTTCTCCTGATAATACTTCAAGAAGATGAATAAGAGTAGTTCCATCACCAATATCTTTGAAAAGATCATTGATATGAATTGGGTCAGGTAGCTATATAAATTAAAAGAAATGTATTTTCATAAAATATAGAATATTTAGACGTTTTAAATAAGGCAAGATAAATATTAAAGACCTTTTACACAATAATACTGATTTCTATTACATACTACTTGGTGCCACAATTATATACACAACTCACATCAATATTTTAATGGTACTAAAGATAAGTGACATTTCAAATTCCGGTAAATTAACTTAACCAGTGATTATAACTTAACATGATTTACTCAGTAACTTTATTACACACTATTTCACTGAACATTATCAATAATTAAGTGCATACAACTTATTCTTGTCTAGATGTTTTTGGAAATAAGTGTAACAAACTTAATATATATGGTATCGTCAGTATGTCAAAAGAAATCTTCCATCAATTATTTTTTACATCGTTCATGATTCTTCCGATTCTAGATACCTCTAATTTTCTCTTTCTATCTTCTTCAGTTCAATCTTCTCAAATTTCTGCTGCTAAGCATTCCATTTCTGATCGCTGTTGCATACTACTTATGTCGATAGATATAAGTAGTATACACCACAGTACTACTACAGTTGTTTCACCCCAAATTAGGAATCCTCAGTGGAGTGCACTAATAATTCCAGATACGGGATGGAACTGAATACTACAGATTTTCGTAATGGACACGAAAGACAACTAATAGGTCTATATCTAATGTTCCAGATTTTCACGTTCAGTCAAACAAAAAGTCACTGTTATTCAGAGCTTCTAAACTCCCATTGATTCTGTAAATGGCAGCAATCCTGGTGAGAACCACCTATGATAATCTTCATGAAATTACTTAACTTAGTAATTTTTGTTTCAATTTTTATATGAACAGTTTATATAATTCATTTGTGGTAATTATATTACTTGGGAATAACTGGTTTTAAATGCATGATTTCCTCCTTGTATTTCACTGGTTGATTGTTAACTAACTGTTCCCTAATTAGTATAGGGGGGTTTGTGAAGATTCTATACTTTTCATCGTTTAAACCACAAACTGGTCTTAGCTAGACTACCACTGAAAACCCGGAAGCACTGAACGGTCATTTTATCCTCATATGGGACTTATCAACAGTCGGGATCCACGACCCTACAACGGGGAATTGGACCCATGACTTTGAGTCTCCCACGCAGACGTCCAACCTCTAGACCAGCATCCAGCGGTGTCAATGTCTAACTTTAATTAGTTCACAATATTGCACGGCCATCTCCCACCACTTTCTAACTAGTTGAGACTTTTTTCGTGCGGCCTTATTGAACTGGTCACTTTGTGCTTGTCTCTACTGACAGTTGACTGTTGTTGCAATTGAGTTTATCACAGTTTGTGCAACCCAAGCTAAATATTATTTGTTATAGAACCATAAGTGATTATTTCTTTATATTTATGTCTAAATATTCTGAAAACCCAAAATTTGTCTGACTGATCCACCTCAAGTACTTTATTCCAATGAACCAAAATATATACAGTGCAACTAATACAGTTGCGCGGGACCGAAGTTCTTGGGTTTGATTCCCGTGCTGGGGGACAGCTGAGGAGTCTCGGACTAGAACCAAATAGTCGTTCAATGTTTCCAGGTTTATGACTTCACCTTGAAAATCACAGTATATCTTAATATAACGGCAGTATACATGTATCCTTATATTGTACATTCATTCACACGAGAATTAGTTTCAATCAATTATACTTTAGAAAATTCATAAAGGGACTACAAATGTTTTGATTTCAAGAAATAAAAAACCTCGAAAATTCATAATAACGATGTTTTAAACATACCTTTTGCAAACATGCATTGACCCAATTAGTGAAAGTTTTCTTTTGTACACGTTGTTGTTCGTCTATGAATATAAATATTATACAATTAAGAAATAATCATTAAAAAATTATAAATAACGCTTCATAGTATAAATATATCATATAGTTACAAAAATAATTAAACTCTTTGATAAATCAACATGATTCGTACAGTCTCAAGTGATGTTAACAATGTGTCGGTGGTTGTCACTTCCTGACTTTTCACATCGTGAAAGGATACTTCCCTCCCTGAGGTGATTGAAAAGGAGACTGTGTTGGTAGTGGTCACTTTCAACCTGAGAGCATGACCTCAGGACCTACGAGACGATTACTTGAGATCGATCACACATGGCTATTTTATGAGTACTTATAAATGCGTAAGCTTCATACTTTCAAGACCTTACCGCTGACGACGGGAACCCATATGAGAATATGAAGTGTGTTAACTTTAGGGTTGACCACTTTAACCTTTTCCTATCGTTGTGAGGTAGCATCGCTGGAGATGATGGTTATCTTGGTAAGAAACATTGCTGCCATCACACCTTCAGTCATCAGTAGTACGACCTCGTCCTCAAGTCTAACTTCTGAAACGCCATTAATAATCTATGTAAACTATGAGAAAAAATTCCTTGATCACATTTCACGATTTCAATTCAATTATTAGCAATTATGGTTAGTTATTGTATAAACCAAATATATAGGTGCATTCCCAATCTTCCTTCAGAATCGATATCCAGTTAAGCTTGAATAATCAAATGCATATTTGTTGTGAATACGATTATAAAGTGATTATGACATACATTGATAATCAGCTCTTTTGCTAAACCCGAGAAGATAAATGATGTCACTAATCGTCATCCAACCTCACAACGAACATTAAGGTTTTGAAGCAAATGGTAAAACGATTTAGCTTAAATTACATGAAAGTAGCAGATATTGAACCAGAAGCATTTTAGTAGATAAAATATTTATCAATATGAAAATATACATTTGATTCTTTCGATAAATTAAAAAAAGACAAGGATGACAATGCTTGCGAACTTACAACCATACCTAGACGATGATTTGTGGCCTGAGAAAAGAACTTCGAAAGTATTCCATTCTCTAAAATTGATGGTTTCATTCTCGGTACAACTATACTATGTTGACAACCTTAAGACTCTAAATGTGATCTTGTTAAGTTTAATACAGCCATTAGTCAGCCAGAATCCAGGTAATATATGTGAATAATTTTCGCATCAGTTAGGACACAATGCAGCTGGGACCCTGAGATATCTATCAGATACCCTTGACTACAGCCTTGATACAAACATGTACACTCATTGAGTAGTTAAGGCTTCAGATATAGTGTTTTTTGAACCAGATGGTTTAATTGTGAAGTTTCGTTGTCTTTCTAGACAGGATCATCAGCACAGTTCAAGAAAAGAATGAGTATAAGCATACTATACTGACGAACTAATCACATTCAAAGTAGGGGCTTCCTTTTCCGTAAAAAAACTCAAAATGTTAAACTAATTTACTTTCACGTCATATCACATTAGCTGTGTAGTTGTACGACATAAATGTTTATCGATTTAAGCCGTTTTTAGAACTAAACACGGATAGTTTTAGCCTGGTTCCTAGTATAGTACTAGCGTTTTGGAGTTCACGTTATTACGAACAGACTTAATATGACTGTTATGAACGATTATTCAAACTGTTTGGATTGGTAGTTAGCGCAGTATGATTTAGTGATATACGAAAGGCTGGATCTATCCACAGTTGCCTGTTACAGACAAGTTCAGTGTAGCGCAGCCTGACATCCGGCATGAACATGCCTATAATAAAAGTTTTAAACCTAAATCTTTTATGAAAACGATACTCTGATGCATAACAAAAACCCACTAAATTGATGGAAAAGCAAGTGGAAGAGCTGGGGACTGCGTATGTTGAGGTTAACCTCAGCCTCAATTTGACTGTACTCGATTACGTCATGTACTGTTACTGCTCATTTAATTTGTAAATTCTTAATTTCTACATGATTATTAGGTTCTTTTGTGCAGTTTAGATGTCCATTCGTACGAGTGTATTCTTACACAAGATTTCAATATGTCACAATTAACACAACCTATTCTATAGACAGTCAATAGTTTATATAAATGAAATTTGGACTTTTATTGAAACTAAACCACTTCGAAGTTTCAGATGTTTTATAAAAAGGGTTAATTCTTTGTTTTAGCATTTGTTGTAATTCTAGAGATAGTGTAATATCTCATATTCGGCTATATTAAAAATATAGAGAGCCTTGAAACGATAATATTGTTTAACCTTAACCAAATACAGTATCTACAACATCGTCATTTACTTAACATCAGAAAATTAATTTTAGGCTCATCGGGATGTGTACAAATATTTGTTTTCTTATTATAAACAATCCACTCAATATTTAATTCATTTAAAACTTTAATAGTGATAATTAAAAAATATTCAGTTCTAACAAAGGTAATCTTGCTAAATTGAACCTAGGATGAATTATTCGATGTCGGATAACAGGTAAATAGGTTAACTAGTGGAAATCAAAACATGACCAGGAAAAGATTAAGAAAGAATGATAAGCAGTTAATTTGCTACAATATACTAAGAAATGGATGGATTTCATTTGAGAGAATGGATAATATGTATAACACGCCTATCTTCTTTAGCCACAAAAAAACTGCCTGTACAATGTAGTTAAGACCAAAGTCTGTTCTCCCATTTTCGAACAACGAGAAGCGTATAACGCTCATATGATCTAAACACCAAAGTCTGTTATAAGTCTTACGACAAAGCTGTATATCCATCCTACAATAAAGGTGAATCACTTTTTTTAAAACTAATCCGAGTTTATTATAATCACCTAAGCTTACAGTACGAAGGGGTCATTGAACTTCCTTTCTGAAAATATTTTCCAAAATTACTCCAAAGAAAATGTAAAATCAAAACATGTACAAGCGAATCACATTTTCTAAAAACAAATTAGATTAATTTCAATTGTGATAACAAAGATACTAGAGATTGCCTTCAAGATTATGAAATATGTAGGTTTAAGAAAAAATAAAGAATAGTTTAGTGAAATAAATATACTATTGTTTGTTTACATTGTATATTATATATAGTGACTTGATTTAATCCCTTCGATGAGTAAGAAATCAACACAGTAATAATATAATAATAAGTATTAGAATGACATTCATGCTATAACGTGAATAAAATCAAGTTAGAAAACAAAGATCTTTCAAAATAGGTTGGTACATTCACTCAGGAACCTGAAGTTCATGTAGACCACTGGTTCGGAATCAGGATTCCCGAAATTTTCAGTATAGGGGTTGTGGAGATTATTAAGTTTTTTAATTAAGATTATGAACCGATTGATGTTAGACCACCACTGAAAACCTGGAAGTACTTGAAGGCCGTTTCGTCCCATTGTGGGACTCCTCAGCAGTGCACATCCACGATCCCGCCCGCAGAATTCGAACCTAGGGTTTTTAGTCTCGCGCGCGAACGCTTAACCTACTAGACAACTGAGATGCCTCAAATTTTCTGGATTGAACCTCTGTATGAACAAACCGACTTGATATGTTAGGCATCGCTTCTCACCATTACACTTATTTAAGGACACCTTAAAAGAAGACAGTGATTAAGACATCGCTATAGATCACAAATGTTTAAAGTCATTCAGGAACTCTGAATATATGTATATAATAAACATACGTATCAACTGTACTGGTAGATTAATGTGACCTGATAGAATTCAATCGATGAAAGTTCACTTCAAAAGACAATATAACGTAAGTCAGTCAGTCAGCTACAACGTAGGACCAGGCACATATATGCATCGGTCCAAGTTGCCATACCTCATTAACACAACAAGATGAACACCGGATTCATAAAAGTAGTTAATTCAGTTGTGGTAATATATAAAAGAAAGACTGCATATAAGGATATAGTACACGAAGAAAGAATTAGTTCGTAGAAAGAAAGATATGAAGCGATTTTAATCTCTTAGTTTAAGAGAAGACAGAGAGTGTATACACCGATGCAATTGTGATCGATTCTGAGTCATGTCACACACAGTCTCCAACCATTGGTTACGATAGTCTCGCGGACCCCAACCAAGTATCCTGCATCTACCAACATGGCTCAGACTAGAACTTAGTGACTTCAAGCACTGATGCCACGTTTGGGTTTGGCCGCCCCTAACTTTCTTCCAACCATCCCGAACACCGGTTAGCATTGCGCGTCGTGGTAATCGGCGTTCGGGCATACGTAACACGTGGCCCAACCATCTCAGTCGATGAAGATTCACAACCTCACCAACTGATTTACCATCATCATTCCCTAACACTGCGTCTAACCTCACTATTACTTACCCGGTGATCCCAGCGGATGCGAGCAATATTTCTAAGACATCTGTGGTCAAATACTAGTAGCTTACAAGAATCTTCTACCCTTAATGACCACGTTTCGCAGCTGTAAAGTAGGAAAGAACAAACTGCCACGCAGTATACTCGTCCTTTTATTGATAGACGGATATCTCGCCTTCGCCATAGGTGACGTAAGTTGGAGAAGGCCAGGTGAGCTTTTCGAATCCGTGCCGAAACTTCGTCAGACACCAACTTATTAGATCAGACTTCCAAGATAAGTGAAGTTGTCGACGCGTTCGACTACTTCATTCCCTATCCTTAGTTCAGGTGTTGACGCAGACCAGTCCTGAAGCAACGTAAACACCCAGGTAAAATTTGTTCATTTTCTTTTTCCTCTTAAAAATGTATAAAATTCGACAACATTAAAGAAAAAAACTCACTGAGAACATTAGACTTAACATTATTTCCTGTTGATTTCTGTTCAGAAGCTTTTTTCATCCTCCCTAACAGAGAGGAGGACTAATCACTAAGTAATCCTCTGAATTTAAATCCAAGCAATTAAATATAAGTTTTGTTGACATTATTAAAATATGAATAATCCATTAATGCACTAGTATAATGGGATAATTTAGAACTTTTTTTAACGTGATGATCATACAAAACTAATGAAGAAATGATCAATGATAAATAAGTATATTTAACAAAAATGCTTTCAGTATTCATCCTACTGAACCCCAATCCACATTGGGTAATAGTAATTTCATTGAGAATCTTAACCACAACAACAACAAAAATAATCAGTCGGCAAATTTTACAAAAGTTATACAAATAAACAAAGGTAAAAGTAGTTTATATTTATGGGAAAAAAATATACGGATGATGAAGGTTGTTTCTGTACCAATGAAATGTCAAGTTTATATATATATATACATATCGGTTATTAAGACCTATTGCTTTTTCAACTTACTCCAATAGGCAAAAAGTAATCATGATTCTGATTGGTTATCTTTGATGCATTAAAAATCCCATATTGAGAATTACCAATAGATGGATGAATTATTGAGAAATTTTCAATTATATAAACTTATAAATTGAAAAATATAACTAACAGAACATAAGTATAGGGATAATGAATCTGATAAGTGTTGTGTAGTAATTAACGTTCTATTCACGTGATTGGAGATCATTTGCAAGAAACTTTGCTTGACCGAGATCTTGTGATAACTGCCACTCGTCAGTAAACAGTATCTACAGTTCTAAGATAATTAAGACTTCCCACGGGATTTGAACCCAATATCACAGTTGGAGGTGTTATCACTGAGTTATTCAGGCGATGACTAACAGTTTGTATGATAAACATTTTCAGTATTTGGTCACTGGTCAATGATCAGTGTTATATTCGTCCTCATAGTGTTGATCGATGTGTAGTGAACTAGACAGTTAGTTACACTACAACCTGATTGACATGATGTTATGTTCTGAGAACGTACGTTCCAGGTACAATTACACAGGCTTGTTACACCCTCGCCCAACCGTTTATGCAAACCAGAAGAATGAGAAATGACTAAGAAACTGTTATTGGCAAACCCAATCAGTGTACACAAACCATAAGTATATATATACCTATCATTCTGACCCAGATGAGAACAAATAAGCTGGGATCTTAACTAAGTTCATAGTTGACATCCTACAGTAGAATGTGTTGTTTATAATTTCTCACCCTACAGTTTGATCCGGAGATAGCATGTGAGCATAGACAAGTGATATATAGACTCGTCCAGCTTACGAAAGAATGCTATCAAGACTCTATTGGCTTCAACCGCAATAATGTTAAATGGAAAATTGGAAGAATTTCATATTTACATTCTCATAAACGATAAGAGTTCACCCTGCTCCAAATGCCCCGGTGGATACGGTGGACCAACTTAGGGGAAAACCCTGATTCCAAACCAATGTTACACATAGGCTCCAGGATATAACATATGAACCTATTGTTGATCACCAGCTACCATGGTACTGCATCTCCTGACGTTGCTCCACTACCTTGTGGATTAAACCTTTAAGTCAAAGGCTTTTGGTATGGCCCCCTAATAAAATCACCTGCTTCAGTCTGGGCACACAGGCAGTATCCCAGCCCTTATAAGAATCCAATGGTTTATGTGGCGCATCTGTATTTGTTGCCTCCTTGCACCAATGTTTGTGTTTAAATGAATACGCAAGTATACACTGAATAATATCCATTTACGACGTAAAAGGAGTTTTGACTTAGGTTTAAAATAAACGGTCGTATAACAGAGCTACGAAACTGGATACCTCATTTCATGCTATGTAGATGACTAAATCATACACAATGTTTTAGTCATCCGGAGACTGCAGAAAAGGTACCTTGTAAGAACGTATGAACTTGTCCTTAAACAACAGGTAATCGGATTTTAGACAAAAAGGACTGACAAGAAACAATGATAACCTCGCTAGTCACGTAAGATTATTATATTTTCTCATTTCGAAAAGACATTCATAATCACTAACATTCAGACTGGCGACACGGCAGTGCGAATCAAAATCATTTTAGAGATAATACACATAGTTTTTCCATTAATGACTTCATCATACCTCTTGCATGTTTCAGCAGAGCGGATGATTAGTTTAATTGGACGTAATTCTGTAAGCAAGTACAGACTATAATAGACTTTGAGCCATGATTTGTATGAGGGCTAATAATGCTGACCAATTGTCAGAATACTTATGAATGGGAGTTTGGACTTAAAACCTAGAGCTTGGAAAACTAATATTATGAACACTAATCCATTGGGTTGAGTCGGGAAATGCTGGTAGGTAGAATACACTATGAACGATGGGTACAGTACAGTGGTTGGTTTATTAAAAGGTTTTTACTGAAAGGACAACAATGTATACGCACAATAATTTGGTGAACATTCAATCAACGAACAATATCAACTGAGTTTTTTTAATATTTATTGAAGGAGGTATTAATTAGAAGGAAGATTTTCAGTGTCTAGTACAAAGTTTGAGATTGTTAACTGCAGTCATTGATTAATGGTTTAAGCGGTATGTAGAAGCAAGTGCTTTCTAGATGAGAAAGCATCAGACATCAATAACTAGTGATTAAGGAAACTCGGTGACAAAACCCAAACATGACCAGTAGTGCAAACATTCTTCATTGTTTCAGTAGTGTCGAGTAGTTTGGTATTTCGAACCTAGTTGCTCCTTTTTTCACTCAGTATCTATTGATAATTTAAAATACTCGACTCTTCCCTCAAAACTCCAAGACAAATACTTTAGTAGACACAAATATGAATATACCACAGTTGATCTAACAGTAAAGGCCATTTATCAAACGTAAACGAACTAATTAAAGGTGGACTCACCATGATAACGTCTGATGGACGTCAACATTGGTAGGAAGTTAAAGTAAAACCACAGTATCAAACGCTCGATTTTTGACAAACCAATTGTCGTTATAACTAAAAGTGCTCTGTTTAACCATGTTGATCTATTGACCTTCAAATCTTAAATGTATGCAACCAATCAGCTAATGGCAAAATATTTTCTACTGTCTCTTGTCCTACCTTCACAAGATGAAACGTAAGTGCTTTTTTCTCATCGAACTTCCACATCTGAATGAGTCATATAGGTACGTAAGTAGACAAACCAATCAAATAGTGACGAACATAAGCTATGACATATGAATCGCTTAAATGACCTTGATTACGGACACGTTTTTGTCTGCGTACCATCAACATAGTACATGTTAAGATCAAGGGTGATTCATAGGCTGTGTACCAGACAAGTTATTTTTGAATCACTGTTTTCTAACCATTATCTAGATACAAATCGTGTTTGCTCAAGATGAATAAATCACCTTTCAAGAGCTAACGCTTATTTTCGTTCCAGCCATTAGACTACATGTGTTGTCTTTCTTTGTATTTCAGGCGTAGTAATCTTTATTTTTTTAAACAACTCATTTGTGATAACTAATTATCATAACGACTAAAGAGACAAATCCAACCTAGCGAAGAAAGTTGGGTTAGTAATTATAAATATTAATATCCTTTATATCTGAGGTTATCCTCAAGGTTTTTAATGTTCAAATATATTGTATCCAAGATCTTCGGATATTTTTCTGTTTGAAAAGAGCAAGAACAAACATTCTAGCAGAATAGCATGAATTCATTTTTATTTCGTTGGCTCTTATCAGCTGCTTACAACCTGTGATATTTAAAATCATAATTACATAATGGGTTTAAATTACTTACATGAAAGAATTTGGTTGAAATTCATGCTATTCTGCTAGAATGTTTGTCCTTGCTCTTTTCAAAATGTTAAACGGAACTATGTGGATGAAATTTTTCTGTTTATTTAATGAGCATAACGTGCATAATTTTCACAAGAGATTTCATTTCAAACCCTAACGTTCATTGTATTTTTTGTTTGGCACGTTGAACCACTCTACACCTACATGCTCATAGCAGACAGTTGGGGATACCTCCAAACGTTTGGAACAGAATGTCTTATGTATATTTCGCTCTTAATATACAGGACTGATCAACTAACTAAACGGGAAAGTAAACAAAAGTACTGGATACAGCACACTTATTAAACTTCGAAACGTTGCGGACAACCTCACCCTTAGGGTATATTAATATTTAACATGAACCGATCTAACTTTCCTCGTTAGGTCGCTTTTCTTTTTTCATTCCTTAAGATGATTATTCCTCACAACTGACTTGCTATGACACAGTAAACAACAGACACACATATACCTACATCAAATGGAGCATCAAGTGTCAGTTTTACTAATGACCTGAAAATTAAGATAGTAAATCTTTTGTGACCAGGTGATTTGACTTCAATTTGAAAGAACGAACAGATATCACATAGATATAAATCTATTTAACTCCGTATATTGCCTAGGCTAACCCCGTTTGTGTGACGGCGGTAATAAGAAACCGAATACGAGTTGAGTGGGATGAATTTATTTCAAGCACTTGTTTTTCAAAACAGACATTCACAATAAAAAGCAGGAGAGTAAAGCGGAGAAGGCAACTTGCTTTGCAACTCGTTTTGGTAAAGCGAGACTGTATGTTTATGGTAAGACAAAAATAAGCCAAAAATATGTGATGAATAAGGTGAACGGTACACATACACGCGAATAAATGACAAGATCAAAATGTGACTCATTGAATAAATTGATCGATGTGTCCGTCATCTAGAATAACTCATTTCGGCTTGATATAGCAACAGACATAAAAGTTTTTTAGGTTATTCCAATAGTATTGTGCAAATTTTCGATATTCACAGACCGTTAATTCATTATAACAGAAAAATAATATTATTTTCAAAAACTTGAGCTTTAAAAAGTATGTGAGAAGAAAATATCATTTCTGCAATTCTGGCCAAAGGTAAAAAGTTTTAAACAGAGTTGGATAGTGAATAACAGTGGAATCCAATATGCACGTTTCACCCAATTCGGTGCTCATCATTTGGATGTACTTGTACCCAGTAATTATGCTTATAATAGGACCTGAACCCTGTACCTTTCTCTTCAAACGCTCAATTCATTATCCATTCAGTTATTAAGCTCGGATAGCTACTGGCTCTTATAACACCCGTCCTGGATTCCAACGCTAGCCACTATCCAACTCTGCCTAATAACGCTTTCTACTTAATAGCAATATCGTAGTATTCTGCTGACGAACCACATATACCAAAAACCACTGATCAATTCATCTTTGCTTATAATGCTTATGAATTAAGGCAATATCGAGACAATACGCACAGTATGCACATATGCCAATAAGAGAC